GGAACACAGTCATGATTGGTCAATCCGCGGTCGCCAGTGGAATATGCTTCCTGCGACCAAAATCGTTTTTAACTACCATGCTACCTATCAACGCACATGTGGACGAAGCGGTAGGAAGACAGAATTACTATCAGCCACCAAGCTACATACCTAAATACTGTACCATCTACTGTGAAGGCTATGAACACCGCATAAGTTCTGTACCATGCGCAAATAAACCCGTGGACATACATGAATACTATTGGCTTAAAAGAATTTATTTTCTCAAATATTAGATCTACCTAGCTTCTAACTATAACATATATACGAACACGATAGGGGCGTTAATAGTAAACCTAGGAGAGATCATGAACAAGACCCCGGGTCCCTGGCCTCACGGCCATTAAATCGAATTCATTACTTGCCAATGTTTCCAAGGAATAAGCGCCGTGTCTTTTTTTTTTTTTACCATCATCTTGCGCAGGGAGTATCTAACACGGAATAGAATCTCTCCACGGGAGCCGATTTACACTAGAATTCCCCATTCTCTACGTGCAAAGTTTCGTATCCAAGGGTTTTGCGTCAAATAATTTATATTAGTGTGTGCAATGAACGACCCGGCTTAGCTGCTTAGATCCCTTCCCTGCACAACCTCGTTTCCGAAGCGCACATCATTCGCTGGTTCATTTCCAACAGGACAAGACAAGGCACACGGTTTCTCTCGCAAAACGAGATTGATCACCCTTTTCGATCTTCATACTCCTAGCTCCGACGGCGATTCTACTAAGTAATGTATCTTAGGGAGTCATACGTTTCTTCAGCCTAACCTGGATCCCCGATCCTAGACATGTTAACTGACTGGGCCGCCTACACATACGCGTGCTATCCGGGGCTACTAGCTGGGTTAGGGATGGAGAAATTAGTCGACCTGCCACATTCGAATCATCTTATATAGCAATATAACGTGTACATATCTACACATGTGTGTAGGTACGCACGAGAACATCATTTAGTACTCGGGACGCACACGCGTGCTGAGCTGGTTTTGTTGGTTGGTATTCGCATCGACACCCCCGCCCGGCGGCTTGCCTCTGCTTTAAAGAACCCTGAAAAGGAACCGAAAGCCACTAATCGTCATTGCGTATATGTTGCCATTATTAACACAGCGCGAAACCACCTCTTTTAGGAACAGGTCTCGCCCCGTGGTCCAAAATACGATAGTTTATGTCGCTTTTTTTTTTTTTTATTCCTTACCTTTCCTTTTCTCTTTGACCCCCCCTTTGATACGTCTCATAAGCGGTCACGAAATAATAGCCTTTTCCTTCTTGGTAGTAGGAGTTGATGCCTGTCTCTACATAACGCTACAGTAGTGGCGCCGGGCTCCTCACATCGTCACTGACCATCCATCTTTCCCATTCGGTGTCCATTCCCGAACCGCCCAGCCCGAATTGGTCGTATGTCTGATGAACGGATCACAAAACGTTTTTCTCTCCCCTCCCCCGCTCCCTTTAAGCCCTTGAATCGTGTTCCAGTTTTTTCCCAGCATCGCAAGTGCTTCGTCATCTCAGCTCAGCTCATACATCCCCTGTGCTAGCCCACGGTCTACGGATCAAATTTTTCCAGTGGCATCTCGCCGACCGGGTAAGACGGGATTGGTTATGGGGAAGGGCGCGAATGAGCCTGCCGTTCAACTTTACTGTACTGTGTAGAGTCTGGATTGTTCCGTGATGTGAGATAGGTGTCGCCTCTTACCCGAACACGACGCAAGGCTTCCCGATAGCTCTATTCATCTTGTGGTAATTAAATTCCGTGTTATTCAAGTGATAGCAAGATTATCATTGCCCACCCTTTTAGACAGATGGGATTTCACTATATGTTAATCCTCTAAATTAGCAGTGTTAGCACACCGAGGCTCGCGCTCCCTTCCCCTAACTATAGGCACTAACCGCCCTATATTGTAGAAAATATACAACGAATGATATTATTTCTTTTATTGATCAACATGTACCATCCACACTACCTTATCTCCCTCTAAAATGAAAAATATGCCTTGCAGCTAGGAGTTCAATACGGCAAATGCATCCATATTCGTCCTCGTTTCTCATAGTGTCAATCACTGACTGTATCGAAGTCTTGCTTAGATGGTCAGAAGATGCCTGTCGCTTCCCTGCATATTTCGTTCGAAATCGCCTGCATAGTAGGATGGCGTCCTGCCGAGCCAATGTGCACTTCGCCGCGTTCTCACTAGGTAGGCACCTAGTCTTAGCGATCAGTCAGCGCTCGTCTCTTTTAATACCATGTAAGGCGCCATCACGTCCCCCTTTCCCCTAATGACGTTGCCGCCTCGCCGTTCTTGCAGTTCTTGCAGAATGTGTCAGCTTCCTTGATCCCGACTTGCATCATGATAAACTCCCATAATACCACCTAGCCATTACTCTGCCATTAAGACAAGTAAACCGTCTGCATCTTACATTGCCTAGTGTATCCCACCTACATAGATAGGTGCCTAGGTAGGTAAACCCAGCATGTGAGGAAGTTTCCAAAGCCGTCAAGCCGAGTTTCCTTTCACCGACTCCTTACACTAGCCATCGCGGCGTAACTAACTCCACAACACTTTTTTTATCGATCCCCAACATACGACCATGATCGAGAATATGGTTGGTGGGTATATTTATGCGTCGGGAAGGCTATAGAGAGAAACATAAGAGGGGATCACGGTGGATAGGAGCCTTGCACGGAAGCCTAACGATAAAGTAACTTCTGTAAATCGCACGCATCCTTCTTCCATCCACATCTTTTTACCAAGGACATCTGAACAGATTTTGCCACATCTCGTATCACCCGACATAACACAAGCTTCGTACGCGCGGTCTATTCCCGAGGGAAGGCTCTTCTTGATATCTGTACTATTCAGCCTAGTCTAGCGCTTCCGAGTCTTTCGCGATCGTATTCAACGTTACTATCTGAGACCATTGCTAGCATGGTCGTCATATCCATATACTCTTTAGGCATGTCCCAGGATCAAACATAGTAGCTATAATGAACCGGGTTATTCATACGAATTGCTGCGGTGCTCTAACAGTCGGTGATTACGATTACGCGACAGTGCATACGTATCGAGTCCAGCTGTTAGACAACCATCCACCCGGCCGTTCGTAGGCAGTTAACGACTTAAGTAATCCATGGTAGCTGCCTACCTAATACCCAACCAATTTGTTGACTTGACATGGCACATTATTCCCCATTGCTTATTTGATTCACAACTTGTGCCGTTTATGATATCACGGGAGAAGTCCAGATGTAGCAGGTATATTGTTATTGCATCATCATTCAATTGACGAGCTTGACAGCTAGCTTAGCTCACTCCCCCGAGTCCCTACGGAATCCGGCGGTATAGATCGTATATTCAGATTTCTAGCACAACTTTGATATGATATCCCATCATATGACGTTTATATAGATACAAGGAGAGCAACGACTCGATTGTCTAAAAGTCCGATGCGCGGTTCCTACGGGGTTGCCCGAAATCAGCTATTGGATCGCAGAGGAAGAGATCAAGGGCCATAGGTACCTAACCTCAGCAGCCGCAATTGAGGCTCCGTCATCATGAATGGCTCTTGATCCGAATATTTCTACTCAGCCCTTTCGAAGTGGGGGCATCGTAAACTCATTGAAGAGATCTAGCTAAATTCTGAATGAACGAGACCGTGGCAGTATCTACCACGTAACTTAACAAGTTGCAGGCGCACTAGAAACAGCCAAATCCTTGCGTCGGGCTTACGAAAACACCAAACTATTCGCGCATTTATATACCTTAGGTAGTTATGGAGAAATGTAATTTCGTACCTTCAATCAAGGCTTGTCAATCCCCAGGCCTCCAACCAGATAGTCAAAGATACTCTCGCGACAGTGAACCCTAAGCCTAGCTATATATATACCTAGGTAAATATGAATTACTATCAAGTATCCAGGAATCGGTCACAGAGCGCATACTTGCGCGATTTATAAACTTATAGAAACAATCAACATCCCAAAAACCCATTCCCTATAAGTTCACCAAACCCATACGTAGATGTGGTAGGTAACTCAAACCCTTCGTAGCATGGTTGTGGACATTGCCTCCCACAGACCAAAGTTAACCATACCCCCTTCAGAACTTCATCTCAACAAGAGCTAGATGCCTACCAAGATTCGTGATATGATCTTGTTTAAACTATCATAAATGATCCTCGTGGCTTTCTACCTAGGAATATGCCTGTAATAGACGAAACCAATCACCTAGTTGCCATTATAAATATTTTGATACTCTCCCAACGAAGCGTCAGCTGAATATGTGATGTACTACTAACTGACATGGCAGGCACTTAGAACCCAGTACTCTGTGTGTTTGTATCCGGCTCATAGTATACACGAATGTGCTTCGGATCATTGCGAACTAATCTCTTGGACATGAAAGGAAAGGAGATGTCGCGCTATACTAGGTAGGTTGTTGCTTCATTGTCTGAAAAAAAAAGGGTGAAGCGGCGATGAAAGGTGTTTGAATAGGATAGTTATAGCATGGGTCGAGGCACTCCATAAGAACCTTGGAATACTTTGGATTGGTTAACTTGGGTAGGCATTGGGATATCTTGGTATCATGATTGGTTTTGTGACAACTTCGTTCCGCGCGAGGGTTACCACATGCGTGAGGGAATCGGATATGAGCTCGAGACGCAGGGACATCACACACTAACAAGACCACAATACCCAACATCACAAAGCAGAAACCCTATAATCTTGGAAACGGCATGTCGCTATTGTCAATGCATAAATATTATATACGAGTCGATGTCAAACCCAATGTAGTATGCCAACCTGACTGAACCACCTAGGAACAGTCGTTCCACATGCTGAATTATTGTCCTCACTACCGCGTGACCAAGGTGATTATTGACAAGGAACCCTATCAAGTCGTAACTCTAAGTTCGTGACGCCCTGCTTCTATGGCAACAACACCACGTCGTCGTACAAGTTTGGGTCGATAGGCCCCCAAATACAAAAATGCTGTAAACCCTCTCAGCCTTTCACTGCGCCCCTTCTCCGAAGCCAAACTTTCGTATTATTTCTGAGTGCCCTCATGTGAGCAAGTAACGAAGAACTTATTTAGGTCAAATACAAATGTCGTTCCGTCGTTAGTATTCTGCAATGCTGTGTGGCGCGTCGGATAATATCACCGGAAGATCCTGGATATCCAACCATGACCACCATAGCAAGAGATTGCCAAAAGCATATCGCCTCTACAAAATCTCACTACGGGCTCGCCCATCCACCAGCAACATCAACCCATTCGGCCAAGCATGAGCCTTCCTTGCCCTCGACATCAACAATATCGGTATCGCAGCGGCAGCGGCAGCCCACACCATTTTCCTTTTCAGGGTCCCATTGGTCCCAGTACTCATCCTCCTCTACTCGCTTTCTCTCGTCGGTGGTCGTTTTCTCGAGGAATGGCTCACGAGGAAGCTGGCGAGCGGGAGCGTTTGCGGGGCAATGCTGGATAGTGGTGTGTCGGTAACCGAAGTCCCGGAAGTAGTGAATATCCTTCGGGCCCAGAAGAATGCCAGCAGCAAGAGAATGGATAGGAGCATCACCCCACTAGTAGGTAATTAGCAAACCGGGTCGTACTATAAAATGAGTTTAGGTTACTTACTCGTTCCATCCAGAAACCGCCGCTGCGATCCATCATCTCGAAGAAGTCCTTGTATTCTTTACTGCGGAACCAGCTGAGTTTTGCAATTTCAAAGTTAGACCAGAAATGGCACATGTTATAACTCTCGCCTTCCATAGCTTCGGGGTCGATCTCGGGAAGGTTCATACGGCCGGGGTCGGTGCGTAGGATTTCCTCAGGTAGAGGAGGCTTGTAATTGGGGTCATCTTCAGGTGCTGTCTTCTCTGGTTTGGGTTCAACGAACATTTCCCAGAGACCTTGGGATGTGATATTGTTTAGACGTTTGTAGGCAGAAGCATAACGGAAGATATTGGGAACAGTTTCTCGAAGTTCCTTGACAGCAATGGTGAAACCATATGTCTTGTTGTATTCAATCATCTTAAGGAAGGGGTCACTGCATGAGGTGTTAGACTTTATTCGTGTATGAGAAGAGGGATTGAAACATACTAGGTAATATCGCAGAAGTACTTGATCTCCGGCTCCAAGCGCCAGTACCACTCGTATTTGGCAAGAAGAGGGTGGTCATAGAAGAATCTGCATTGTATTAGTGCTGTTCGCAATGCAACTTGTTTAGTTTATGCTTACCCGGAATAGAATCTGCACATGGCGTGGTAACTCTCAAGACCACCGTACATGACAGCGGCGTCTCCTTGCTTAGCAATACCCTCTTTTGCGACTTTAGGGTCGATCCAGTCAGGATAACCCCACATCTCGGCGCCAACTTTGCCAAACTCGACCGGAGCAGATGTATAGTTGCGGATGACATCCTTGAAGGTTTGGTTGAAGTCCCCGTCGTTCAAGAAGACGTAGGGGTAGTGGTACCATCGGTTGAAATGTCGTTCAATTGACTTAACCGATTGAATAACACCTTCTAATTCCTTGTTTCGGGCGAGGACGACAAACGCGCCGTTAACACGTTCAGTTGTAGTATCGGGCTTGAGGCAACCGTTAACGAATACCTTGTCATGCTCTTCGCTAATTTTTCTGTAGGACGCACGATCATTAGTGGATTTGAATGTCAATGAATAACCTAAACAATACATACCGAATAGCTGGAGGTGCGCCAGCAGGCATTAATATCCGACCTGGAGAACTTGGATGTCTAACAAACAAGACTAGGATAAGGACAACAACAATGCATGGGAATAAAACAACCACGCCCAAGGGAACAGATATACTAGAGTTGCCTTTTAATCTGAGTGGTCGTCGGAAAAAGGCGAGTCGGGAAGTGAATCTGTTAGGTTGACCTCTCTTCTCGCCGGTTGTGGGAAGTTGAGTATTGCCCATTACCACAGGCACGCGCCTGTAAGCGCGCCGTAGCAAATCCATAATGGAGCTTAACGACGCCCTTCCAAGCGGCAGTCAGTGGGAGCGTGCGGTTTAGTGAATTCGCTCAATTAAACGGGTGATGAATTTGTTTGTTTTCGCCGTTATCTGTCTTTTATTGATGCATGTGGGAAGATCCGATGTTCCCGCCGTCTATGCGCTGTCTATTCGTATCAGAGGTCCGTCCGTCTTAGTAGATAAACGAACGACACGAGGGGAAATCGTAGGAAATTCGACGGCAATGGTAATAATTATTGAAGGTTTATTGGAAGAAACGAAGAGGGCACGGCGCGGTTCGCAAGGACAAACGATGGACGGATAGAATGTCAAATACGCATACGCGTCAGACACGTTGTCCTGTGGCGTCGTTGACCGTTCAACGATTCCGACTTTTAACAGATCTTATTTTTAATCAATCTAGCAGATCGTAAACGACTGCATTGAAGCGGCCGATAAAGTTGAGTGGGCTACAATCCACAAAGCGGGATGTGAAGTTGATGCCAGGAGAAGGCGAATAAAAAAAAGGGGTTAGATGTAAAATGGTGAATTGAGGTAATGAATAGAATACGAAGGTTCAAAACTTTTAGGATGAGACGAAGGGGTTTACAGTGTTAGAACCTTGGAAATGTACGGTACCTAGTTAGGCGAAAAAAAGAAACGGCTTAGGACTTTGCTTAGCACTCTTTTAGTTGTCTAGGTACCTAGCCTACCCCTAAATCGATTGAGTTTTGACAACCGATGGCGAAATTATGCTTGGACTTATGCTTGAACTAGGGGTTAATGGCCAATAAGAACGTGAAAAAGAAAGGGGGATGCTCTAAAACAAGAACTAACAATGTACCACTGTATAAGATGGAGGCTGAGAATCCCTTGGATATAATTGGTGAAAAGAAGCTTACTGTCTCCACCCTTTATCGTCTAGCCCCTATCAACGGCGATGATCTTTTTCCAGTCCCGATAAATTAGAAGCTTACTTAATCCATGTGTATTGTGTAATACTGTAGATTCGCGTGTCGCATTAAAAATAGATTTAGGGCAAACTCAAAGAACTCAATCACTTTTTTTCCCCGGAATTTCCAAAAGTTCCAGAACCATCATATTGGATCAAACGGCCTCCTGGTTTATGATTCCAATTTATATGACCCGCTTTCTAGGAATTTCTACTCCACGCTCATTGTGATTAGCCTAGATTATTACCTGGCCCTATGAAATTCTCGATGCTTTGCTTTAATGATTGACTATCGGGAGCCGGATCTCGCCTTCGACGACACAAGACGAAGACGGTCCTGACGGTTGATAAATTGATCAGACTTAAGCATCTTCATCGGTACACGAAATAGCAGGTCTTCAATATCGCAGTTTGGTATGTCACCATCTTCGGGTAGAAACGGTGATGTTTCTGGTATTGCTCATCTAGAGTAAAGCTGATGGTATGGGGTAATCGTCAGACGCCATCGATATCGCGATACTTCAGAACTCATCGACCGCGTGTCTGCCTCGCTCACCACCGTGGCACTACACGGCTAAGTTTTAATCTATTTTGTGGTCCATATATCCGAGTTCCTCCGCTTCGAATGTGACCTGTTCGATCGTGGTTATTTATGACCACACTTGTCCCGCGGGATTGTATCGTTTATGGAATGAAAATAGTGGCAGCTCTGAATCACCAGTTCGATTGATGCTTGGTGGTCTTATATCTTCCAACATTGCCAAGGGTAATATCGTCTTAGACCAGTTGGACCATAAAGGTGCTCACTGTTAGCCACGCTTTTAAGAGCCACAACATGGGAAATCATCTCGCAACAAACTGCGTCATGAGATCCCAAATGACTTACTGGCCGCTTCCCCATATTAACTGCCACTCCCTACATGTCTTATTTACCATGTTTATCTAAGAGTAAGCTTTTTTATAATATATGGTGAGGTCACTGCATAGATGAAAATGTCTTGTCCTTGACAATATATCACCCGAGGCTGACGACGCTATATGATATTCCTAGATTACACGTTCTCAACCCACACCCCCTTTATTTAACAGTGACGTCTAGGTCTTCTTGTTTTCTTTTCCCGGTTCTCTGTTGCACTGCTGAGCTTAGTTCTCTACATCTGCCGGTTAAGGGCGAGTGTCTGCGGGGGATCCTAGGCGAGACGCGGTTTGGAGTTGCATTCTATCTTTCCGCCTAATTACATCAATAAACCATCTGCCTCCGCAGACCGAAAACAACAACTCCCTATTCTATCGTCTTCTTTATCACACCCAACCTATACCTCAAGCCGACATGGTGTCATGGATGCTATATAAGGAAATCTTGATGTCCACTGCCTAAAAGAGATCGACCTGTCACCGCTCTGTCCAATCAGCTTTCTTCACCCTTGGATACCCATCTCGAGATACCATGCCCTATTAATTACTCGAAAGCGCTAAGAATCCCGGTTCGTGGACTCTCCGCATTCAACATGGTTTCTCACGGAGCATGCGTTGCATCATCAGGAGTGGGTACGGAGATGACTGCTAGAGAGGACTTGGTGCTATATAACACGACGCTTCTTCTACGGGCCCCCTTATTACGTCCTTTCCAAAGGACTTCGTGAGCCCTGTCAGGTGACCAAGAGTGAATACTTTATTCTGTACTTGGCGTTGTAGATCAAATTAACAACATGCGTTGGTTGACGACATTTTCGGCAGTAGCTGCCTTGGCAAGCCAAGGTAAGATGAACTGGATTGTTTGTGATGCTTGAGCCGAAGCTGATGATGAGCACGATAGCTTTGTCGCAGGACGCCCCGACATTCCCTTTCCCAGCAAGCTGCTCCGGTGTAGCTGCGGCCCGATACCCATACACTCTTGACGCGGGTTGGGAAGCCACCAAGATTGCTAGTGGTCTTCGTCAACCACGAACCATCATTTTCGACAACCTTGGCCACATGCTAGTGCTGCAAGCCACCTCCGGTATCTCGGTTCACACCTTTGGCGCAGACGGCTGCATCAACAGCACCAAGACCCTTGTTCAGAACTCCGGTCTAAACCACGGTCTCAGCCTCACTCCCGATGGCAAGACCCTCTACGCTAGCTCCCAGACGACAGTTTGGTCGTGGACCTACGACGCGACCGCGTTGACGCTGACCGGTCAAAAGACCATCGTTGCCAGCATTGGTCAGGGTATTCACTCGACCCGAACAACCGTCGTTTCACCCAAGAACCCGAACTTGATCCTCGTCTCTGTTGGTGCTGCCGCTAACTGGGACAACCCAACTATTGACCCCAGTGTCGGCCGTGCCATTGTCAAGGTCTTCGATGCGAGCAAGGCGCCTTCTAACGGTTACTCATTCAACAGCCAGGGAACCGTTTTGGCTTATGGTCTACGTAACGAAGTTGCTCTAGCCTTTGACCCGAACGGCCACGTATGGGGTGCTGAGAACAGTGGTGACGACTTCAGGAGAACCGTCAACGGCCAGTCGACGGATATTCACATTGACAACCCTGCCGAGGAGCTGAACTACCGTAAGTTATAAACGACCTAACTCTTTTCTCCCTTTTCTTACCGTCTTGATACTGACAAATATCATTTAGTTGGTGACCCCGAGAAACCCTTCACCGACAACTGGTACGGCTACCCGACTTGCTTCACCGTGTGGGAGCCTTCCAACTTCCGTGACAACACTGCGCTTAAGACTGGTTCGCAATTTGTTGTCTCGCCCAACACGACCTTTAACGACGCCTCGTGCGATGGCAAGTCACGACCACCCCGCCTATCGTTCCCCGCTCACATGGCCCCCATCACCAACGGCTTCGACCCCAAGGGGGAGAACCTGTACATCACCTTCCACGGCAGCTGGGACCGTCAGCCCGCTCAAGGTTACTTCGTAGCCGAGGTTCCCTTCCAAAAGGGTGCCGATGGCAACTACGAGCCCACGGCCGCGGCAGACAGCAAGACCGGCTACAAGAACATCATCGGCTCCCAGAACCCGGGTGGTTGCAACTCGCCCTCGCTAACCACGAGCTCGTGCTGGCGTGTTGCTGGTCTCAGCTGGGACCAGGCTGGTGAACGTCTGTTCATCAGCTCTGACAACTCGGCCCAGGGTGAGATCTTCGTCCTAAGGAAGAAGGCCTAAATGGATTAGGTAGTTAAAAGGGTAGGCGAGTACATAGTAGATGAATGAGTGTGTATGATGGAGGAGACAAGGCAGGCTTCGGAAATTAATTTGGGGGCCTCGTTAGACTTCTATCTCCCTCGCTTTTGTACGTAAAGGTTTCGAGACGGTCGCCGAACATTTAATAAAAAGTTTAGCGGATCCCAATTTGTACATGTTATAGTCCTGCATAGCGGCTTTTGGCTGTAGTACTCGTGCTGATGCCGACGTGACAACAATTTTCTTTCGCCTTGTTGGCCTGCTGCTAATCGTTTGACGGATTACCTATCTTGCAAAGCTTGAAAATTTTCCTCTACTTTAATTATTTCGTCCTAGTTAGTTTTAATACTGTCGGTACGTGTATAGGTAAGTGAGTATCAAAAAGAGGTGAGGTCAAAATACTCTTATAACCACCTAGATAGTTGTAGTGAGCAATGGCTATTTTTACCTAGGTAGTCTAGGTACCTACATAGGCAGTGAACTAACAGGGACAGTGCCGTAGTGGGGTAAGTCGGTCCTATAAGCTGTACCCATATTTCGCCGTGCGCGGCCTCACCTTCTGTATTTCAGCATCCTGCTCTCCGACTTCCTCACCGTAAATAAAATTCCAGGGCGCATAAAATAACCAAAACAAACCAATGACCTAACAGAAAATACCATAACAACAACAACAACAAAAACACAATGTCATCCGACCCAAAAATAACATCCAAAAACCTCTCCTACTCAACCGACCTCCCGCCCTTCCTCGCCCGCCTCCGAGGTCAACAGCAACAACAGCGAGACTCAGACGACCCAGACCCGATCCTAGCCGCGCGGCGACGAGCACGGAAACCGCGATCTGCGAGTGAAGAAGCTGAGGACGCGCCACTTGTTGTAGATGAGAATGGGAATGCTGTTGTTTTCCCTGATGCAGAGGGTGGGGGTGAGGGTGTAGAGGGAGAGGGGGAGAGTAAGAAAGAGGGTGTCGTAAGCGAAGATACACAGGCGCTGAAAGAGAAGGAGAAAGAAAAAGTAGCGGGTATAGGTGCGGGAAAGAAGCGCAAAGTAGGGCGTGTAGTCGGTGGCGGAGACGAAGAGGAGGAAGCAAATGCGACGAAAGCTACAAGCCGAACGAAGGAAGACAAGAAGGGAAACAAACCCGCCGCCACCGATTCATCCTCCAAAGACGCGAAGTCCGGTCCGAAATTAGGCAAGAAGAAAGCGAAAAAGATCAAGCTTAGCTTTGGTGACGATGGAGATTGAACGCGCTGAATAGCAATAATGATTATACTTCCTCACGATACGATACGACACCCCGCTGCCTCTAACATCTCACGAAGCCAGCGTCGATTCAGACTATTAAGTTGATACTCCACGCGAGCTATTCCCTTCTATGCGGTCTACACCCGAGTCGCATTGCTTAACCAGTTATTAGGGCTGGAGTAGCAGGTATTTGCCTAGCAGACATGATCGTCCTACCTGGAATGGTGCTTAAGCTACACATTCTTCGACAAGGCCCGCCGAGTAGTGAATGGAATTCTACAATAGACAACCCCGCTATGTTATGAAACATCTGACGATTTCATGGCGGGGTTCTATCATGAGGTTGGTATTCCGATTCTCTGCAATTCTTCTCGTTTAGTAGAGTAAGAATTCGTGCGGTTGTGTGTAGCGTATTCTTGACACACCATAATATCGTGTGCCAGAGGCCTAAATTATACACCAAATCAAGTCGCAAGAAAACATGCAAAAGACTAAAAGTAACGTCTCGAAATTTCGTCGAGATCAGTCTCCATGTTCATGTTCAGCTACATAATATATACAACATAGATAAGGTATTAATAAATATCCGCCGCCGTAGCTATTTGGTCCCAATCATCTCCCATGTCGAACATGCAGACCCTAATAAAGCAATCGATGCTGGCGCCCAAATGATAACCTGCTATTGAATAGGTTAATATCTATATCTCCAATGAAACCCACATGAGTTCTCCCGCCAAGCTGAGACGCCTCGTAAATGCAACTTGCTCGTCAAATCTAGACCACCTCGAAGCAGACCATTTCCCCTTTGTCGCTCTTTTCACTTTCTTTCTCATCCTGCGAGGATTCTGCGATGCCAGGCAACTAATAGCGGGACATTCGATTTCCTGAAGGCGAGTGGTCGTAAGGGCTAGATTGACCATAGGGATCGTCCATATATACGGTTGTTCGGCGGTCTTCTTCGGGGAGAAGCTCTTTCACTTCCCAGTTATTCATCCGCGTGCCGACAGAGAATTCAAGATCTTCCTTAGTGATCGAATCCCAGTACTATAAACACGATTAGAATAGTCCATGAATTTTTCATAAATCGTAAACTCATACCTTGTATACCATCATGACGGCAAGCAGGTTGCAAATTGTCGCAAAGAACAAGCCGTCAACGTAATGACTTGTCGCTTGGCAAATCGTGGAGCTCAGCGCATTTAAAATGACCTGGCCCACAATGAAAAAGAACAAACCGAAAGCGATATCTCCCAACGGCCAGCGATCTTCTAAAGTCCGAACCACCAATAAGATTTGCAAGGCCACGTAGATGACGAGTTGTACGCCGTTAAGAAGATATAACACCGTGAACAAGCCAACAGTATTGGCCGGACCCATGCCTGCCCATGATTTAAACGTAGCTAGCGATACAAGGAAAGAGACTGCGAAAGCCGCAAACGAGCTGAGTCGGAGCATCCAGACCGATAGCGGAGTACCATCTTCGTAAAGTTGAAAGCCGACGAATCCGTTGATCAACAAGCAGGTAACCAGCGCTGATGTGAGACCGGATTGTATCGCAACGAAATAGGGATACGGATCGGAGCCAGGAGGAACAACACCAGCGTCGACGAGGAGGGAGAAGAACGATAGTAGCATGTAGAAGTAAAAGAATGCTAGAATCTCCTTGCGACCTATATATTGGTACGGTTAGAAGGTTGACGGAGTCATCACCACAAGATGGTTTGTATAATAAGATTACTAACCAACAGCAGTGAATTTCCCTCGGATATGTAATATCATCACCACGGTCATGATGAGGGAAAGAATGTGCATGAAGCTCGACGCGCCTTGGAATATGATGGTATTCGCCAACTCGATATTTCGCGCAAAACAATCGGTTTCGATGCCGACGCCGCTCGAGATGGAGGTAATGGGACCGACGGAAGGACACAACGGCAAAGGTGCCGTGTGGCAGATGTCGGTAAAATCCCCAAAGCCACCCATCTTGTCTACGACGACGAGGCGACTACTCGACCTCCAAAGTCGTCAGAAGGCTACAAGGGGATGGATGAACGAGCGAGCGACGGCGGAAGATAGGGTTGTTTAATAGCGGAGGATGCAGACGAGGATATTTAAGTCGATAATATTTCTGTAGTAACGATGATCGTGGTTTATTCGACGGGGATACGTCGTGGTTTGATAGATCTGACAGGAGTCCCGGTCGGGATCAAGGTCGAGGTCGAGGCTCAAATGATGGAGCCAAGGGGAAACGAGAGTAAAGCGGGTTTTACGGGACAATTAGTATTATTAGCTGTAGTATCGTAGTATCGTAGTATTGTATGTAAGTAATTTGGAACGAATGACTATTAAAAGCGGTATTGTAAGTCAATTATGACATGGCCAGGATGGGGGGAGGTGGATAGAGCGCGCCGTCCTTGCGTTTGGCTCTTTTTCTCGTTGCTCGGCCAAACGTTTGGACTGGGCTGGTGGTGATAGATTTTCTGGGCGCTTCCTCTCTGCCCCCAGTTGCGTGCGTGCGTTGCCGTGGAAAAAAAAGGGTGAGACAAAAAAGGTAAAGGAAAAAAAAAGGTCGGGGACCCAACCCGCCAACCAAGAATAAGGAAAAAGGTGGACCGTGCTCGTGTTCGATGGTTTAATGGTGGCAGGACTTGGCGTGAATTCAATTAATTAAGCCTGATTAGGATACACTTTATATATGGTCTAAACCTAACTTGGTATAGCTTATTAGTACATAATCATGGGTCCTTCCATGTTTTGGTTCTATCAAATCGTATAATTCCTTCCATAAGTCTGTTCACGACACGAGGCTTTTGCGCACCAGCGTTTAACGGGAAGTTTAATGTGTCGTACGAAGCAAGAATCAAGATTTCCCACTTAAAAAAATACACGTAATTGTTCCTGATCTATTGTCCCTGCCTCCTTTGATTTCTGGATCATCCCGCATAAGTCAAAAGTAAAAATTGGCGGGCGCGGGGTTGGGTTCAAATCTCAAATCTTGTGTTACAATTAAAGCTGAGTCGTTTCAGCCCACGGATAAAATCTGCATAACATCTTTATACACCTTTATGGCCATCCATTTCTCGAAATTCAACATGAGAATTCAAAGATTGAAGTTCCTACCAGTTAGTCGAAATATGACTATTCGATCAAGTATAAAATACAAATTTCAATTCGGGGACCTATCTAGAGAAATGCCGTCTTTGTTCTAAATAGGGTCTTCCCAACTGGTCGGTAAGTGTGGCTTCGATTGACCCTAACTCCTCGTTTCCCGAGACATAATGCTGGGGTTGGGTCATGAATGACCTCCATTTCTTTGTCTCTGGAATTCGATATCTCCCTTGCCTTCTCTATAAATGGGGAGTTGGCCTCTGAGACACCTATATTTAGGACAAGGCTAGCATCTAAGCGTATATATACTACGAGTCTCGGCAACTAGGGAAGAATGAGAATGACAAAATATGTCTAGCCACTGCCATTATCCAACTCCCTTTGGTTTTCAAAATCCAACACCGCGACGTCATTGTCTGCTCACACGCGGATAACATGGGGATAAACCATGCCAAGAGTATCAAAATCTATCATGTCTCCACGACTGTCTAATATGATATAAATATCCCGTCAAGAGCCAGGCCGCATCACAATACAGTAGTCCACTGCACAAGAACATACCCAGTCTCTGGGGTTTCTCAAGCTCCGTAGCCACGTCTACAGCATGCAGATGGCTGACTCATTCAAATATAGGCACACCGGTTTTGCGGCACTTAGTCCGGATGCCATCGCCAGTGGTAATTTTTGATCACTCATTTCTCATATCTCGGTGGTACAGCATATGTGAGGAGTCGCAAGAGGCCAATATTATATCGACCAATAGCTTCGTAGGGATATAGGTGCCGGATCGCAATTCTAGACTCATTTTCTTATCTTGTTAGAAATAACCATGTCTACTTGCTACGCCGTCGATACATGGATGTTGAATCCGGCCACCGACCTTAGTTGGATCGATCTGATTTACCCCATGTTTCACCATAAAGAGAACTCCCGTCATGCGTTGCTCATTTCTAATCAAGAACCAATTGCCTCTTCGGATGAAGTCGAATAATGTAGATCCCTTCGATAGAAGGATTATCCTCCAATCCGCTGATATCATCGTGAGGGGTCAACCCCAGATCACATGGCGAACTCCTTTTATTATATAGAAGGGAACTGAGTCAAGTCTTCAAGGCGAGGGGTTGATATTTTAGTCTAGTTGGGTATCTATCCGTGTTGAGTTCAATGCCACACTTATTCGAACTTCACATCGCCACTCGCGTTAAGAATTCAGTATACCAATATCAACTTCAATATGTCGAAGGCATTCATCGCAGCTAAGGAGAAGTATCAGGCTGTGATTGATGACGCTGGAAGGGGGGACTTTGTGTGTAAGCATTTGGAGAAATGTCCTAGGTACAACTAACCTGTACACTGACTTCCGGTCAGGCCGGACCAACCGCATTGGCACCACTCGTCACCCTTCTAACGGCGATTGCCATGCTATCAATAAAGTCGACCACCCTCAACAACGTCGACGAAGCAGCACAACTATAAGGGAGAAGATGAGAGATCTGATGAATCGTCCAGCTTATTAAGTTGTGTAAGAAATTGGTTGCTACATCATGAGGGGTATCGTCAACTATCTGTACTAAATTGACAAATATGAATACATCCCACCATCAAATGTCCATAATGCATAGAGACATGTGCTATCGCTGTAGAATATGTGTTGAGTCCCCGATCGCGACCCGTACCTAGGTAACCATAGTTCATTATTGATGAGATCCGGTCCAATTATTAGGTGCCCCTATTATGGGGCAAACACAAGGACATCATAACAACGCATCAACGAGCGCGAGTGGTTCTTCTAAGTAGTCCTTCAAGTAAATCGACGAGTTATGCTATCGATTTATATGATGTGGCATCTGTGACGAAATAGCAGAGTCCAACTCGTGGTACTCCCGCAGGTATGTCGACCCTTCTAACTCCGAGATGGGGCTCACATCTGGATATCGTTGCTGGCTTAGTGGATGTGGACTGTCAGGTGATATCGCGTAGCCGCTAAGTTCGGATACAGTTGAAACCCTCCCATTATATATCGGCGATGGGCCCATAAAGTTTGATGAGGGAAGATTCTGGGCGCTAGTCGAGGTGTTCGAGTCTAGCCATGTTAATAAGATGTCAGATATCGCGAGACTTCTATATCTAGGCCGAAGAGACGATAGGAGAAGATCTAGGCAGATGAAGGGTCTGAACTAACCTTCCCGCGGTTGTTGTGGTGGATATACCATCTCCATCAAAGCATGGGTTTGAACTACAACAGCCCATGAAGGAGCTGTCATCACATGCATACCAGTCGTCTTCTGTTAGCGGTGCCTTGCAGTTCTGGGCTGGGACGGTGTCCGAGTAATCACTTCCGCCCCATTCTATCTGCCACAGATCAGCAAATTCGCAAGATCCCGATCCATCAGCGCATGGGTCGATATCACAACAGCCAAGGAATCGCGTTTTGGCATCTTCGCATACGTAGAAACTACCATTGGTGGTACACGAAATCTGGAAATCTTCCTCGGGACTCATCGTTCTGAACAAATAAGGATGCCTATAGGCGAAAAGGTAGAAGATCAGATCGTAGGTGACCACATATTGGATCTTTAAGGAGACGGCAGAAGGCAACTGACGAGAAATGAACCAGACATAGGCCGCTCGGCCATTTACGCCTCTATCTAGGTACAGGGCAAAAGTAAAAACATAGACATTTCCATCGATATTGCTTCGTCCTTGAAGAGAGTGTATTAAAGCATTTGGTTTTTAACGAAAATATACCTGCCTTTTATAGAGATTGTATGAAGATCATAATCTTTATACCTTTAAACATGAGTCAGTGGTTATATGTAACTACGGCGAGAGTGAATACGCTTGCTTTTGTAGGCGATGAATCAACCCAGTTAACATCTCACCCGGCACACTAGAAATGGCGACCAAGCTTGTGGCGCCGACCAGCTGCATAATATTGGGCGGCTTACAGCTTTCCGAAGCCAAAACCCAAGAGCAACAGCCCATATCATTGGTGCAGACTTTCCATGTCTAATTTCGAAACGATATGCCCCCCCTTCTTGGTTGATGTGATTCTGCAATACCCTCGAGAGAATCTGATTATTAGGTGTCTTTAAGGTCATGTCTGACTGGTGGGTTAACAAAACTGGATGCTAATTCTTTGCTGCTAATTCTGCCCACGATGCCAAATTACGATTACTAGTGTACATGATTAAATGCTTAGCTACTAAGGTATATTACTTCCCGTTCAACTTAGATCCCTCGGATCCCCATGTTATCTTGATAGGTTGGTGGTTCCCCGAGAACTTTTGCCCAGCAAACCATAGCTCGAACCGAAGCTCCGCCGAAGCTACAATAGCTCGTACTTCAAAAGTACACAGGTAAAACTTCCTGCCTTGGAGTAAATATCGTCTCGATTTACGCTTCAGAACCATATCGCTATGGCTTGCTCCTGTTAAGTCGCTCTTAACTACACAAAGCTGCTTTGCCCCCACTGCTGTATCGGATAAGTATACGTCTAATTTATTGTTATTAAAGAGGACTGGCCAGCTCACCTTGGTTCATACTACGTGGCAAAAGGTCACGATTAAGGTCGGAGACGACGATAACGGATTCCCACGTGCGATTCGGATCTTTTGGGTCTACTTTCTTGGTGTAGGTTGTGCTGATAGGGATATCCGTACTCACCGGATCGCCCTATGCGCCTGTCAGCATTTATTCAATATGTAAAGATCGCAATGTGTTTGGTACCTTTCTGATGAGCCAGTCGATTTGGCTCATGACGTACTGTTCTCCGTCAAATGAATCTGTCTTGATTTCTTCACCCATGTGAATTGCTGGGTTGTATTTCGTTTTGCAAACCACACCATAACTCGCTCGAGCTACCCTACTTACTATAACTGGAGCGCACCTGGAATCTAGCCTTTGTAATCGGTCTAGCAAGAGACCCTTCACGACAACTAATTGCGGATCCGGGGCTTGTAATACTTTGACTTGGTGCGCGTACGGGTGTAAGCTGGTCATCATTTCATGCTGAATACGATCGCGGACGTATTTAGAACTTCCAAGCCCACCAGACAGAATCATATAGCTCTAATCATTAGTACGTTAGTATATAGATATGTATAACTGAATCAACATCAACTTACAATTGGTCGGTTCACGCCGTTAGCTTGCATCCAGTTAAGTTGTTCGTGTATTTTCTTCATAATACTTTCGACGTGTGGATCAAAGAGGGATTGCATTTCTTCCCTATATTTCAACTTGTTAGGATCAGACATGTCTAACGCAGCCGTTGAGAATCACAGTACCATGAAATTACTATCCTACCGAGCTCAATCCGCGCATCGCTATGACTGAGATTGAAAGGAACGCCATCTAAGATCAACTTATAGCAATTGGACTGGTAGACTCGTTCGCCAAACTTGTGTTTCGTCGTTCGATACCTCTCGCTTTTAACGAGTCTCTCGGCACAATCAGGCGGGAGATGTGGTATCAGATCGGGAAACCGACTGAGGCGCTTGTTTACCATGGACACAAAAGCTTGATCGATTAGAGTAGAGCCAATCCCTATGCCGTCGACCTGATTCAGCTGAGCTAGTGATGGGAATGGATCGCGAGCTTCCACAACTTGCATTAATGCGAGGTCTGTGGTTCCTCCTCCTGCGTCGACAGATAGGAAAATATCTCCCGTTTGGAAAGCGACGGCGGAGTTCTTAATAGTTCCGACGGCTGCGGCCTCGGATTCGGTCAACTCGACTGTAGCAATGTGGCGCTGGCCTTCAACGCCAAACCCTGCATTTTTTATGCATTCTTTGAACGCATTGATAATTTCCTGGCTCTTCCATGTTGTTGGAACACTGAAGATGAACTCGACGGCCAATTCCTGCCAACCGACGTGACCAATGCCTGTATGTAACTCTACAGTCGATTTCACATGCGCGTAGACTTCGCGCATATAGTCAGAAATCAGTTTTTGTGCATCTCGAACGGATGCGGGTGCCCGATCGATGCCTTGTCGCCGTGCATCATTCAGTGTTTGCTCATCGAGGAAGATCTTGAAAAATTCATGCTTCTTCCTCTCCAGCGGCTCGTCATCCTCACACAAATACCCCCACGACGATAAGCCATCGCCTTCGTTGTAGATGAGACAAGTAGGAACTTTTTGTTCGTTCTTGGTTGAGCTGCCCGGCCAGTTATGGATAATCTGGATGGGGCTTTGTAAGACCTGGTTCCGTTGTGGTCGCGCCCAGGCGACACCTTTTGCGCCATAAGCATTGGAATTTGTGGATAGTGCGATAACAAGCCGTGACAATTGTTTACTTACCGGTATAAGTCGTCCCTAGATCAATAGCTACGAGTATATCGGGCCGTTCGCTCGCCATGATGATCTAGTTGGCGCAATTAAGTGCATGACTTACATAAGAATGGTTCAAAAAAAAGGTGGTCTGTGATTGCGGCGCGAAATTCTAGTCTGTTGATGCGAATAGAATACTTTTTGGCTGTTTTCGCGATATTCGCTTCGCAGATGAGGGATCGTCACGACTGTGAGCCTCATGGACTTATCATAGTAAGGGATACGCACGAAATTGCTGAAAGAAGAAACCCTCTAGCATTCTCTAAGGAATTCCGCAAGGGTTGGTCTAGGTGGATACAACTCTACCCCTTGGTGTAAGGCTGTGTACCTGGTTGGGTTTGATGAGTGCTGCGTATAGATACCATAATTATGTATGGCCTCGGTAGTTATTAACTGTCTTGGGATTCAAACATTAGGGTCTGTGGGAGGTAGGATCAATTGTTGGCTCTTACGAGTCAGATCATGCCCTGTGTTTCTGCCCCAGCCAGTTCTATTCTTATCCACTGGACCAGTTCAGGCAATGAGTGACCGCCGATTTCCGACATTGCAATATGAGTGGAACAAGTCCAAAGACAAACGACAAGCACAAGGATGCTGATTTGCCAGCCCGCCTAAAATGTGATTGATTTGTACAGCTTCTAGATAATGGTATTCTTGGAATGGTGGCGCATGGCGAACAACAAACTATCGCCAGAGGAGATCAATCTCATGGTAACAATGTGTACTACACTGAATGGCGCAAATATGGTATAGTTGCGGCCCCCAGGTACCAAAAAAGCACCCATGCTGCAAGTAGGCTACGGCTGACGGACCCCCTGACCATACTAGGTACCCCCTATCTTTGCTTTTATGGGCTATGTGGCTTCGGTACAAACATTCTCACCGGTTTTCTAACCCCGAAGGAGGTGTCACAGCAGATTTATAAAACTCCAAGCGAATAGAAAATGACGTATAGCGCAATATCTTGCGCATCGCAGTCCAGAACAAAGAAAAGCAAAAAGTATACAAAACTGCGTGTCTCAACGCTCTCGTTTTCTACCAATAGATAGAGGTTTAAGTACTTACCAAAGCACTTACCTAAGTAGGCATCTTAACAGATGAGATCCGCACCACTTACCGCGAAAATCTTACTTATTCGTACTTGATGGCGTATAGTAATCGGGGCTGAGCTGCAAAACCTGCGAAGGATTCCCCCTGGATACCAATTGGAGTAGACTACGACGATAGTAACGACACTTGCAAACAATCGAAACAGTAAATTTGTCTCTTTTCTACAATTCTGAATTCGAATTATGTACGGACTGCATTTACAATTGGCGTCATGACGACAGAAATTTCTTCGACTACGGTTTCTACCGTCTTCAAGCCGGGAACATCCTACGAAGCGGTCGATGTATGGATAAAGCCACCGGGACAGTCAACATTCATTTTTTCTACGGAGGATTGGAACACTTTCACTACTACAGCAACGTCATTTACTTCCAGTTCGACTTCGCAAACTACAACAAGCGCGTCTTCAAGTGCATCTTCAACTCAAGCAACGTCATTGCCCGTAAATAATGCGCAAGTGTCCCAGACTGGTTCGGGCCTTTCCTCTGGGGCTATCGCCGGGATTGCTATTGCATGCGCTTTTGCCGGGTTGATAATGGGCGTAGCTGCAGGTTTCCTCTTATTTCGGAAGCGGAGGCAGCAACCATCGGAGGCCCGGTATCACGTAGCATCCACCGAATACGACGGCCAGGAGAAGGCATTGCAAAGTGTGTTATCAACGGATAGATTGCATCTATATCAATTCCTTCTAGATACGTCGCCAGATGCTGAAATCAACACGGAGTTACAGTCTTTAAATCAGTTGCTTCAGCAGCATGTCGAAGACCATTACCATACCGAACCGGTTTCGCGCAGCATCACTACGCTATCGGCAGCGCTTATTAACCTCGGAATAGACGAGGATGCTAGGATCCCAGCTTCTAAACTCGCATCTTTAGCTCTGGATCCCGTGAGTCGGTATAGCGCCATACAGCATGTTATCGCGAAGGTCGCGTTTGGTAGTGTCGCTTTCGATGATGGGCCAACTACATTTTCCCTGCTACCACAACCGATTTCTTCATTCGCGTCAATGGTTCCCGCTACGGAAGCTCATACAGGGAACCCAGAAGGTGCGTGGTATTGCTTTTTTTTAATCTCTTACCCAACGTCACGAATACTAACGTAAAATAACCTCGACAGCCGTCGATATTGCTCTCACTCGATGGCGACAATTATCTGCTTTTCTACTCCATCCAAGTAGAAGTGATCGTACACCATTGGCGCCGTCAGAGAGCGTTAGCACTCATCGAGCACAACAACTGGCTCTGTCCTTGAATTCCTTTTTAGAGCCATTCGTGGCCGGAGATCGCCAAGATAGATACGAACAGGAAAACCACCTGCGAGAAGTGATAGTAGAGTGCGCTACTTTCGGTTATCTTATATTCTCGCAACCTTCAGAGTACCGGTTTCGCTTCGACAGCGGCGTGAGACCGGACCATATTGTTATTTTCCCCGGGTTGGATAGAATTAGTGATGAAGAAGGCCATAGATACCCCCCGCCGGCTCAACCAGTTGCTATACCAGTAGTCGAGCATATGTAACTATAAAAGTACCTAAATATGAATAATGATTTTATGAATGTTATAAACTAATAAACCTGGTGGGGGGAGTAGCTGTTCACAATGTCACCTACCCCGTTACATCTACGAACGAGGGGTCCGTTGCGAAAGGATTGATGCCTATCAAAATAACGCCGAAAGCTGTGAGACAGTATCACGTCTCACTAGGAAAATACTCACTATAACTTGGGCAATGCCAGAATCGCGATTAGAAGAAATGCGAATGGTTGTAGCGCCCACAGAGCCCCAATCATATTCTACGGTCCTACCAACATGGTCATTTCACCCATCCACTTGGCATTTCCCCAGTGCCACCTTGGGGCTATATTCATGGCCCCCGCCTAGTATTTCATAGTAAGGTGGTAGGTTCTATCAATCTAATATTCTGTAAACCATCCAACTTTGATATTATACCAGAAAACCCATCATTTGGTTGGTCAGCTTTGCCTGCGGATTTCCAAAACTATACTATATCCAATATAATATCGGATATCCAGTGGTACACCTGAAGCTGTTGTGTAAGGGTGGTTGATGTTTTCTGGTAGATTTGAGTGCAGCTCTTAGTTGTCTATTAAGATCTGCCACGCCCTCATCGAATATCACTAGAGCCCTCCTTAGACCCTTCTCTCAAGGGTCACTTCTCAACCGCACACTAGCCACACCTAGAGTTTTGGTTTCTATATGCATCGTATGATATTAGAAGAGTGAGAATAATAGCGAGGATCTAAAGTATCTCATGTTATAAAAATGAACTACTTCAAGCGGCGTCTCTCCCATAAGCCACGCACAGCAGCTGCGAGGAAGCCCGATAGCCGATTTGAAAATGTCGACCTCCTTAAATTGTTGATGGATAAAACTGAAAGGAAGATTTCAGGTTCGTAGAGTCGATAAGAAGCCAACAGATACTATGCATGGTTAACAGTATAGGTCGATTTTCTGTTTCACCTGAGCGACACCCAAGCCCAAGGAGTTCCTCAGATCGAAACCCATCGGAAGCCTATGGTTATTCTACAACTTCCTCTACTTCATCTATGGGAAGCGACCATGGGAATACCTTTGAATCGTCACTATCTACTCTCGCGACGGCAGCTTCGCTTCATCAAGCGCCTATGTGCCCGGGGATAACAGTTCCAGGAAATATGTCTCCGGGTTTTCCAAGGGGCTCCTTCGACAACACCCAAGATTCGAACTTTCATAAACCATATGTCGAACTAGTGGTCGAACGTAGGGCCGGATTAAAAGCTCTATTTCAGGAACCAGTTCGACTAAGGCCACATTCAACATCCCTTTCGGGCGACTCGGTTCGCTTAGATGCCTTTCCAAATTATCCCTACTCACCTAACTCCGCTCCCGAGAACTCCTTATCTACTCTACCGAGTGTAAGAAATAGCCGCCCTCAGAACTCCGAGTGTGGCAGACATGATCGGCCTGCTAGTACCGAATTCCAGGCTCCTCAAGCCAATACACCGAATGTACGAGCCCTTACGGTATCGGCTCAGGTCAAATTAGACGCCGAAACAGCGAGTAGGACTAGCAGCGAGACAGATAGAGATATGCAGGCCATGGACCCGCGAGCTCAGAAAGTTGCTTTATCTTTGATATTTATGTATCAAGCTCGAATGAGGGGTGAACCTGTGCGAAACGAGGCTGATAGCGAGGAGTGGTAGAAAATGACAAGAACCTTCCGATAGATATTTCTAATTCAATGTTTAATACTTCTTCGGGTAGCGGCGTTGTTAGGATTCAGTTAGTCAAAGAGTCAACGGGGGGAGTCGGTATTTGAAACTGTGATACCACAATACTAACGAGCTGAGAGATTACGCCAAAAGGAATATTTACCTAAACAAGATGCATTACTCTTGACATCATTTACTCACCAAAAAGGTATGAATACTACTCCAGATGATCGCGGGTGTCCGATGCTCGTACCCTACATGGTTACAAGCATGACATCAACGCAAATATACGTTAATCAAGCGGTTTACTAATAACTCCTAAATATCGCCGACAACACCTCAAGATCTGACCAATCCGATTGGATTAATATTCCAAATCTTTGAAATTCTGCTATTCGGCGGTTCATCCAAGTCCTAGGGATGAAAATATCATCTGCGCGTGGCGATTGGGGTTTTGGATGTGCCGAGACGGCCATGCATGACACCTCGAGCTACTTATAGAATATAGATAAACTCGACGTCGACGAGTTATGATTGGCAAGATAGAAATTTTGAAGAGCCTAGGATTCGAGGGGAGCCGAGGTTAAACGTGATTCGTGCATTCGACGTCCTATCCGCCGCCGCCTAAATCTGTTAATATAAGTAATTTGAGATTAAACGACCAAAAGATCAGCATCCGGCGGCATATATCTACCTAGGCGGGCGAGACGATAGTCATAGAACCATGTATTTAGGAGTCACGATCCCGGTTATCGCACATCTTAGCCAAGTCCTTGGAACCTTTGCACCAAAAGTCTTTGCTTCTCACTAACGATAGCAGACATCGGATTCAAGATGCAGTGGAATGCTCTCGCCCTTGCGCTATTCGCGCAGCATGGCGCTACCCAGATGCTGGAGATGTTGCGATTCAGTTGCTCGCAGCTCGTTATCGACCGTATAGACCCTCTGGTAACGCCCGGATCTATCCCGTCGCCGCATCTCCACCAGATCGTCGGAGGTAACTCATTTAACGCTTCTATGGACCCAGCGACACACGATCTCCCCGGGGAGTCCACATGTACTAGCTGTACTTTCTCAGAAGACTTCTCGAACTACTGGACTGCAGTTCTATACTTCCGAGCTCGTAACGGTACATACAGGCGTGTACCCCAATTCGTGAGCGAGGGTCTCCGAGCCGATGGTGGTATTACGGTGTACTATATCCCAGCGACCGACAAACAAACCAAGGTTACTGCCTTTAAGCCCGGCTTCCGTATGCTTGTCGGAGATGCCGCGCTACGTGAGCCAGGCTCGGCACCCAAGGTATGCCATCGTTGTATGCCAAAGTCGGGAGACAACAGCAACATCAACTGCGGAGCTCCGGACAGCAAGAACCTACCCACCAAGTTCTGCGAGGGCGGTATTCGCAGTGTCATTACCTTCCCTACTTGCTGGGATGGAAAGAACACGGATAGCCCGGACCATAAGAGCCATGTTGCGTACCCCTCTTCAGACTCTGGAGTTGGTGCATCTGGTACTTGCCCATCAACCCACCCTGTCAAGATCCCTCAAGTCATGTATGAGGTTATGTGGCAGGTAAGCAATATTATTTTTTTGACTTGCCTTCACGAGTTGCCAAGTAAAGTCGTATGCTGACTTGATATATGTAATAGACCCAGCTTTTCAACGACAAGAACCTATGGCCCGAGGATGGCTCTCAGCCGTTCGTCTGGAGTACCGGCGACAAGTGAGTTTCCCTCTTTCAAGGGGCCCGCAGTTGGGATGGAATACTAATTATATATAGGAACGGATATTCGCAGCACGGCGACTACGTCTTCGGATGGAAGGGTGATGCTCTCCAAAAGGCGATGGACGCCCGCTGCAACGGTGCCGTCTGCAACGCACTAAAGACCCAGTCCTCTGAGACCGCGATGAAGTGTACTAAGGACAGGATTGTCAAAGAGGATATCGATGGATGTAAGTTGTATCTCTCAAGTCGTTCTCGTGGGCCTAGCTTGACTAATCGTAATATCGCAGGGGTAACCGAAATTCCGGGCCAGTCTACCGTTAATTAGATCGATATCCATAAGAATTGGGCCTCGGGGGTAGCAACAAGAGTATTAGAATGAAAGGCTTATCATAAACATACCTAATTATATACCGAATCCATATGTAAACGGTAGCTTGGGATTTCAGCCTTTTATATGCCTATTATTACCGTAGCCCATATCCATTCGTTAGGGCTGAGGAGATGTAGGTTTGTCTAGAACGTAGAATGAGAAAGCCAGGTAACGGAAAATATAGTAAAAGTGTGGATCAGTAACGTAGGGTAGGGCCTAGGTAAGGGAAGTATTAATCTCGTACCGGGTGGTTAGGGATACGACGGTACAAGCCGAGACATTATTTTAGGATAGTACCCTCGATGGTGGGGGCATATTTGGAAGAAGTTGAGCTGCTCTTCGTCCACCAACCTGTATGAGGGTCATTTAGGATGGTCGGTGATGTTGCAAATTTGTAAATGTGATAAGCCCTTTATTCAGCATTTTGCTCATGGTGTAGCTGGGTTCACTGAGTTCAGTGCATAGAGGGACATCGATGGGCTGAGATCCCTGCGTGAGTGGTTACACTACTTCCCCACCGGTTACTGAGCCGTGTGTAGATGTTGTATGAAGTCACCACCTAAATACCTAGATAGGGAACGGTGTTACAGGTGAGCGGTATTCGTCACTGCCCAATATGGGGAGCGCAGCATGCCATGAAGATAAAAGTCCTTGGATAAGTGGCGTGTTTGGTGTCTCGAATTGTCTGTCCAGAGTGACGTACGGGTGGTGTCCGAAGTCCGCCGATTTCTCCGAGCCGAGACTAGAGTCCTGTTCTACCTGGCACCGAATAACATCTCTTCCGCGTTACAGAATGTAATACTTTTATCAAGGGATATCATAATATGTCCCATTCATAGATCGGCAAACCTCGGTACCTAGACACGTTAATGCGTGTCAGTTTTGGATTTTATGCCAGGAGCATTTTGTATATAGAGGCGTACATCTTTCGGACATAACCAATCTTTATTTCGTATGTTGAACAACCTTAGGTACCAACGGACTCTATATTCTATCAGTACTATATACGAGACCGTTGAGTACGACGGGCTCTTTTGCTAGGTATTACCGCTAAGACTGACGGCGATCTCCACGGTGAACCTCCAACGATGGATCTCAACAGCCTCAACCACAATCTTAACGGGCTCGTCGCATCAGCGCTCGACGTATTCCGACGAAACCGAACGGTCATCACAGCTACTGCCGCCGTCGTTGCAGCTGGCAGCACTATTTCGATTTTCTCGCGCATAATATCCGACTACCGCGCCTGGCACGCCCTCGGACCTAATGGCGTACCCTTGAATCCCTTCGGCTATGTCGCACAATCTATCGCCGGTCTCGTTGCTCGTCGGGATGTGCGCGACCCCAAGCCTGTAAGCAACATCAAGTTTTCCTCCTATTCTCTGGTTGTATTTTCTGGGTTAGGAATGCAGCAGTAACGTACGAACCACTAACAACCGCTCTTAATATAGTACGATGATGCCAAACTCTCGGAGACCATGTACGGACCCATAACCCGACGTTCATTCTTCCCCGGCGGTCGTTCGCTGCCACGCCGACGGGATCCTCGTCCCGACATCGCTCCCTACGCCGCGCCGCACCGACAATCATCCCAAAAAGGTACATCCGCTATGCGCGCGAGACAAGAATCTTTCTTCTACGCGCTAGTCTCCGCCAACCCTTCCTTATTCCAGATCAAGCCATCCAATCTCGAAGGACCGCTCTTCAAAGGCCTCTGGCTACAGGATGGGCTCCCGGTGCGCCGCGAACTTCGTGGAACGAATGGCGAATTCGCGCATGTCCATGGTGAGGGTAGCACTCATTTGGTGTTTAGCCTAGCCGACTCAGCCGCGGCTATCGAGAATGGTTGGGCTGAGAGGCATCCCATGAGTGGTGTTGGAAGAATAATGACGTGGGGATACGTGATGGTCTATGCGCCGCGGGATGAAGAGGATTTCAAGGTATGGAGGCAATTCATTATCACGAGCGCGAAGTATGCCCTCGGTGGCGAGGCGGAAGTCGTGATGCCGTAGGAATAGTAAATGAGGAAACTAGAAGCTAGAATACCGTGATAGTTAGATATGTCGATGATGTTATGGGGCAAGAACTGAGAAAATCTCCCCTCCAGAAGGTATATCAGCTCACGTACATAGATAAACTTGAGATCTGAATATATAATATATAGTTTTTTTTTATTGTGATATACGCATTGTTTAAATCTTGACATTTAAATCACCTAGTTGGAAGTAGCCTAGGATTCCATAATGCTAACTCTTCAATATGTTCTCGCCAAGCTTGGATTGGGTCTGTTGCTGCGATAGACTGGGCAGTAGCACCCGTTGTATTGACACCATAGAGGTAAGGCTTTTCGTCGGCATAGCAAGGCGTCTCTTGTTCGTCGGGTAGAGTGCCATTCAGTATGAACGTCTTCGCAATAGAATCTGTGCAACTAGATTTATCTCTGGATGAATGACCGTAACCGTGATGTACAACTAATCTAGCATTCTTTCCCATCTCATTTAAGAGTCTTCTCCCATTTCGTAAAGGCGTCGCTGGGTCGTATGTCTCTGCTATTAATAAGACCGGGTTCTTAAGCGTGTGGTTCAGATCCCCTCGGTAGACTTCAGCAGGTTGTGGCCAATACGTAGGAAAATGTCGGCATGGGAAAACGTTGAAGAAACGTGAATTGCCTGAGATCCAAGCTTGGGTCGACATGTTGGCCCATAATGAATTCCACCAAACGAGACCTTCTGGTGGCAAAGGAGCATCGTATGAGTCGGCGCATATGACTAGAGCCCCAAGTTCGTCGGTTGAAGGCTTAGGCGAGGGTGGAGATGGCAGCGTAGGATCATACTCCCATCCTGCTCGTTCGAGCATGGCCGTTGCCAGAGTTGAGTTGCTAGCTTCTAGCTCGTACAGCATTTGAGCAAGGCTGGGCCAAGACTTGGCGTTGTATAATGCACTATAGATGGCGGATACCAGGGAGGAGTATGTAATGAGAGATGGACCGCTAGAATCGAGGTAACCCGGGACGGGCCGCTGGCTGATCGACACTACTAATTTCTTCATTCGAATTTCCAACTCCTGTAGGGACACTGGCTCGGAGCCCCTCGGTCGTGACAAGGCGCAGTATTCCGGGCCAGCATTAAGACACTCGCCTAGAAAACCGTCACGCCATGCATCGGTCGCATTATCCAGTGCAGTCCATCCAAAACCCCCAAGAAGACGGTGATCTCGGACGTATTCAGTCCCATCAAGAATTACGCGGCCCACGCTATCCGGAAACATATTAGCCCAGGTTTGGCCAATACCAGTACCATAGGACACAAGGTAGCCCGTTAACTCGTCTTCGCCAAGGTTCTTACGAATCTCCTCCATATCGCGCGCGACAAAAGCTGTACCAATAAACCGTGGGAGATCGCCATGTCTTTCTAAGCACGCGCGGAATGTAGCATTATTCATAGCGTCCGCAAGCTCTAGTTGGGTTTCGGGTGACCCAGACACCTCTCGATATTGCCCTGTAAGCATAGACCAGCGATCTCGGTCGGCGTTGTAGGGGAAGCAAGCTACAGAGGGCGACGTGATGTTGACACCACGAGGATCCCACCCCAAGACGTCGAATTTCCCATCGCTGAGGCGCTTCGTGACGTCCTCTGCTGCTCTCCAAGCGTATGATGTTCCACTTCCACCCGGCCCACCAGGCTCAATGACAATGGTGCGTTCGCTTTTGCTCCCCGCGGATTTCGTGCGAGGAAGACCCGCCCCATCGAGTTGGGCTAGGCCTGAGACTTGGTATTTCGTTACGGCGAGTCGAACGATACGGGTGTCGGATTCATTGGTATGGTCTAAGGGAACATCGAGGTATCCGCATAGATAGATTCCACGTCCAGCATATGGATCTTCGTGGTGCCCATTTTGTTCAGTTGTCGCATTTCCCCAGCTCCAATGATCGGGATTCGGGTCAAATAGATGAGCCCAGCTTTGGTCGGGATTAGAATCGTCGAGTGCGGGTGGGATAGTCGCATTGGTACAAGGAATGAAGTGGAATGGATCATCGGGGAGTGGGAATTGGCCGTAGGGTGATCTAGAGCAGTGTTGTACTGCGCCGCTGGTTAAGGCGTTATAGTATTGTTGATGGAACCCTTCGTATGAAAATTTCGGAGGTTGAATAGATGATATAGCACCAATTACAATTAGACATACAATAGCCAGCGCTATGGGCCAAGGTTCTCTGGATTCCGACTCTGGCGAGCGATCAGTAGGAGACGACGATTTCTCCATGATGATAAATCGTAAATACAACAGCTACAAGATATAGATATCGTATTTTTGAGCGCAAGTAGCGCGGTGAATCAGGATAATTACCAACTCATGAGATATGGAAGTGATATGACGACAATTAAATGTGTTATATACTATGTAGTGATAATGTAATGGAGGAAGAGGTGGAAGATGAGGATGAAAGGATGAAGGTGTATGTAGCTCTTAGAGCAGCGATTTAGGTAGATAGCTCTAAGCTAGAGCTTCAGCGACTTCCTCGGTATAATTTAGTGGGACGAGTACCTATCCAGACACACCCCCAGGGCTATCTAAATACCTTCACTCCTTCCCTCAGATCTCTACACAGGCGCAGAAGTTTCGTATTTAAAGTAATAAAAGGTTTGCCGGACTTAAATATAGTTTATTTATTCCCAGAACCAAACCAGCTTAAGTTTTTCGGGCACGATTTATAAGAGTATGATAGTTGGCTGGTTATATGACAAATTTACGGCTAAAATGGCGATATCCCGTGTCTCACCCAGGCATTCATTTTAATTCTCGTTCACAACCCATTTATCATTCTAATTCATCTTCTCTATTGTATGTCAATCATAAAATATCTTAATTTCATACCTTCAAGCTCCCAGCAACTATCCAACAAGTCTTATAATTTCGGTTTGGTATCATATGTCCAAATCTCTTCGACTTGCCCTAATACGCCGTGATATGTCCACCCACATATCATGATGAACCAGTCTACTAACCCACCTCCTAACATCCTCACACAATCTACATAGGTATCCTCCGAATCTCCTCAACAGTCCAATACTTCCTCATATTCTCCGCGCCAAGCGTCTGCACCTCCTGATCAAGATGTTTCCACAACACCGCGCCCCAACTCTCCATCTGCGCCTTCAGCGTCGGCATATCCAACTCACGATCCCCATCCCGACACGCGCGTAGGTACGTCTCCATCCCTTCCATACCAACATGTATATCCTTATGCTGCCTTAGCAACTCCGCCGCCTTAGCACCCTTCCCGTCGCTGCGAAACTCCGGCATGCGCTTCGCTAGGATGGGGAAGATGTATGTTTCCTCGATGCTGTGGTGTATTTCGAGTTGCGCTACGAATGCGAGACCGTCGCTTATTACGCCCCGCCCGCCCCGCGATAATCCCTTGCCTTTGCTACTACCCCCGCCGCTGCTGGTGGCTGCGGCCCAGAGCGCGTTCCAGGCTGTACGGAAATGTTCGTGGAATACGTCCATGTGCTCTGCTAGTCAATTGTATGCGCGGAACTCAGCGCCTTTGAGGGGAGGCAGTTTCTTCTCTTCGGGAGCCTTGGTTGTTTCCTCTAGGGCGCTCGTAGATGCGACAGAGCTGCTGGACTCGCAGGGCGGGGTTGCGGGGGAAGTCGACATGTTGGCGCCGCTCAAATGGATGCTACGTACAAAACTCGCTCGGAAATGTGTTCGAACTGTAGGGATTGTTGGATTATGATCGCGGTAGGTTATCAACGTCAGGGTGGGGGGCAATCGCAAATAATTAGAAGCGACAACGGTTGGTAGAGGCAGACAATTTGCGACGAGGCCAATTCTAGCACCTAAAGTGGTAGGTATTCGTCGCGGGATCATGGACAATCTAAAGGAATTATATTCCTACTCGTCATCGTATATAAGAAGGCATTGTCTTCGGGTTATTTTTTATATAACCCATACTTCCTATACTAAAACTACAACTGTAATAGCGATCCATGATTCAATAAGTCAGCGATTAGCAAGCAGAATAATTCTACCACTAATACGAGCCCATCGCTTTTACTTTCTGGTACTTATTTTGTGTCAGCCCCTTCATTCTTATTATGATTGGTTGATTAAATCCACATTAGCGTTTTAAGTACCGAATTATCCTTATCGATACGTATAGCTATGCGTCCGTCGTGACGGAATTGGCGTCAGCGTAGTAATATAATGGCCTTTATTAAATGCACAAGAATCATGATCATAAGATAAATTTAATGGAATGAACTAGGCAAGTTGCCAAATCACTCATAAAAATAAAAGTCAATTCTCTAGCCTTTAGCTAATGTGATCGGTACACATGAACCCCGTCGTCGGCAACATTACTAGTCCCATGCCGCCGACGTGTTTTCGTTAAAAGTCAAACCCAGCCGTATGCAGTAGATACAAATGGAAAAAGGAAGGAGGAAGCACTTCGTATTGAAGGGCAGTCAATTTAACTTCGGACCGCGCCACTCAATACACCACCAGTGAATTGTGTGCCACCAGCTTGTCTTGGGCCAGTTCCTCCTGTCCTTGCACCACCGCGGCCACCCCCTCGTCCGCCACCTCGGCCACCTCGTTGGTTTTGTCCACCTCTCCTGTCGAAGGCATTGGCTGTACCTTGCGTACGTTGTTCGAGAGTACGTTCGTTCGTCTCGATGAGTTGCGCCGCCTTGTCCGATAACGTGAGAGCTAAGCTCTGGAGACGAGACAACTCTACACCCTTTCGGAAGATGACAGTTGACGTGACTTGGTCGAGGGCGGCTGATAGCTCCTCATGGCTGATCATCTTGCTGACTATAGCAGCGACCTTGCGGTCCTCAAGCTCGAACATGGAAGAAAGTGTAGAGATGGCGAGGGTATCGTAGAAGGGGGCGTAGGTGAATAGGTAGGTTCGGAGGCCTTCCTCTTGAACCTGCTTCGAAAGCATAGCCTTAATTTCGTCTGTGTTTGGCATCAGGTCCCAGATCTTGATGCTGTGAATGAAGTTGGTTGCCTTCTTCCACTCTCCAGCAGCTAGAGCGCGAGATGCTTGCATCACGTGGTCACGCGTGTTCTCCGGAGGTCCAGTGAAGATTTGTCTCTCGTGGTACTCCAACATGCGTCGGTACGTCTTGCTGATAACTCGCTTCTTGATGTCTGGCGATGAACCGGTTTGGGCGAGCAGGGGAATCTCGAGTAACATGCTGCAAGTTAAGTAGACGCATTCGAGAAGCTCTAGGTTGATGTGCATGTGGAATGGTAATTGTCTTTGCTTCTCTAGTCTCTCTTGCTCGGGAGAAACCTGAGCATATCGCTGGATCATAACACCCTGAGCTAACAGCTCCTTCTGTCGTCCACTACCGCAAATCTCCTGTAATGTGTTCTGCGCCTCGTAAACCAAGCCCTTTCGGAAAGCACAAAGTCCAACTTGGACTAGGGTTCGGTTGTAAAGGATCTGTGTCTGTACGTCGAAACTGCCGATTGTTTCCTGCAAATGCGACATAAGCATCATGTCTCGAGCCTTGTAATACTCGTCGTGTAGAGCAAGGAAATAGATCTGGCACAGCATAGCTCGGGCTCTAATGATGCCCTCGCTGTTGACGAACAGATAGTTGCAGAGGACGTTGAGGAGGTTAGTAGCGTCTGTGATGCTTCCCCTGGGAGTGATGCCGGATTCGACGTCTGAAGGTACCGGCTTCCAGGCGTTCTCCTCGAGAATCTTGACAACCTGCGCAGGCTTGAAGTAGACATGCTCTAATCTTCGCATTACGATACGGTTCAGACTGTCTTGAGGAGTCTGGAGTGATGTGTCCTTGGAAAGGTTCTCGTAGTAGAGAAGACCACGGAAGATGACATTGTATAGCGAACCCTCATCAGTGAGTCGTTCGATGTACTCCGATGTGTGGGGGTCGATGCTTTGTAGCGATCGTGTGAGCTCGTCGTCAAGCCGCTCAACATATGACACGATGCTTCCCGGAATCTTGATGTACTTCTCACCCGGTTGTAAAGTGGGGGGCTTCTCGTCATCGTCCCATTCCTCGGCGTTCTCGATAACGATATACTCTCGGTTCGACTCGAGGACTTCGAATAGTGTCGATATCTCCTTTTCGGCTGCCTTCCAGTGCTCTAGGGGCATGGATGCTGAACCACCGGACCCAAGGTCGAATCTTGCAGAAACGATGGTTAGAAGAACCTTGATTCGTTGGTATGGAGTAGCTGCAACTTCGTAAAGCTTCTCCATGATCTTAATCTGCTCAATACGATCCGTGTTCTTCTTTCCACGAGACTCTAGGATTCCTCGCAAGTGCTTGAATATGCTCTCAGGAGTGAATAGGAGTGTTCTTCCACCCTTGCCGACAGTTGCGAAGCCTTCTTGGTCATCATCGACTTGATCAACAAAATCCTCAGCCTTGATCTTCTTAGGCTTCGGGGCGGGGGCTTCTTCCTCCTCATCAGAGGCTAGGAAGTCAAGGGGGTCCTCTCTGTACGAATCGACTTGTGATTGGTAGTCTTGCTTCAACTTCTTGATCTTTTGCTTAACGGCGTTGAGGCCACGAGCGCTTGTAGCGTTCATCTTCTTTGGGGTGACCTTTTGCTTCGAGATGGTCTCGTTCATCGCATCCTCTAACTCGACGAGAGCCTTAATGTAAAGCTTAGGTGTTCGGCCTCGCTCGGAAATCTTGGCGGCTTGTCTGTTGAGCTTGTCGAATTCTGTATTACCACAATCAGCATCGTTCAATGAATTTCTGCCATCAATTCGACTTACCAACGGAAATGGCACCCCAGTCGCTGATCTTCTGGCGCTTCTCGATCGTGTCGATTATAGATTCAAGCTCGGCTATTTGCTTGTCCTTGGCACTCTTTAAGGTCTTGGGGGCGTCATCGTCGCTTTCTTCGCTCTCGGAGTCATCGCCACGCAAGAAACGAGCCGCACCGGATTTTTTACCACCCTCTTCATCACTGCTGGATTCTTCTTCGGATTCTTCATCCTCATCCTCATCATCTTCTTCAGACTCATCCTCCTGCTCCTCTTCTTCCTCTTCCTCCTCGGAGTAGAGCTCCTCCTCTTCGGAGCTGCTCTCGGACGAACTATCGTCGCCGCTACGGAAGAATCGAGACATTTTATCGGTCGTTCTCAATTTATGTAGGTATGATTATAAAATCAAAGGCTACAATTGAGGATGGATATTTAGTCGGCGGCGCGATGAAGTGGGAGGAGTTGCGCGCAATTGTGGATGTGGGAAAAAAAGGTTGAAATTGGGACTGGAGGGGCAAAAAATTCGGGTGCACACATTTTTTGGAAAATGGATGAATTTTTGGTGGAATGTGGGGTCCGAGGGGTGAACCGACTCGCAGCTGGCAGGTGTGCCCAAGTGACTCACCTATCAGAGCTTATCTTCGCAGTTGTTTTAATGTGGTCCGTGCTTTCACTGTAGGACATGATGCCTACCGTGTGGGCCTGTACAGTATATACTGTGCTCTTCTACACTCCCTACTAGTACTTGTAGGGCAAACATGTACAGTATCACTCATACATATTTGCACGGTACGCAACTAGTCTAACACCTGGAACCTTCCTACGCATTTGACGGTAATAGTGAAAGAACCAATTCTAAATGGTACTAGAGGCTTTTGTTCACGATCTTAAAGAACCTAGATGGAGAGAAATATCTTAGATAGATGATTCCATTAATGGCATTGGCGCTATCGAGGGCAAGTTAGACACCATGAAGGCATCTAATACTACCTAAATAAATTGCAAAAGATTCCTCCCCGGTTTGACGCCTCTCGACCAACGTGATGTAGATCTCATGTAGCTATAACCTGAATGACCCCGTACGCCATTGGTAAAATTCCATTGTGATGCCAAATCGCTGGTGAACCTACTACCTGCCCAGGTGGTAGTAATCCCTAATGCCTTCCAAACGCCCCTAAGATGCCTGCCTTAACACCCTTGAAAATTCCCTTAGGTGCTCCATGGATTCATACCGTGTGGCCTAAGCACTGTGTCTGATTAAACAGTAAACAGTTGAATTAAACCTCTTGATCAATCTCCAACCAGTCAGGATGATCCCTAGCTCGCCAAGGCTTGATACCCTTAGGGTTTGCTTCGCGGCTCTTCTTAGCTTGCTCGAGTACCTTCTTGCTTTCCTCGCTGTTGTAAAGGGTACCAAAGTCCTTGATCTGCGTGTTTGCAGCAGCAACTGACTTGACGAACACCTTATAGACTTCCTCGGCTGTTGTTTGTGTTAGTATTACTAAGAAACAAATGAACTGTGGGGCTATACGTACGTGTAGCATTGTGCGGAATGGTCTCTAGCATGCGTTGAATTGTTGTTCGCAGTTCTCTGCACTGTCCATAGAAACAGTGTAAGTTGGCAATCGAGTAGTTTATCGCTATGGGTAACTGCCGCCATCGCCAGGTGAACAAATACTTAAGGGACCCACGTACCTTGATATGAAGTAGATTTAACTGCTTCATATTTTTCTCCAGCTGCTCTTCTTCTGCTGTCTTCTTCCCATCCTTTGCCGTCGTAGGAACCAAACCAGATTCCAGGTGTGGCGCCATTTTCTTCTCTCTGCTTCTTCACCTTTACTTTCTCCTTTACTTCTCGATATTTTGATGATCTGACTTTCAATATAAAGAAGGCGAAACGAAAATTATTCAATCGTTTATTCAACTCGGATACCAAATCGGAGAAGAAAAGAAGTCGTCTGAATCAATTACGAAACAAAAATTTTCCAGTTCGTGACGAGGAATAATTGACAAGATGAAGGTTAAGGCGTCGGCTCCTGAGTTAAAGGGCAAGATGCAAGCGGGCAATCAGTCCAAGCTTCCTAGCGTGGCTATTCAGCCACAGGAGAATCAGCCACGCGGTACTAAGCGCGCACTGTCGGCTTCGATCGTTAGCCAACCCCAGCCCACCTACGAGTTACCTGATACAACCTCAGCACCCCATGTGGCTATTCACCCCCGTCCTTCTGGTCACCAAGCCAAGAAGCTGAAGGTTGGATACCAGGCATGTACACCTTGCCTTCATCATGCTCATGATGATTCCGACGAGGAGAAGGTGATTGAGATTGTTGATGCTAAGAATGCTAAAGAGGTAAGCTAACATTTTGAGTTTAACTAACCTCCACTGTCTGCATACATATGTACATGTACTGCTCAACCTAACCTTATACATCCATAACATTGAAGCTACCCCCCAACCTCCCAGCCTCTTTTCTGTTCCCCCACTTTCCCTTTCCTCCCTACCTACCTAACCTATCACACCCCTAGTCCACATGACCTTGTGGCGCCAAACTCTCTTTTCCCATAGTTCCCCACCCACCAACCAAAATTCCCTTTTCTGCACCGTCCCGGATCTTCGTCCCCAATTCAACTCTTCCCACTGTCCTACCGCAGCAATATTTGCGTCAACGCCAACGAACTCACACGGTGACCAACAATTTCTAGGCTACAACCACCACCCCGCCCTCGGGCCCCCCCAACACGGCCACGATGTCAGCAACCGACCCGGCCCCGCACGGCTCCCTCCGCTCCCCTCCCGAGGGCATTTATTCCACCTTCGACGAACTCATCGCCACCATTCAACGCTACGCGAAGGAACAAGGATTCGGCATCGTTAAGCTCCGTGCCAGCAACTATCGCGACAAAAAGCCCACTCGATACGACCTTGTGTGCGACCGGGGCGGCGTGGTATATAAGAGCACCGCGAAAACCCGCAACCCGAGCACGCGAAAGATCGAGTGTCCTTGGAAGGCCAAGGCAGTTTGTGAAGTTCAACTCCACAACCAGTGGCGCTTCCAAGTCCAAGTCGACCAACACAATCACGAACCCCGCATCAACAGCGGCAACCCGGGCCAAGAGAACACCCCGACCGCCCAGAGCATCCGAAGTCTTACGAACAAGCTGGACCGCATGAGTCACGATATGAACGTCGCTTTCGGTCGCATCGAGTCGCGTCTAGACACCATCGACAAGCGGTTAGAATCCATGGAGAGTCGTATGTCCGCCGTCGAGGCGCGCGTGTCTAATATGGAGAATCGAGGAACGGGCATGGAAGTTCCTATGGACAATATGGAGATGACAGGATCCATGCTGGATGGTCCCGTCATGTAAAATGACGACGACGACGCCAGCGCCTGGTAACTGCCCATCGTATATCGACAAAAATGTGACGATGCATCGTCTATAACTCGTCTACATACATATGAAGCACATTCCATAAAGGCAGGATGGTAGAAGGGACGCAAACGTTTTCGTTTCTCAGGGTTAGGAGGGCGTTCTTTTGTTTTTAAGGGAAAGGCTCAATTGTGCGTTCATGCTATTGCATTGCGATGAGAGGGGAGGCATGGTGCCAACTTTTTTTTTATTGCTCTCGAGGGAAAAGCCGGTTCTCGATTTGTTTTTCATTGATCCTAAAGGCGCAAGGCAAGTGAGCAAATCCATACTAATTTTTCGTTTCGGAGGCTTCAGGTTCGGTAAACGCGCGGTGGCTATATGGTACACGGAATCTTTCATCAACCCAACTCTTTTTCACGCCTAGATACGTTTGATCCGGTTTTCTCGACCAGTCTTCGATCGCATATCCGGATTACATGATTGCCTTCAAAGGCTACTTTCTTGATATCGGATCGCAGGAACAAGGACGAAGAACACGAGGCACAGTGGTCTAGCATCTTCGCCGATCTAAACCATATTATGGAAGTTGTGATGGCTAATATACCACATATAGCTCTTCCATAGAGACCACACCAATTGTATATGTTCTTAATAACGGGTCGCCTTTTTAGTGTGATGGATAATTACTGGCATAGCTCCGAATAATAACATCCAGAGGATTTATCTATTTCATCCGATATTTCGCATCATGGCGGTACGAGTTCCACAGTATGTATGTCTTCCACAGCAACACAGTATCCGCTAACGTTTCTATACTTAGCACCTGCGGTAACTACCTGCTGACCCTAATGCATACTTCAGATGTATGAACCATTCAGCTTCCAGAGATTATTGTCTCATTAATAAAAATTTATATATGAAAGCGACGACCTACTTCTATCAGAGCTATGTGCTGATCTTACCGCGATGGACGATTGGCTAGATTTTCATATCAATCTTCGATACTTCAAGATTCACTAGCATCGCTACATCGGCTCCTTAGGATGCGATACTGTCACGTTCGAATTATTTTTTGCCCTTCGAATCGCCCCTATTCATATCAAACCCAAATTTGTGGTGTCGCATAACAACACCCGGTTCATATCTCGATATGATTGCTAAGGAAATATCTGTTTAAATCAAGCACGTTATAAGTCCACCACATCAAAGGGAAGGTCCGATGTTGATCTACTATTATGACCTACAAATCTCGGGCTCCTTATGATCTTCGCCGCTCGGGATTTGCCTAAGAAGGATTTGAGCTAGGTTTATTGAGTCCGACCGGATTCCAACTAATGATCGACGTTTATCGACGCGTTCTCAAGCTTAAATACATACGTGCGTGTTGACAGATGATCGCATTACGAGGTGTGTTGCCATATAAGTGGAGTGCGTATCGAAGCCCTCACGTGAATTACTGTCAAGTAAATCTGGGGATAGTTGACTTCATATCTTCGAAACATAGTGAAAAATAGGGCTCTCACGTTGGTTGGTAGTATGAATTCTGCAGCGCAGCGGCGTAGTAACGTACCCGTTCGCAGACGCCGAGTTACATCGTCTGAAGAGCCCCATTAACTCGGATATCATTCCACTCGGAAGGATTGACATCCTCATGGTAGTGCCAGGGCGAAAAAAAATATGTTAGGGATCTCCAAACTCCATACAGTATCAAATAATGATACTCTCAACTAATTAATTGCAAAATCCTCAGACAGAATATGCAGCCAATTTTTCAATATCACTCTACCAATTGGTAACACACGTAGGTAGGTATCGGTGGAAGTTTTATACGGAACTTAGGAGAGACTTCGGCGATCAACTATATAATAGTTGACGTCGGATTTCGGGTGATAACGAACATAAATGATTATTACGAACACCAATAATTCTCGTCTTCACAGGGGTTCAATCACACCGGGCAACCCGAACCAGGGTACGGTATCAAAGCGGTCGGTGCGCTACCGAGTTGTTTTCCCTACAAGTGGTTCTGTCGGGCTCGACCCGAGTTTTATTGTCTAGGAATTCATCTTTTGGGCGGGGGAACCCGTCTTAGAAGGGATGTGACAGGTACGGGATCACCACTTATACCCTTGCCGACCCAATAAAGGGGAACCAATACCCTAGCTTGCCGGTGCATTCTCCTACATTTGCTGACGAACCTGGTTAGTATGTAGGTCAATGCGTATAAAATTTTCCGTCGTGTCCACGATACTTCTACTGCAATATGTGCAGATGCCATACAGGCTTCGCGGGGACCAACTAGTCACCGCTGCTTGCACACCTAGGTAGGTATGTTGTTTTGGTGTTACCAAACGCGAGAACGATGGACCACAAGTTGGGTTTTTTTTTCTCTTCTTCATCAATGCTACTTGACACCTATGCACATATGAATTGGCTACGATCGCAATTCAATCACAGGTTCAAGTATCATGTTGAAAACACCAACGAACCTTGTCAATTATTCCTTAATTTATGGTTCGGATTCTGGTTCATCATAAGAAGGTCCCTGTCTATACTAGCCATACACCTGGTACGCCAACACAGGTCTAGCCTACCGCGGATCCTATAGGTCGTCTCCACGACGGGGTTTTGCGGGTGAAAATAGTTGCAAGACACAATACCTAAACCTCAAACACAATTTCAATTCTCGGTTCTCTTCGTCTTTTTCGATGGTTGAGGTTATTGCGTCGACTCCGCGCTCGATCTGAAGCAGCCGAGAGTTCCTCCGTTTTGTTCGCTCGAATGTTATTGTGGTCCTTATTATGACATTCGTCTTCCCTCTCGAGAGGCAAGACCAGAATGCCATCCTAGCTTGCGGAATCGTGTTTACTCTTCTGTCGGTGGTGGTGGTTGGTCTTCGTGTGTTGGCCAGGCGCAAAGCGAATAGATTACTTGATGCGAGTGACTATTTGATCATTACATCATGTGTATGTTGAGGAAGCGCTTCACTAGAAGACTAATCATTGGACGATGCGATCGCTAATACCGTTTCAGATTGTCGTGGTCGCCTACCAAGCCATAGTCATTTCATGTTCGTGTTACCCGATTATACTGCGATACTTGATCAAAAACTAACCTGTTTGATAGCGGTTCTGGTGGCTGGATTGGGCTTCCATGTCGAAGAAATAAAACATAGATTTGGGATAGAGTCTGGTTCATCGCTATTTTTCAAGGTATGCGATGGTTCCTAATATGCCTGCTTTGTGTTGGCGGGATTTACTAACATGTACAGCTTCTGATTCCTATGCAAGTCTTATGGGCAGTAAGCCTTGCCCTCTGTAGGATTTCAATCATCCATCTGTTCTCGAGGATATTTGTAGTACAAAGTTTTATCATAATAGCCAGGGCTACTTATGTGTTAATTGCATTATGGTAAGTTCCTCTTACGTCGTCCTCTTGTTTGTCCAACACTAACGAAATGGGAACGAAAGGGCTCTGGCAGCAATATTTACCGCTTTTCTAATATGCCAACCTTTCCCATTCAATTGGGATAAGACGATCGAGGGAGGAACATGCGGAGATGCTATGGCATCGTGGATTACAACAGGCGCTTTAAATATGGTTTCCGATTTAATAATCCTAATCATGCCGATTCCCTATATACTAGGGTTGGAGCTGGCTTTGCCGAAGCGGTTGATACTTGCATCGACTTTTGGCGTAGGGATATTGTGAGTGTCACTTTCTCGATTTTGTATGTAACTTCACTTTCTAACGAGTGACTCTTACAGGACGTGCGTTATAAGCCTTTTACGAATTACCTCGATGACTACAATCGACTTCTACGACGTAACTTACACGATATCGCGCACGATACTATTCAGCGCTCTTGAACCCTGCGTCGCTGTAATACTAGCCTGCGTCATCACCCTACGACCTCTTTTTGGTGGACAATATCTACCGGATGGTACAGCGACTTTCAGCCCGCGAGCAATCGAGGCTATGTCGAGGAGAAATCCGAGCAGTCGCCATTTCAAACAACTCAATGACGAATCGGAGACGCGACTTAGGCCAGAGGAGGTTAGGTACCAAACATACATCACGAAATCGCCGGAACCATTTGCGGGTCTTGGTAGTATGGGAGAAGGACTTGAGATGGGATCAATCTCGATAAAACATGAATGGACTGTACAAGAAGAACGGCGGCCGACGACATCGGACACGAATATTGAGAAGAAGGAATTAGGGTAACTCCGCATCAGCTAAAGCTCAATCCTTCCAGTGCAAGATGAGCTATTCGACATCGTCTATCAGCAAGTTACCACACCTTGCTAATAGAGCTCAAGAAATAAACCAGTAAAATTGAGTCACATCTAATTATAAACAAATTCGGTCGGTTTACGAAGGTGATCTTTGTCACGAATGAACAATATTTATTGATGACGCTGTTGATAACCCGTCACATTCGAACCAAAAAGTCGACTATGTAATCTTTTCTACTCGTGAAGTGCTGTCATATCCAGAAAAATTGCTCAAAAATTCGCGAAAAGAAACTTCAAACCTTCCCATATCTCAGTACTCGCCGGCAGAATTTGGTTAGCGGGTAATGTGAAGCCATTCCGACCAGTGTCTCGGAGTTCAATGGCCCATCTAATAATTGCGTTAGTATTCGCCAACCAAAAAAAAAAAAAAAAAATGATACGATAATCCACTCACCCATATTCTGCCTTATTCACATCAGTCACATAGTCATTGCTACCTCCAGCTGTAGCGTATAAAGTAGCGCAAGTCTGGCCGGCAGTAAATCGAGTGCCATATGGCTTAGCGATAGCCGTAGCGAGGCTCTTTGCCAATAAGTCTTGTTTGTCTTGGTTTGATGTCGCTGCGGAGCATGAATAACCGTAAGGCCTACAACATCAATGTTAATAGACGATCATTAAGATGGGGACGACACCCGAAGGTTAGTAAAGGGGGCAAGGCTCACGTCAAGATGTATTGACCGTAACTATGCCAATCGATGTATAGTTTAATGCCGTTCTTAGCAGCTAGCTGGTCTCCCAAAGCTATATCAAATTTAGTAAGTTGCATCGTTCCAAGAGTAATTCTTAAGACTTACTGCGGATTCCAGTGTTTTCAGGTGTATCGCCAGCGGCAGCACCGCGGTATCTATAAAATTCGGTTAGCATATACACGGCCTCATAGACGAATACCGAATGGCAAAATTGACGAAAAAATTTATACTGAGACTCACGTTTCTAAATTTAAACATCCCAGTTAGCAAATATTCAAATCGCAGGGCATAAACTAAAACACGTAAACTAACCTGATCCTGGGCTCGTTGATGATCCCTCTCCATCCCACTTGTAGGGCCAGTTTCGGTTGACATCTGTACCGACGGCGGTAGTTCCTGAACGTGTCTGACGGTTTTTACGCCATAAGCGATCATTGGTTTGTGTGTAGAGGAAACCTATAAAAATTAGCTAATTTTCGCAATGGTATGTCGTTCTATCCTACCATCTGGGTTAACAATCGGCAAAATATAGAAGTCATAGTCGTCAACGAATCCCTTTATCGTGGTATCGTTGTCGTAATTAGCGACTAGCTGATATATGATGTACTCGACAACCTGCAACCACATATTAGCCTCGAAAAGGGGGATATAAGTCCATTAAACCCTAGTTTACCTTTGACGAGATCCACTCGCGAGCATGTACATTTCCATGGAAGTAAATAGCAGGCTTAGAGTCCTTGCCGCCACTTCCCCAAAGATGAATACCCTGGATGTCGCGATCCTCAAACGTCTTGCCAGCCGTGATGAGCTCTGAGTTGGAGGAAAATGATGACTGTATGTCTTTGAGGAACGTCAAATGGTCATCATATGCGTGATACGCGGTGAACCAAGATGGGTCTGGAAGAGCAGCGGCGCTCGTCGCATCCAGTCCTAAGCATTGTTAAAATATGTTCAATGTTTAAATTAAAAACCCCCTTACGTACTAGAATATTTTGCGAGCTCCCCTTCAAGGGCAATGTCAGCCCCGAGATCCTCACTCAGAATTTCCGATGTGAAATTCAATGCTTCGAAGGCAGGGAGACTCTCAGGCGGCACCGCAATATCGAAATGTTCCCCTTCCACATGACCATGGTTATGGGTTAGGTCAATAGCTTCGAGAGACTCTATATGAGCCTCAAAAGCCGCAACATCATTTCCAGTTGCTACACGAAAGATCTTGTAACCGTCATATACTATCTTACCCCGCCTATCGAGTCGTGAGGCAATCGCCAAAGGCGCGACTAGCGAAACGAGTTGAAGAAACTTCATAATGGCAGTTACGGATCAAAAGAACGAAACTCAGCGAAATAGTATGAGAAGGGAGGTGAGTCGGTGCACTTTATATTATGAAGTTATGGTAGCGGCTGTTAGCTGTAGTGGCGCCGTTCGATCTGTGGTGATATCGTTCTGACGGATGTACCTGATCGGGTAGGTCGCGCCCCCTGTGAAAGATGCAGATCTAGAATGATAAGCTTTAGCCTAGCTCGTGTGAGCATTTAATGCGCGGGAGACCGTTCAGTTACAGAAGGTACCAAGAAATGCTGCGGAGGGAGGATTAGTAGGAGTGCCACTCAACCAAGAGCAAACTCGCAAAGCAATACTGAACCAATTTAGCCTACCGAAGTATGTAACATGCGCGGCAAGGTCGAGTGGACCGGCATCTTGAATTCAGACCATTGGTTAAGAACAATCGGTCTCATTTATTAGGCTCTACGTGCCGAGCCACTATATCGCATTTTGATTAATTATTGCATACCTACCTACTTCCTAGGTTCCTAGCTTGCGCGATGTACTTGAGCTTCCTCATCCGGGGTTTTTGTAGGAGCTCCCAATCCCCCCCGCATGAGTAAGATGCGGTCGCTACCACCATCATCATCCCTGCTCGGCATTGGTACCCTGTTGATCGAGCTTCCTTCTATAGAGGGTTCGCCAAGGGTGCTAACAAGCTTAATCTTGTAGACTAGGTCGAGACCGTAGGTATGTAATAAACGGTAAAGATCACGTAATTGTAGTCTCATATGCTCGATTTCCAGATACAGAAGCCAAGTTATCGGGGCTATAATATATAAACAACATGGATGATACTTGAGTGTAACGATGTCCAGGCGCAGGTAGGTTTGGTGAGTCTTGTGCTACAGTCTGTCAACACTATTTACGCATTAAAAGTACACAGCGAGGTGCAAAATGGGCTATTAAATAATGTAATGACGCCAATATGTGAGGAGCCATACTAATATTAAAGAGTTCATAATTGGTTCCTATGATGAATATTGCAAGATAGGGGTCGAATTGACCAGCTTGTGTAACAAGAGTTAAACAGCACATAACATCATTCACGGGCTTACTTATCTGTACAAACATTGCATTGAGGTAGATTTATCGCCCTGAATGTCATGTATGCCTCAGATATAGAGTGATTGGAAAGATAACTCTAATTCCCTCTCTCCGAAATGTGCAAGCTACCAAAGCTCATTTTCCGTGTCCCGTGAGTGTCGAATTGGGTGTCTTGGTGGATTTATTTTTCCATAGCATCAGACTCAGGCCCTCGTACCCATCGCCCATCGGGATCTCGCCGCAGGCGCTTCCTAGGTCGTTTCTTCGTGCCCTTTGCAGCATTGTTGTCGTCTTCGTAGCTGCGCTTTGTGCTAACGGGCTTCTGGGTATCTGTTAGTGGCGCCTCATGACAAGAAAAAAAAATAATAACTAGATACTAACTCTCGGCTGATGTGGCGTTTTGATCATTGACTCCTTCATAGCTTCAAAGGCTTTGTCTGCAGCGGCTTGTTGCAAAGTCTCGGAAATAGGTATGCTTGACGAACAAGGCTTCTTCTCGGTTGTAATCGGCTCCTCCTTAGACTTGCGATTGTGCTCGGTAACATCTAAGACTTCAGGCGCTGGCTGTTTCTCGGACAACATGCTACTGCTGCCCGGTTCTCTATAATTATCTGACTCGTTTCGTCGCGTGGTATTGGTGAAGCTATCGTATACAGACCGTACAAGCTTTAGAGTAGGTGTCATGAGGCGCCTACCAATGTTCCTAGCCCCGCGCATTGTTCTATTCGGGAATACTTTGACTTTTGAGAATTGAGATGGGCGAGGTTTTTCTTGCAGTGCTTGAGGATCGTGCGAGTCCATAGTTGCCGCTAGGGAAATCGATATAATATTTGGATATGTGTTGGATTCAATTTGTGTGTGAATGGGTCGAATGAGACCCAGGCAAGCCGAACAGATATTGAGTAAAATTTTCGAGTGACGGCTACAGGTTGCTTACCAACCTAAGGTAGGGAAGGAATGTCTTGGTATGCGAGAGTCGTTATGTTACTCTTTTTCGTAATGTCTTCTTGTGACGAACCTATACCCCACCAGGGTATAGTCGTTGCTGGATTGGCTAATCCGGGGTGTCTTGATTTGAAGGTAACAATATCAGTAGTAGGTCAAATGCTTTAGGTAAGTTCTGTTCGTCAGAGAGGCTTGGAGTCCTCTCACTATGTCTGAAAGAATAGTCTTAGATTGATAACTAAAGAGCTGTGGAAAGAGTGACTAGATACATGGGAGATGTTTGGTAGTTATATAGACATTCCTTCCTCTCGTTCCCTTGTGGATGAGACTGGATACCTTCATCCATCTTCATCCATGTCACGTGTCGTTTCTTGCTTCTGACCTTACCCCACTTCTCCAGGAAGAATGATATTCCGAGGCGTTGTACCCCTGCAAGAGTGTTTGGTTTGTGACACTTCTATGCCAAATCGGAACTAGAACGGGAAAAATTTAGGTGTTCGATACCAGGGCAAAACTACGCAGACATCATTTTAATTAGATAATGCCCAGATTCTTCGATACAACTCCTAGTTTTGTTATAGTTTTGAACTCCTTATCTGGTTACTTATCTAGGGCAGGTGCACCTCTAAATTTCGGTGTGGTTAAGGTAACCTTAGCTTACGCCTGTACAACCCGAGTTGCTTGTGGGGAACCCCGTGAAACTTAGCTATTTCCTTTTCCGTCCAATAGCCCCCTTCTGATTGGATAATATAGTGACACAACGTCAATGTTGGGGAAGTTGCGCCTTCCATCAACCATCAACATGAGAGAATATAGATGTACCTAGGTGCTTGATACAAAGATGCAATCAGTTCGAAGTCCTCTGGAGCGCTGAGCTTTTTTGTGAGCTTTCGAGATGGCGTTATAGCTCGCAGGGATGTACCTAGACGTACCTAAATAATCTATGAGTTCGTGATTCTCTGTACCTAGTGTTGAGGAGAAGGTGGTGTAGAAATTTGATAAGGACTGAAGCAGGCATATATGGATACATGTAACTGTAGCCACCAACTACGGAATATCTAGGTACAAATGTGAGTTAAAAATTAGGTATGCTGCTACCGGCTACTACAACAGTTGCTATTGGTTCCTTGTACTACAGATAGGTACTAATTGCTGCATCGAGCCACGAAATAATGGAATTTTTAGGGGTAGACTGCTAGGATGTACTATCTAGGTTTTTAGGTAGATAAGAATTTGCTAGGAGAACGATTGGTCAATGGGTAGGCTTTTCAAACACACAGTACCTACCCGTCCGCTTATCAAGTTTGGTGTAGCAACTAGACCACTAAAACGCGTGGACACGATAAAATTTATTGGGAAAGAGCTCCAGGGCTAGCTTCATCAAATTACCTATTTTATGGTGGGGGACGAGTTTCAGCAATCCCTCTTCTCTTCTCTTTTCTTCCTCCCACAAGTTCAGGTAATTCTTCCACTTATTATTCAGAATATTTGACCTTTCCTTTGGTTCATTTTCTGAAGCAACACTTGACTCACCATCTATTCCACACTCTTCATTGTATTCACCAGCAACTGTTTCCTCCAATATTCATCTCTTTTACTGGAGTGATTCACTTGTCCATCACCACATCTTGATCTTCAGCGCGCCACCAGAAAACCAACACCTTTACAGTTATTGGAACATCGTAGCAACTTATTTTTGCGGCAGACTGCCTTGATCAGCACTCGACACTGGATATTAATTTTATTTTTACCTTGTTCTTCACGTTTACCTTCACACTCAATCAAGCCGACACCCAGACCATCTTCTATTTCTCGTAAGTTATTTTTCTTCTGTTACAACTGACTCCCTCTCATATTACACATGCTCGACCGCACTGTACGTACTCATGGTCAATCAGGCCTTGTACACAAACTTTCTTGTCATCTCTTCTTTGCAAACATTTCTCGATCACAGTGTCAAGTCCCTTTAACCAGAATCCCCTAGCCACCCCACTCTTATTAGCCATCACGGTCTTTTTTCTTCTTCTATTCCTCTCCATCCTCTAACATCTTCTGCTTCATAGAAAACAATCTAAAGCGTGCGTGGCATTCAATCCAGAAATGGCGGATCAACAAGACAAGTACCGCGACTCGAACCACATGGTCGAGATGGGTGACTCACGACCGGATCGTTCCCCGCTTTTGACTCAAGACGATATCAAGTCGGAGAGTAGCGATGATATCGACATCAAGACTGAATACGAGGTATTTAATAATCCGGTTTTCTATTTTTTGTTTTCGCTTGGAAACTGACACTAAGAAACAGGAATCCCCGCGCAAGCGATCTAGTCCTGACAGCGACGATGGCCAAGGTCCACGCAAACGTAGATGCATGACACCGGGTTCATCGGTTTGCAGCGACTCGGCTGACCCGGACGATCTGGAAATCTATGATCACTGTAGCTTCAAAACAACTTTAGACATCGACCCCAACGACGCATCCCACGATGATGGACTCGGCAAAGCCATTGACCAGGTCTCCAACTCTACTCCAGAGCGTCGACGTACGGTACAAAGCCCTCCCAGCCTTCACTTGAGCAATGTCATCGATATCTTTGCCCAAAATCCTCTTACTTTTGGATCGCGTCTGTCTCCGTGGTTGACGCACAAGGTCGTTGATGCTCTAGATCCCGCACTGCCCAAGGCCGTAAGGGATGCAGCGATGTTACTTCTTCTTACTGAGTATCACGATGAAATTGACGACACTGGATTCTTTCAATTTGTGAAGCTTCAAGCGGCTTACAAAGAATTCTACGCCCCATCGCACGATGCACATGAACCCATTCCACGCCTCTTCCTCGAGGTTCTAAGAGCGATCGCAGTGGGTGTTGAGGACGCGAGAGACGAGATTTACAAGATGGTTCCGAGCCTCAACCCAGAGTATGGAAGCAAAAACGCCAATGGAACCGACCACATGGAACGCCCTTGGTCCTGGGACTGCGCCCAAATGACTGTGGGTGTAGTTTGTGATTTCGATGACGACCCGAAGAAGTGGCATGAGTATCAACTAGGTCTTACCGCGGAGTTCGGGCACCCCTTTACCCATCCTCTCGCTCGCCATGATCCTTCTCTCACGACTTTACGTCCATTCTATTCTGTGTATGCCGATCTCAAGAAGTTCTGGAACGTGCACATCCAACATGCGCACTGGACCACCGACATTGAGGGATATTGCTCATCGCTCGAAATCGTAGAGGTCGATGGCGAAGAGGTACTCAAGGTCCACCAACTTCCTACCAAGAAGGACGAAGCCCCCGCCTCACACACAAATCATCCCGAGATGGAGAAGAAGCTACGTTTTAGAAAATTACTGAAGATGGAGGGCATCGAGGACCCAGAAATCATCAGCGCCGCCGTTCGATGTTTCGACAAATGTATGAACGCTGGTGATTCGGAGTTGGATTCTTAGGAAGGAGAGGTGACTAGGGTGACGACACTCTACATATTGATTGCATCTATGGCGGTTTTGCGGGACGCATTTCCTGGATTCAGTTGGTGCTAAAGGAAAAGCGTAGTTGGTTTGACGATTTGATTTCATAGGAATGTTTAGGGAATGGCCATGGTTGGTGCTCGTCTCAAGGAAGAGGCATACAGGCACGCATGGCATTCCTATAGCGGTTTAAGGCACTGCGCACCGAACCCGGCTGTACTGGAGTCGGAAGGATATTATTTGTGCCTTAGGAGGATGATATTTTGCGAATGAGGACATTGCAGGAGACTCGATTTCCGAGAGATAGCTATTTCATGGCTCCATTGCATTGGTCATAGTTAGATTATAGGCGATTATAGGCATACAGCAATTATACCCCCAAATCAATTTAATTTGCAAAGCTTGTCAAAAACGTGTTGTGATTTTGTCGTCGTGAGATTAACTATTGGGACTGAAAATTCCCAAACATGATGCTATTCACACCTTCGTCGCGCAATCCCCCCCTCCTTCGCTCCGCACCAAAAAAAAAAAAAAACGGACACCCTCTTCCAATTGAAGTTCCTATGTTCCATTTGGCTACCGGTATTTATATTCCTTTAGGTTGCCTTTAGATAATTATTTAATTTTCTAAAGCTAGATGTACGTGGCCATTGCCACGCCCGCTATACACATTGTACATAAAATCCTCCCGTCGTATCCGTGGCTCGTTGGCGCCCGACATTCTTTTAGACCTATATTTGATGCGTTTCTATGCTTATCTATTCTATTTAATTTCCATGTGAATTTAACATAGGTAGAATATTTATGCTTATGTTCGTTTTGTATAGTATAACTCCTGGTACTTCAAAACACAATTATTGACTCCATCGTCATGAATATTCAATATTGAAAGAGTACACAAACACAAGCAATATCTAGCGAATAGCACTTTCTAGGCACCTAACGCCATATGGGAACATTACCTAGCCATCCAAGCAAGAACTTAAGCTGCTTGAGCAAAATCCTCGCTGAAAGGGTAATCGATATAGCCCTTTGTACTTCCCGCAGCATAGAATGTACTGCGATCGTACTTGGCCAACGGCAGACCTTTCTTTATTCGGAACGGTAGGTCTGGCGTTGAAATGAAGAACCGTCCGAAAACCACAGCGACGTCATTATCCTTAAAGACTTCGTCTACCAGCTTCTTCGCTGTATCCGGCGCGTAGCCACCCGCAATCAATACGGGGGATGTGTTATCCCAAGCCTTGACTGCGAATGAGAGCTGCTCGGAGGCCTTAAAATCTGCGCTAGCTTCGGGGTTCGAACTCAACATATCGTGAGATTGGACGACATGGAGGTAAGCTAATTTAACCTTGGAGAGTTCCTTGATCAGATATGTGAACTGCGGGATTGGGTCGGCCATTCGCATGCCCTGGAATTGCGACCAAGGAGAAAGGCGGATTCCGACTCTATCTGAGCCAATAGCACCAGTGACAGCGTTAGCAATCTCGAGCGCGAATCGTGCACGATTCTCGATACTGCCGCCATATTGGTCGTTCCGCTTGTTGGATACATCCTGAATGAATTGATCGATTAAGTATCCGTTTGCACCATGAATCTCGACACCGTCGAAACCAGCTTCGACCGCGTTTCGTGCCGCCTGAGCGAAATCGGCCACGAAAGATTGTATTTCATCAACCGTCAACTCCCTAGGCACCGGTTTGCCCTCCTCAGATGGTATATTGCTCGCGGACACTAGGTCAAAGCCCAGTGATTTTATGGTCTCCGGTGTCGCAACACGTCCCAACGCCCAGAGCTGCACGAAGATGTAGGAGCCTTTGGCGTGGACAGCATCTGTCACCTCCTTCCACCCTGCTATTTGCTCTTTGGACCAAATCCCTGGGGTATAGAGATAGCCTGCTCCCCGTTTTGAGGCATAAGTTGCTTCGGTGATGAGGAGTGTTCCCGGGACAGAAGCACGTTGTCCATAATATTCTTTCACAAAAGGTAGAGGCACACCATTTTCGTCTGAGCGATACCGGGTCAATGGTGCCATGACCAGGCGATGCTGGAGGGTCGCATTGCCGACTTTTAGCGGCTGGAAGAGGCGCGATGACTGGGCCATGTTGCAGTAGTTGATCGGGGATAGGTGATTATACAAAAATGTGCCGATGTCCTTCGGAGTTGGAGATGGATCTGAGAGAAACGGTGACCCTCAACGGCCGACTTTCCCATTGAATATATACTCGTTTTCATTGTCTAGACCGTGTGACGGATCGATCTCTAGCCTCCCTTAGCTTCCGATGCATCTAGAAGTAGTTCGCAATTAGTTCCACAATATACGCGCCTAGGTAAAGGACTAGGTATGCGCGACGTAGCATTGCGCAAGCTATCTAGCAAGATTTGTAAGTGAGTGGATTTATAAGCAGCACATCCTGCAAGTTTCGTTAATGGGTTAGGTAATTTGTCTTCTTTCCCTACACAACTTTTTCTCAGCAATCGTGGGGGCTTATTCATGCATACGGGCCCTATGGCGTTATATAGGGAATATACATTAAGAAATAGAGGATGAGCATGTTAAAATACAGGTACCTATAAGGTATATGTTTCGTCTTTAGGTTGACCTAATTGGCTGCTACTCGTATATTCAGGTTTGACGTCTACCTCCCTTACTAGTGCTCAGTAAAGCAAGCCAACCATAGCTGTTCTGACTCACCATTACAAGAAATCGCACCCTGACGTTGATACTTCTGCCTAGAGGGATTCGCCTTTGCCAAGATAGCCGTCGGCCGGTGACTCAATGATATCATAATGAAGAGTGAGTCTTACAGCATTAAATTAATATGCGTCTACTTAAGCGCGACGCACCTTGCGAACACCGTGTCTCGTGTCTCGCGTCAAAGTGTACTCCGCGGGACTCTAAAAAGACAGTTGTCTAAATCGAATTCATATTGTGATGGGATTGTCGGTGAAAGGTCGCCTCCCGAGAAAGGGTATGGAGTCCCCTCCATCACCGTAAAGATGGCGCAGAAGGAGATATGGCCTGAGATAGAAGGCAAAGGGGTTTCCGTACTCGGGTCGACCTGCATAGTAGTTAGCTGATCGAGTGCGGACAATGCGCGCATCGATGCTGTTGCTACTACTTCACCCCTCCTCCTCACCTGATTGTGGACCTGAACTCGATACTACCCACCTGGGAACGAGACACGATCAGACATCGGGAATAAAATTATTCCTTCTCCCCCGTCCCGATATTCAGGGCGCGGGGTCGCCACGTGTGCCGTTCCTTTCCAAAAACGAACATCCGGTTACTGTCTTGGGCGCTCCGTAGTAGCGTGTCCGATATCCGGGTTTGAGGCCGAAACGCCAAGAAACAGGGGGTTCAACACCGCTAATTCTATGTGCTGTTCAGCATTAGTAATGATCAACATTTTAAAGCCGAGCAGCATCGGATCTTACAAGTCGTGTATTAGTGTTGTTTATCAAGGGAGATCATGTTACCCGCTTGCTTCCCCATCAGAGTTGTCACTCATCGGTTCCGTACGAATTAGGAAATAACACCGAAATATTTAGTTTATAGCCTTCCCGAAGTTGTCGAAGTTAGGAATATGATACTTACACCTTATCGTACCCGTCCTCCGGGTTGATACGTTAACCCACTGACACGACGTGATTAAGAAGACTTCAATAAGCCTTTACATACCCTTCAAATCCCGGATCGTACCGATCGGGGGGCTTAGTGGTGGGGGTTGTTGTACCTCGTATTGAAAACAGCTGAGTTTTCATATGAACTGATATCAATGAACCATTGACGGTAGAAATACCTCATGATATGGGAATAAACCCTTTTTGTAAGGGGTCTCATTTCATCACCGCCGAGAGAAGTCCGTGTTTGATTATGGAATTTGATTCTTATTGGTGTATGTTATAATTGTAAGATACGTCTTGTGGAGAGTATAGTAGAGTGTGTAGTATCTTGGAGAAACGTAGTTAGGCAGAGGGTAAGTTTTGCTGACTGAGACCCTATTAAAAAACAAATCTGAGCCTCAACGGATCTTAGACTGATCTATATTCGAACTCATATTCGTCTATGTGGATGCTCATGGGTCACACGAGTACCACGGTCGCAGATAGCTTGGGTTACCTAAATGGCTAAGGAAATTGCGAATAAATCTGGTATTATTAAAGTCAGCCTTAGAAATCCTAAATATCAACATTATTAATCTTGTTCTGCTCTCTCTTTTCACTGACTTAGCTGGTAATGTGATATGGTCCTCAGAGGTACCAGTTTACACGCACTGCGAATAATAATCATTCGTCGCAGCACAAGAAGCTCCAGCCGCGCAAGCCGTACACCCCGAAAATCCTTTCCCACCACATTGTCCATATTTCGCCACAGCGCACGCATCCGCCGTAGCGGTAGGCTTAATAGCAGTTGATAGCGTCGTAACAGTAGCCGTATCCGAAACTGCACTCTTCGTTGCCGCGGCTTTTAGTACGCTACTAACGGCCGTATACGCAGGTTTCTGCTTCAAATTCTCGTCCCACAGCAGCGCAGCACCCGCACCGTTGAACACAGATGGGATCCAACTGTATTTATCGGTGTAATCCCAGATGGTAATACCAACGCAGGCTTTATTCGCAAGACACGCCTTGGTCACAGTCGTGTAGTCATCAGCCTGTTGTTTGAGTCCGGAATCACTAGCAGGTAGGCTTGAGAACCGGATATCGAGCTCCGTGTACGCGACCTCGGTGGCGCCGGCGGAGAGATATGATTTTATCGCGCTCTCAAGACTGCTTTGACTCGGGATCGAGCCTACGATTAAATGCGCTTGCATGCCCACACCGTCAATCTTAGCGCCTGCATCTTTAACGAGCTTGACGATCTTGGCGGCGGCGGCTTGCTTGGAGCCCGTACCCTCAATGTTGTAATCGTTGTAGTACAGTTTGGCGCTAGAGTCGGCGGCTGCGGCGACTTTGAAAGCGAGAGGAATGTACGACTCACCTAGGACCTTGTAGAAGACGTTGTCGCGGTAGGTGCCGTCTTCGTTGAGAGCTTCGTTGACTACGTCCCACGAATAACATTTTCCCTTGTAGTGACCCACTTCGTTAGCGATGTGTGTGTTGACGACGGACGTCAATTGGGAAGTCGACCATGAACCATCGCTGACTAGAAGCGGTATCGTTAGAATTCATTTTAATTGCCATGTTGGGATGTGAACGTACCCCAACTTGGTAATTGCGAATACCAAACGAGTGTGTGACACCTCACAATCTGATTGTTAGTCTTGGCAAAGTTCACGATCTCATCGCCTGAGTCGTATGAGAAGGAACCCTGGCTCGATTCGGTGTACTGCCACTTTTGTCCATTGCCCGGTGTAATTTGACCGAACATGTTAGAATCTTTCAGGATCTTGACATAGGCCGAGTCAGATAGCTCGTTATTGTCTGTCGCAGATCCGAAGTAGAGCTTCCCGGCTGCTTTGGCAAGCTGGTTAAGCTGTGCCGCAGCACCGGGAATCGCTAGGAGCGCCGTCGTTGATGTGAGGATATGCATCGTGAACGAGATATCCAATTGCTCTCTTCAGTTTGGGGTTGGCGATGAGGAACACTAAAGCGACTAAACAACGAGCGGGCGCGTTGACATCTATGACGAACCTCGGTATATAACTAACAATCGAACCCCTGGACTTCAAATCCATAGCGACGGTATCATACTCGATCTTTCCGTTAGGCGGTGGGCCAATAGACCATTACAGACCAGTTAATGCAAGGATTCACGTAGCCATCATGCCTCTTTTTGTTGCTTCCGTAGGATGGAGAGCCCGTCCCGTGCGTCTTCTGAGATTTAGTCATTATGCTAAGAAAGCGAACCTTTCGATTATAGGAGGTTTGTGGTAGGACAATAGTGGATAATTAGCTTCTTTAAATCGGGATTCTCAGCAAAATACAACTGTGCCGGACCTTGTAAACCAGGGTAGGCCTATTCCCGAGGGGGATATTGTAACATCGTAAAGGCTCTAGGTCCCCTAGAACTCGTAGCAGTGTAACCGTTCGCCTAAAATGTCGCTTTTCTCCACCAACCGGCGTTGAGGCTCTTCGTTATTGTTTAGGGGACGGACAGTATCTTCCGTATACTTAACTCGTTAAGTGATAGATATGCTAGCTATTGTAGCGCATTTTTCTTCTATTATTTGACATTATGCTGTGGCGCTAGATACGGTCACGCGATCCATGACCCCAAATGTGGTATACTAGAGACATGGTATTGGTGATGAATTCGATTGACACCGCTGTGCGATGCTTTGGGGACTAGGTACTAGAAGAGTCAGTGTTGTCGCAATGAAATAAGCAACGTTAGTAATTCATCTAGATACGTAGGCTCGAGATCAAAACATACCTAGGAGTAGAACTTGTGTGGTACCGTTCCTAGAACCATTGGGGAATGCGACTTGTCGCAGCTATATACATCACGGTATCTCAGGTAGTTCAAACAACACATCGAAGTAGATCGCAATACAAATAAATAATGCAAAATGGATGCTGTAATTTTCATAAGTACTGCCTCATATTGATATGTAACACCATGCCATCTCGCGTCCTAAGACCGCAATCTAAGTCGGGGAATGAATCGCGAGAGTCCAGAGATAGAGCAATGCATTTACGCACCGATGCAACCCAAACACCATCTTGTGAAACCCATTCCTATACATCGTCAATCTTCGTGCTTCGGCCAATATCATCATTTTATTACCACCCTTCGCATCTCGATCATTAAAAAGAGTACCTCCCCAGACCTAGCCGTTCTCTAATGATAATCCGAATGCAACTTTTTCGTAAAATGCCTTGCTTGGGTATCAAACCAATACTCCAATGCCGAGAATGATGATTATAGTCGACCTAGCTCAAAAAATTTGGACTCCTCCACTAATACACCTCTTGAATGCTTCTCTCGATATAAGGGTCAATTAACTTCGTCTTTCTAACAAACCACCAGCCATGGTCAGCGTCATAGGTAATGCTGGTCGTTGGATTTCTACGCTTCTGCTTGGAACTAGCCTGCCCCCCGGTGTTCTGGGATGAGGTACGTTGACTCTCCCACTTCGCTCCGTAAGCCTGCCATGCGTGCCGAGTCCTTCATCCGCACTATCTGAATCACCGTCATCGTAATCGGCCAACCTTGCGAAATAATCGGCTAAGCCATCCACACTAGGTGTTCCGACGACAGTATCATACTGCGGCGGAGGCGTAGGCATGGGTGGCGGTGGATCGTCGTCGTCAAATGCAGGAGGGTTGAAACTTGGGTATCTCATGAGATGCATCGGACGGGGTGCACTTGGCGCGTTTGATTGTCGCTGTACGGGCTGTGAGCCACCAGCAGGATGTTGTTGTAGGTGGGCAGCAGGCGGCGGTGCGATACCAAGGGAGTCGGTGGTCGCAACACTTATGTTGTTGGCGTCAACCGAAGGTATCGTGCCAGTACTAGACGCAGGGCTAGGGTTCGTCGCGAGAATTTCGGCGTCGGGGCATCCACAGCTGGCGTGCTGGCGATACATAGGCTGATCGGCGCCTGAGTATTCGGGTAAGGCGGTGTTTGCTTGGGTAGCTCGGCAGTTCAGCACGGTGAAGGGTGAATCGATACTGATCTCAAAATGCCGACGTCGCTTACCCGCCGGGTCTTCGGGGTCGAGACGAGAGATACGCATCACGATCTACAGCACATTAGTCTCATGTCATTTGGGAGAAGAATCCGAGGATAATCGGAGAACATACCTTAATCCAGTGGTATACATTAACATTCTTCCAACTGCAATCTGGATGCAACCGCAAGCTCTTATCTTTGGCCATTTGCTCGCATGTTGGAATCTGGACGTTCATCTCGATCTCTGTCGACCCCCAATAAGACTCTAGGCCCAAATCCAAGTCTCCTAGTAGATTATCCGATGGGTCGGGTAACGGTTCGGGTAGTCTGTGCGCCCTCGAAGCCTCTACACTACGTCGCCGTTGCGCGGCAAGTCGCGCTTCGTGTCTTTGGTCGGGTGTAAGTTCGCCACCACTCAGAACTCTCACTTCGGACGCATCAAACTGCTTATCAAGAGGCTTCCCTGCCGATTTCTCCAATAACAATATTTTCCTCCCCGGATCCTTCCGCGTAACTCGACGATCATTTGTCCAATATTCGATGGACTCGGTGACAAACACTTTCAGCTTGTGCACCTGCACTTTGGCTAATGGAGTAAGCTTGAATGCGATGGGTATCTTCGTGCCAATAGGAAAAGACTTCCCCGATATCATAATGTCGTAGTGAAGTTGATCTTCCCATTGTCTACTGATGGAAATAGGTTCCGTCATCTCAAGAGATAACTGGTCAGGAACCCGAACGATACACACCTCTTTTGAGCCGTGGAGGTTCGGCTTGAAAGCACCGGCCCGGTCAACTATCGTTTCTAATTCCCATTTGACCGATCCAAACTGTAGCTTAGTAGTCTCAAGTTGGTGGTGGTCAATTGGTAGTTCAAACGAGTATTCATATATGCCGGGGTAAAAGACTTTATATGTCTTTGGCTGCACAACATTAGGATTAGGGCTATCTCCTTTTCCAAAGCTACGAGACTGGACCGATTGCAACGATAGTCGCTTATAATCACGAGCCGTCAGATGTGCGGTAGGTCTGTTCTTAAGCGCTAAAGATATTGTCGACTGAGTAGGGGACGCAGCACGGCGGGCAGTAGCGCAATCGGCTGTGTTTCGTAACGTATATGCGCACTGATTTCCGAACTCTGTCTCCCATGTCTCGTGCGTGGCATGAAAAAAGGTCAACACCTGCGTTCTAAGAGACTCCTCTTCAAATTGCTCGACTTTTAGCGGGGGGATGCCCTCAGGCCATTCCGTCCTCGCTCTACCGTGAAGCTTGAGGGTAACCGACTTAATTTTCACGTTTTTGGACACTTTCAACTGTAATTTGCCTCTTAAAAGTGCAGTCGAGTTAGCAGCATCGTTTCGCGGGTGGCCATCGTGCTCGAAACCCGTAAGAAAGACGTTTGGCTCCGCTAATATTATTGAGCACGCAACCCCGCTCCCACTAGCAACAGGTTTTGGTACCTCCGTCACCGAGCTCATTATACTCTTGGCGGAGCGTACCGAGATGATGCTATTCCTGTGGGGGTTATGCGAAGCTGGTGTTAAAATCGGAGACCGTCCTGGCCCCGATAAAGCAGGTGTCCCTAGCATCGCGGAGGCACCTGGAGGAGAAAAAGCAAGCATAGAATGCGGTCGAGCACGTAGAACACCCGTAGGATTCGGTCTCGGTCTCGGTATCGAATCGGTTGGGGCGTTGGCGACGTTGGGGGAAGTTGGTGACGTAGGACTATCGGTGGCGACGTATTGCGAAAAATGTAACTTTAAAGGTCCCAATACTTTTTCAAATACCCGTCGTGATGAGCTTTTTAGTCCAGGTCCGTCTTCCTTTTTAGCTTCCGTTCCTTTATTTTTACCCTTCTTGAACTTGGCCGGCTTAGATTTGGTGAAAGCAGACGGTCTTAAGTCAGGAGGAGTGTAACCAGCTGGATAAGATACGATGTGGATAGACTGGGGTCGACGCGGACGTGGTCGGATATGCGGAGTCGGCAAGCTCGGAGTTGCTCGGTGCCTCCGATCTGAGGACCTCGGCCGATAAAAGACGTTCCCAGCTACGGGATATGCGTAGTGATCTGAACGATCTGGGCCGCTAATGTCTGTCATGATGCCGTTAGGATAAGGATAACTCATTAAAAAAAATACTCGGCTATCAAGAGTACGCAAGGGCAAGAAAGCGAACCAGCGGAGAGTGCTGTCGTCTATTCCGCCTGCCCGCCGAATCGGAGGGATAGGTGCTCAAGATATTCCCCAGGAGTACATGCTAGGCTGATAAGAATTGCACCATATAGTAGGATGACCGGAACAAGCAAACAAGCGGACGGTGCAGGCGAGCAGACTTTTTAGTCATGCGCTAGACGCCCTATGCCGTGATATGTATGCTATGGTATGCTAGAACAGGAGACCAGTTATGGGTGGTGAGAATTCGATGTGGATGTGTATGGGGGAGTATCATAGGTAGGTAGAAAGTAAGATGTAACTAAAAAGTAAATGTAAGGTAAGAGAGGGAAAGGTGGGATGGTAGGGCCACAAGGGAAATGATGAAAGATAAAAGATTAAAAAAATAAAAAATAAAATAAAAGTAAATCGAAACCAAAACGAGAAGAAAGTACGATGAATGATGCCGCTCATGTGAGACAGAAAAGGAAGGAGGGCTGGGCCCAAGGTTCAACTTACCAAAGGTGAATCATAAACAAGTCATGATTGACACTGGGGAAGGAACCAATTCTATGGGTTGTCTGTACGTGAATGCGTGCGCGAATGCGGTGCACTGGGTTGCGGTTGCGGTAATGTGCGGGTATGTACCGTGGCAGCCGTGGTAGGGTAAGATCGATGTAGATAGGTTCAAAAATCAAAATGTTTGGTAGATCAGGTATGTACAGTAGGTACGAATGAATATGTGCGTGGTCGTATGTAGATTGATGTATGTATACTTTAAATTATATGACTTGGTCGAGTTAAAATGGGAAACGGCAGGGTCAGATCAGATAATAGCCGTTTGGAAGGAAACACCTGGTTGGAGAGTTTTGGGGATGAAGGCCGGGATACTGCTGCGAATGCGATGCGATTGAAGGCAGGTTCGACTAGGAAGTAAGGAAGTAATGATGTACCTAACAAAGTAGCATGTAGCATCAAATGTAGTATCCAGAAGGCAGGTAGGTAAGGTATGGCCCCGCTCTATAAGCTGTAATAAGCTATATGGGGTATAGGTCGATAATGCGATAAATGTAATACCTATATGAAAATGGTAAGGCTGGGAAAACTTAACAATAATCAGAAAACGTTTGCAGCAATCGGTGACGGGGGAAAAGGAAGGGGGAAAAAGATACAAAATTGTGTGATACAATTAAGAGGAGGTACGGTACGCATGAATGGATGAATTGGATTGGGGGGGTTAGAAAAGGTGGAACCTGATGCGGTCAAGCAGACATCTAAGAGGACATGGAGGATGTAAGAATTAATGTAGGTGTATGTACGAAAATGTAGTGTAGTATGATGTGGTCGTCTGGGTCTTTGGTCTTTGTGAGCGAATATTTGGGAGGTATAATGGAGATGTTATTCGTTGGTCTAGCCCTCTTCTGTTATGTCGGTGAAGAGGAGGGGAGGGGGGCACAGGATGACTCTGATGACTTGCCTTGATGACCGAGGTGGCTGACAAGATACTGACAAGATACTACTATGTAATGGATTGATGATCGAAAATTGATTAACTGGACAGGACAGAAAGATAAAAAAGTGAAATATTTCTGCGTTACCTTTTTGACAACTTGATGCGATGTTGATGGAGTTTCCGGAGGATCGAACCAAGTTCACTTGTTGGCTTGAAGTCGCGCGGATGACGGTATGTAACTAATAAGACAACAAAGACGGGCACTAGCCGCAGATGATTTTCCTATGATGTATGATGTATTGATTTTTCCAAGGGCCCGAACCCCTGCTAATGCGGTTGACATATGTAAGACGAACTTGTACCCGTGGACCCTACCTAGACACCTAGACAAGTCTTGGTCCCGTATTAAAAATAATAATAAATAATGCTAATGAAACTAAAGTAGAAACGTCTCCTTCGCTAATGTCGACGGCGCAGTGATGGATGTTATATTAAGTACGTACGTATTTATAAGATTTCGTGTTTCGGTATGTGATGGACTTTGCTGAATCCCATCAAAACTCAGGAGCTCGGAAAAGAGGCTCATTACACCTTGCCGTATCGGAATATTATCCTCATCATGTACGTATGTACGTAAATGTACCTGAATTCGGCAGCTACATACACAGCCCTGAAAGTACCTAAGGTATTATGAAAAAAAGGTGCTGACAGCATTATTTTTTTTTATTTCCCAATATATCAGGTACATCCATCTATCCCCATATCTATGCGCCCCATTACCCCGGCACTTACACTACATACCTACATACATATTAGTACGTTCCCGTTCCACCCGGATCCATTCCAAATCAGGGAATTCATACTTGGAGGGGCTAACAATCACTGCTCAGAAAAATCCATCATGTGAGCGCTTGCAGCTAGATCCCACGTCACAGGCAAGCGAGTCGGGAGCCAGTAGATAGAAGTTGTTTTTCCAACAACATCCTTGTAATATATACTATATAATGCAATGCAGTACCTAGCGGTACCATAGCTGAATTGTATTTGGTATTACTGGAGCGATTTCAATACTTTGAGCGCCTACATAGTTCCTTGATTCTCGCAAGTACAACCACCTACACTCATAACAAGAGTTACGCATAATAACTAGGACAAGATGAAATGGAGCATTTCCGGTAATAACCCGGAAGACCAAGTCACACCGCATGGAGCAGTTATGTATGTGTGTATGAACTGGGACCCGCCATGCATCTTGATTTTTTCTTCTTCTTTTCTCCCTTGGTAGGAAATTTCATAAGCTTAGTCCAGAAGACCGACAAGGCAGCGAGACAACGAGGCGAAAGGCGAAAACGAATCTGACCAACCATGTCTTCCGATTCCGGCATTATAACACAGATTTGATTCACTCAAGGAACTAACTAGTTCCAGATCAAGACTTTTAGTAGATTTCTAGTACCCCTAGTGTCAGGTCCTTAGTAAGATGCTAGCAAACCTGGCTACGAGAAATGCCGCGCGTTTCCCGAAATTCCGGGTGGAAGGATACGTAGCTAAGTTACTAAGTCGCTAAGTCGTAAAGTTGGAAATAGAAACAAAAAATAAAATTTGAAAATAATTTGAATTGATCAACCTGTCTAGCCTTATGATGCGGTAAAGTAAGAGTTTATTTCGTTTCTTGGAATTCCGGCCAACTCCTAAACCGTCGAACCGTTCAACCTTAAATCGGACTTGACTCGCGTACCTGCACAACCTTCCGAATTAGGTAGTGGTGATGCGGAACTTCCGGCAGCTTGTGAGGCTTCGCAGATAACTATGTCGTCATCACCGGGAAGGGTTCAACGCTAATGTTTAGATCATATACAGTAACACGTGTGACAGCATAGTTTAATCAAATTAAACATCTCCAACTAGGAACATCTTTAATATTTAGTTCAAATGTTTAACATATGATCTTATTTTAAGATTCACCTAATTGACCCCTATTTTTATAGCTTTTTATTGTTACAAGTTCGAAACTATCGCCACAGTCACGAGAAAATAAAAACAGTTGATGATTACGTAGCTCCAAATTCAGAGGCGGGGAAAGAGAACCTCTAACCCTTAAGCAGATATAATATTGTACAGGGTTTATGAGACAAGACTAAAATGTTGCCTGCCAAGATTATTGATCACCATCTATTCCCGGGGGGGTTATCTGTACAGCCCCCAACATTAGGAACTTCTACAACAACCATTTGAAATTATGTTATATGCTAAGTACCAACGTACACAATATCTCCAGGTGAAGGATTTCGGTGACGAGAAACACGTAAAAGGGCAAGTATGATATTAAAGGACGAGGCAGTGCAATAACCTCCGTGATTGTTCAACTCTTCCAAGTTCCATATTGAACGATTCAGCTGTGGCTTGTTAAATCTATTCCAAATTCTGGGATCAGAGCCTTGGAGTTAATTTGACAGGTCATTTTAGATCAGACGACCTAGTTATTTTTGACCTGATTTCCATTTTCCTTGTACCTCGCTTCCGCTTGATGTTTGAACTCTTCGTAGTTTTCATACTGATAGATCGTTAGCACATATTCTCATCAGAAAATAGGAAATAATAGGGTACACACCACTTCTTGCATGGCCTTTCGAGCACCGGGCCAAATCTTCCGCCCACATCCCGGCACACCGTCGGGATTCGTTTCAAATAGACGCCAGGAATAACAGTTCATCGGTCCCTTAGCGAGCAAAGTCCATAGTTCCCGGTCGTTCCACCATAGCCCCCAACCACGTCCGGTGAACATATGGTCGATGTTGTCGTATAGGCCGGTCCCCGCCGCATCGTGGAGGAATCGGTAAAACGAGTGCGCGCGAAGGTAACCAGAACTCAAGGAACGTTCCTTTTCCCATTCACCACGCCACCAGTTCTGGTACGCGTCAACCTCCGCATTCATCTTATCCAAGGACGGGAGTAGCGCGGGCGAGCGATACCCATCGGTGCGCACGGGTTCACCCGCAGCCTTAGCAGTCTCAGCTGCCCAGATCTGAGAAACCGCCATCGAAGCAAGTTCTCGCACACTCCATACAGGTTCTTGGGGAGACATCCAGTTCATGAAAGCTATAGACGATGCCCAGCGTGGGGGGAATATCATCTGGAATAACCGAGGTAGATGAGGCTTTTGTGAGCCTTGATTCTCACCAGCAGTCTCATCCCCGCCGTCCATTTTGACAAGAGGCTCTTCTACCGCTTTTTTCAACGGCAACCCAGCAGCGCCGTCCATCTCCATCTCAGGCATAATGCTGAAGTCGAGTTTGTACCCTGTGCAAAAGATGACAACATCTACTTCAAGCTTCGTGCCATCTTCGAGGAGAACTTCTTTGTCGGCGGTAAAGCTCTTGAACCCTTTCACCGGAATGATCTCTTCCTCGTAGAGAGCTGGGATGAACTCCTCTTGAGCTCCGGGATGGACGTGCGCCATACTAGGATGAGGAAGCAAACGCCAGTCCTCTCGAAGCTTGCGTTCGGCATACTTGAGCTTCTCGTTCCGAGACATTCCCGGCAACTCAGGCCCAAAGCGAGCCGTATCGTTGATCATTTTATTGGTCATGATTTTGTTCGTCACCGGCCACATCAACCATGGTAGCTTGCTATCAAGACAGTACTTCAATCGCACCTCCGGCCACGAGTACTGCGCATCAAAAGGGATACCATTATCCGAAGTTCGCGACACCATTATCTTGCCACGTCTGTAACTTTGATACAGTTTAGCAGTATGGTTACGGAGTGCTAAGGAGATATCGCACGCCGTGTTGCCGATCCCCACGACCAAGACCTTCTTGCCTTTAAACGGTTCCGGGCTATTTCGACTGTCAATTGCCTTGTTCAAACGAAATGGAGCTTGATACCAAGGTTTACTCACTTTTTATATGCCTGCGAATGTATCACGACGCCCTTAAACTTGTCCCTGTTAGGCAATGAGGGCCATGATGGGGTGGTTTCCGCTCCTTGGCAGAAAACCACCTTATCAAAGGACAGAACTGCATCGCCATCCGGATTCGTGATGTGGACGTCCCATGCAGTATCGGCAGCATTTCGGGTCACTTTCCGAACTGTAGTATTGAAACGCACATGATCTTGCAAGTTGAAATGGGAGGCATAAGAGTTGAAGTATGCCGCTACTTGAGAGCTCGTGGGATACGGTAGGGATTCTGCGAAGTGTTAGGAAGAGACAGTCGATTTAACCCTGAATCGAGCCTGCATATCAAGACGAGTTTCTTACTTGTTGAAAGAGGATAATCACTGAAGCCCCACTAGACTTGGTAAGTTCCTCTATATCAAAGATAATGGATTTCGTTTGTTCACCTACCACGAACTTGCTAACGTTACACACGGTCTCTTTCAGAGCGGAAGTGTAGGTTGCATTCTCGCTGTATGACCACAGCCCACCAATTTTTTCTCGCCTTTCGAACGCGACGGCATCAAATCCCTCTTCTCTCAGAAACTTCAACGCCGTTAGTCCTGCCGGGCCTATTATCACGTTGAAGTTAGCTTATCCATGCCTTTAATGTACATCCTATGGCTAAGGACGTGGATGAGGTAATACCTAAGCCAACAACTGCGATCTTGATATTCTCCATATCCAGATACGGGGGTAAACACGCGACGGCGGGTAGGCGCACGTCTTTTATGTGTCGAGTTAACTTGTGATTTCAGGATCGATTACACTGCGTTATTTAAGCCTAGATAGAACAAACATGCTAGTCTAACGCTTATTATCGTCTTCAAACACCATAACCCAGCTGCCACTATGCATAGTTCTTTTGCTATTTTATAGGATCGCCCGGTAGCCCAGACACCCTCCACGATACACCCTTGCCTACATGAAAATGCCATTTCGGAATTCGGGACCATATCTTGAACTATAGTGCGAAGGATAACCAATGATGGTGTGTTACACCGCTTGAAAGCGTAAGATTCAAACTGGATATTACCAACAGCATATCAACTCTGAATATTGGGAATAAGTATGCGTGCGGCGAGAGTCCCGGTCCGCTAGAAAGCCATCCGGTTCGATGGTGAATTGCTAGTTACGTGTCGAGGTATAAGATACCGGGATCAGCACGTTCAAATGATGTTGGTTCTTGTTGTGCCGTTCAAATCTCCCGCCGGAATACCAAATCTTGACTAGTTCAATAGATTCGATATCCTATACTGATGTAAACAGCCAACCCTGGCTTAGTCAGGTATGCGTAATCCCGGGAAATTGACATGAAAGTTGAAATTAACTTGGAATTCATCTGATGATGTTCGCCTGGGGCAAGTGTGAAAGAGGCACGGCGATGGAGACGGGTCTTTATACCTGCATACCCAGGTACCCGTATCCCACTCTCAGACGCTTTCAAGCAATAACATAAGTAGAATGAACTCTTAAGTATGACAAATCACTCATTACATTGGATTAAACCATCAACTTTGGAAAGTCTAGCCCTATCGTTACACAATGAGTTCATGGTCGTATGCGGCACAGCCAGAAATGAAGCCCACCAAGGACAATCGTATCCGTGCGACAGTATAAATTAGTTCTAATGCATACTCCTAAAACTCTTTAGCACCGTCTAAAAACTCCTAAGTCCGCACTATATACACCCATGTCGTCATGCTTTGGAAGAATATTAATATGTGGCGTTGCCCATCGAAGCCGTCAGTCCTCCAATTCCCTTCCCAGCCCCGCATATCTCATAGCCATGGTGGGAACCCAAGAAAATCCGGCTTCCTCGCACATTAATCGTATCCTCTAGTCGTCGAGGTACCAGCAGTCGGGGCCCTGTTCGTTGAACTCGCGGGTGCCAAGCTCGCCGATGAATTGGCAAAGCTGGCCCTGGATGAAGTTCACACCGTGGCAGTACCAGTATCCATCATCCTGTCGGCTCTCGAGTCCATCGCGCTTGGCCTTCTCGTACGAGCCAGTGCAGGCATTGATACAGTCCGACAGGCTACCGGTCTCGGGATGGTCCAAAGTCTGCGTGGCGTTGGCGGGGGTGCAGGTGGTGTCGCATTTGACTAGACCCAGGTACGGGTTTCCGAAAGCCGGGGAATCAGCAGTGTAGGGTGGGCACTGGCAGAAGGAGCTGTAGTCAGGGTAACCGGTGGTTTGGTTGGGGTTGTCGCATGTGGTCGACGTTGCGCCGGGCGTGGTGGTAGCCGTTGGTGCGCTACCGTCGCGCTTGAGCACGGCACCTCCCGCAGCGGCGGCGGTGCTAGAGAGGGCGAGGAGCCCAATAAAGAACGAAGCGTTGGCGTTGGCGAGCATGATGATTTAACTGATTGAGATCGAGTTAATATGCAGTAGCGAATGTATAGGTAAGTTGGTATGTCAGCGTTGTATACTGTTGATGAATTGATAAAGTTATGATTTACCCGAGTGGGAATCTCATGTTTATATATTACGAGATGTTTCGTCGCATGCTTCTGTCTGGGGTACAGTAAGGCTTCACGGGTTTACCCACATGGTCTAAAAAAAGGATTGCATATCAAAATACTACCATGTCAGATCTCATTTAGATCGTCATTGGTCTCTCTAAACGATGAATTAAGCGTAAATCGGGTTATAGGCTACAGCTGGGTTCATCGCTTCAGCTCGATACTTGGCAATCACTCAGAAATTCACCGAGTTATGATTTTGGGCTACTCAGGGCACCGCAGATCACCCGGTTGGCCGGCAATGTTGACAGTGACAGTACGCCGTAAACTAGATACGTAAAGCCAAGAGATTAAACCATCATTCAAACATGCAGAATAGCTGCCAAGTTAAGCTATGCTGCTTCTTGTATAGGGTGTGATAGGCAATACGAACTTCTAGCAGTAAGCATTCAACTTTTCTTGGCTTCCATTGGAATGATCAATGAGCTTCTTTAGAGAGGACACGGAGAGGGTCGTTTTCCCCGAATGCGACTTGAAGCCCCTGTATCCCCTGTTTAAACTGCCGTTTTCTACCATAATAGTCAATTGAAACGTTGCGGCTGAGCCACAAGGTCACTTTCATACAGGGAAAGACTGGCGTGAGGATTTACTCTCTTTTACCTAATACAGGCAGGTAACTGAGCAGTTCGAATTGGACCGTGCCACATGTTTTGATTAAGGTCTTCGGTGAGAACGGCACGGTTAGATCCAAGCCTCACTACGGAGTAACTAACGAGGAGTTTTTCATCGTAAAGCGGACAAATTAAATATTTTACAGCCCTCCTCAAGCCACCAGCCCTATAATGAACGAGAGTCCACACCACTACCTAAGTACAAAAGGTATTTATGATGAATGCGTATACCTCACAATTTGCTTAGCCATCAATATTGGAATTTTGTTCAATCAATGAGAAAACATTGAAAATATTTATCAAGTACGGAACTACGCTGGTGTGCTTCAATGTAAAACCAGAAAGGTTCGGTGGAAATCACTCAAGCGACTGTTTCTATCCATTCTATTTGCCATCTGAGCTCTAATAAGCCTAAGTAGATATCTATCAAATTCTGCTAATGCGCACCTCGAAACCATGCCCTTGGCTCTATCGGAATTCTGTTCCTGATTAGGGCCTTGGATGAATATCTAGCGTAAGCGTCTAGGTTCGATATAATGTCCGTTACTCGACCCATTCCCATTGGTATTCTTATGGCCAGGGGTGATCGAGAGGTCGACATCTCGTGCACCGTCGAGCCATTGTTCCATCTTCTCGTATAGCTCAAGCCATACAATGTTAGCTAATCCGTACTCGGGACCCTGAATAGTTGGAAGGGAGAGGTCGACATCATGACCGAGCATGTGCTGTGCTGCACCAAGGTACTTGTATCCTTCTGGGTATCGATCCAAGGTTTCCTTAGTAAAGCTCGGCGACGTTTTGCCATCGACAGGGACAAGCTTATCCTTCTCGTATATCAGTTTGACGTACTTGATCTTCCAAGCGTCGGTGTCCGAATTTCGGAAGCAAAAGAAGTTGAAGCGACAATCGCAATCCACATCAAAGACGATTGGCTCAAGACCCATAGTATCATCTCCCCCGATTCTGAATCGCTGCGTGATAGTTGCCTTCATCTTGCCAACGGCTCGATTTCTCAGTGGATCCAATTCAACTAATGTACCGCATTCGCGATGCATTATGAAGTCTCCCTTTGCTTTCCCCTCCTTAGACATCTGGATGAAGCCATCGATGGTCTGGCGCCCACTCCAAGCTATTTGGTACGTATTAGTTTCGACAAGTTCTCAAAACGACCGTGGTAGGAGAATGTACTAACTCGTCCAGACATACGCGTCGTCGCAGAAGAGAGAACGGAAGTTCTTCCATTCGGACGAGTCTCGATATACAGGCCAGCCCTTGCACAACTCGGAAACGGCTAATCTGGCTAATGTATCCCCCTCGCTGCCGTTAACGTGAGAGTACACCTTAGCATGAGGATCATTCGGCGAAGTCATACTTGATAATATTTCTCTGTTAAGTATAGAGAAGATGGGTAGCTAATAGTAACCATGATGTCTCAAGGAAACAGAGCATATTTTATGTGGCTTCTGCTGTAGTACAAGTGAGTTGGAATCGATACGCCACTAGAGGTCGTGGTACATCGGCTACCTCGACGTCAAATATGATGTCTAGCTCGTCATCGCACACACACAATCAGCAACAAACCGACCCCTTAATATCTGCTCTAACCCGTCGAGGCGTCGCTGGCTGCCACTTCAGAGGTACTAGAATCAAACTCGAGGTGAAGTACAGACACGTATACGAAGCAGGTATGCGCCTCTGCACTTCGTCCCGTATTACAAACCAACGTCGTAAAAGCTCGACAATATCCCACAGTTCTCCATTTAAAGACTATTTCCGCGGGAGGCATCATATCCCATCCAAGCGGGAAACCGACCTGCGTGCTGTAATTTAAGCGCTCGTCCTATCATCATAGGCATCCGACAGAGATGCTTGCATATTTATCTAAGATCGGCTGTTAATCCGACGCGTCTATCGATCGAGAAGCCTTCCGCCGTGCTGTGTAACGGATGAATCGAAAAATGTCGGTGAGACTTCTCTGCGCGTTGCCGTCCGCTTAACGGGACGCATCGACACGGAGTGATCTAATCGGTTTGCCGAAGCGACCTCTGCCCTGTTTCGATTTCGGTAGACTGCCGTCTCCTTGGATTTGGATAATATCCTTTGTTGCCACCATACGCAATAATCAGGGGCGCTGAAGGTGTATCCGATTAAGAACAGTAGCTCATAGTGGGGTTTAGAGAGGACTATATTTTAGTCCCTCCCTGATGCATGATATCAAGCCCCGTTTATGCAGTCACTTGCATAGGGAGTGAGTAATTCGGCATCGTTGAATGTTCTCGGGTGGTAAGCAGCAGTGGTAGGAATAGAGGCGTTTGTTGGGGGTCATAAGGTAGTATAAATAAGTAAATCCAATAAATCCTCTTGCTTTTTGAATGCCCACTTGAATCTTCTGTATATGTATGTGATTTGTCATTAGATGGTTACATAAGGAATACATATCATATGTACGGGGAGGGAGGGTTGGAATAATCCTACATGCTTATTCATAATATGGTTATTCATACATAACGTTCTTTAATACATCACATCGGTCCTGCAATGCATAATCCTTTTCATAGATGCTAATGTAGGAATTCGGGAGCTAAAGAACGTTGTCAAAAGTTAAGATTATCAGATCAGATCATCTATACCTGTATGATATTAGGGTAGGAAGTACCTAGGTATCCACTCAGACTAGTACTTGGATGCCGGGACAAGGTCGCAGGAATGGTACCTTTAGTGGGGATACCCTTGTTCATTTGCTTCATCGGCCGACGCTAAGATTTGCCTAGGTACAGTAGGTAAGCAAATAACATTCAACTTTTCTCCGACTACGCAGCCGCATCTTCCTCTATGACGTGACTCTATACTTAGGTACTTCAATATTTTGAATATGGAAATTGTCAGCTACATTCAACACAATTAGATGTATATGTCAGCTACCTAGGTACACATGGCTTGCTTATTTAATTCTTCTCCTTTATCTTACATATTCCTTACGTGGGCAAGGAAAGGAAGAAAAAAAAGAATTCAACAATCATCACATTCCATACCAAAGTACTAATCTATAATCAGAATTAGTGATGTGAGTGAGACATCCATCCGTCCGCGCGCATATGACTTACATTACTTAGCTAATTGTAAGCTATACACACTGTACATACCTGTGTGTATCGCCGCGTCGGTGTTTAGAAAACTGACGAGGGTTACCTAGCACCTAAATAAGAAACTCCTTTGAGCCTCGCCTTTTGACCGATACAAGAAAAGCGCGAGATAGCCCGAAACATAATGGCGTTTTTTTAAGAGTGGCCCTCTCTCGGTTTCCGATATCTCCTCGCCGGAAATAGCTCCAGGACCCTGACTCGTGGTTCAGCTAGTCTCTCGACCCAAGATCAAAGCAGCAACTCCGAAGGTCCTTCGTTTCGACAGGGCTGACTTGATAGGTGCCACACCCCCTGCAAAGCTGACCTGTAGGAACCAACGGGCATAGCAAAAGCAATTGTAAAAAAAACCTGGTCACCTTATCGATCCACATCTTCTTTCTTAGTTCCCTTGCTGTCTTATTAATTCCTTAGAAATATTTTTGTGGTATCCCACATGGGATGGGAGGGTCAGATTTGCAGATTTGGTACCTCATTCTGGCATATGAAATGATGTGATATGAAAAACAAAAAGCGAGAGAGATCGGTCAATTTATTTCCTCGACACCGATATTAGAGAATTCTCTCCTTTCTTAAAAGTCGAGTCGGTTAAATGTGAACATCGCGGCTTAGACACACCTTCTCTTTCCGGGTTACTCTCCCTGCTCTCCACGCAAACCATCGAGCACGAGGTAGATATTGTTAGATACCCCTGGAACCACTCAGACAATCCAACCAAACAAGTTAGATCTGTAAACAGATCTATCTAGGTATCTACGACATGGCGGTTGACGATCAACCCCAAAACGTGCCTGGTGATGGCAAAATAAGTTCCAAGACATCTAGTGTTACAGATACCCATTTCACCAGCCAAGCAAGCTTATTCGAGGATCAATCGCCGTTAGATTCGCCAATAGTTGGCGCAAGCCCCCCGCGCTCCGGACTCGCCTCCGGTCAAGATCCTTCGTTGCTAATACAAAAACCTGGAGCACAATCCCCAATACCGGACGAGGCATGGACAAGTAGTGACGAAAAAGAAGGTGCCGGAAGATGTGATGAGGAAGGTGAAGGTGAAGACGGGTTCAACAATGGGGATAGGAGGGAAAAGACTCAAAGCCGAGACCTTGCCCGAACCGAAACCAATGTGTCCATCGCGGAGACGCTTTCCTTACCTCGGGAGATCTTGTTCGTAACGATAATATGCTTTGGGCAACTGTTTACACGTACGTTTCCTAGTCGTTCTTATAATCTCGTCGTTGCTCGATTCTAGCCTACCTTTGACTAACTCGTGGGTATCTAAAGAATCCGGACTCGGTCAAGTTGTCAGTATCAACCAGTCTATCGGCGAGAGCTTCGGCATCACGAACCCCGGCGAGTTAAGTTGGTTCGTCGCTGGTTATAGCTTGACAATAGGTACTTTCATATTGTTTTCTGGCAGGCTTGGCGACTTGTTCGGCCATAAGACCATGTTCCTAATCGGAATGTGTTGGTATTCGCTCTGGAGTACTATCTGCGGTCTCGCCATCTACTCTAACCATGTCCTCTTCATCTTCGCTCGTGTATTACAGGGAATTGGCCCCGCTATTGTCCTACCGAATGGTCTCGCGATTCTTGGCGTTACGTACGCCCCCGGTCGACGTAAGGAGATGGTATTCGCCCTATTCGGCGCGACAGCTCCGTCCGGCTCGGTTCTTGGTTCGACATTCGCTGCGCTTTTCAACCTCACGTGGTGGCCGTGGGCTTTCTGGGCTTTTGGAATCGTACTCGCAGGGACCGTGGTCGTGGGATACTATGCCATTCCGGCAGCCTCGAATAGGCATCATCATGAGAAACCCCAAGGCCTGAAGGAATGGATACAAGCACTCGATATTGTGGGGACGACTCTCGGTGTTGGTGGCTTAGTTCTAGTCAACTTCGCATGGAATCAGGCACCTATCGTGGGTTGGCCCGAGCCATACGTCTACGTGACGCTTATCATTGGAAGTCTTCTACTAGCCGCGTTTTTCGTATTCGAATTAAACTACGCGCAGCAACCCCTAATACCTTTTCACGCCCTTTCCTACGAAGTATCATTTGTCCTGGGCGCCGTAGCTTGTGGCTGGGCCTGTTTTGGCATATGGTTCTACTACACTTGGCAGTTCCAACTTGTCCTGAAGCACGCCCCTCCACTTCTGGCCACAGCGAGGATTTCACCGGTCGCAGTATCGGGGCTTTTCGCGGCCCTTTTCACCGGCTACATGTTACACCACCTTAAGCCACCCATCATTATGACAATGGCTCTGTCATTTTTCACAATAGGAATGATCCTTCTCGCCACTTGCCCGGTTGACCAAGTTTATTGGGGCCAATATTTTGTCTCGACAATTGTTATGCCTTGGGGTATGGATATGAGTTTCCCGGCGGCGACACTTATCCTCTCCAACGCTGTGCACCGAAAACACCAGGGTATCGGCGCAAGCTTAGTTAATACAGTAGTCAACTACAGCATCTCCCTCGGACTAGGTTTCGCCGGTACGGTCGAGACGCAAGTCAACAAAGGCGGAACCACCCAGGAAGATATTCTGAAGGGATATCGGGGCGCGTATTATATGGGCATTGGCCTGGCGGGGCTAGGTGTAGCCGTGTGTCTTGCCTTCGTCGCTAAGAGTAGGAAACACAAACGCATCAATACCGAAGAAGAGGGTTAATAGCTGGTTTTTTATACAAGCACTTCGTCCGTCAATTTGCCCTTTTAAAATTAATTAATCTCGTGGGTTGATATATGTCAACCACACCAAAACACTGGAGTACCTCGGTACTTATTACTCTTGATGAAGGGGGCATCTCTACTTATCGTAAATAGACAGGAGGGAATTTCTACGATACCAGCAATAACGAATGAACATCGGACGATCACCTTTTAGACGGATACCAACATATTTAATTTAATAGAAAGGTTACGGGAAGGGGAAAATGGAATGGACACGCTTAGTGGATGGGATTTCAAGTAATAGAAATTCACTTATGGTAATAATTCATGCTGCTAGATTCAGAAGTGCTCTGAAGGCTAGATGAGCAAAATGATCATTGTAGCTTCTAAAATTCGTTTCATCTACGATCCCATATGCATTTGATGTATGATGGATGATAGCCACCGTTGCAAATCCCCCACGTAAGCCAGCCCCCCCCTTCCGAAAATGTAACGCCGTGCGATGCTCTCAAGTGCCCCCCCCAATGTAATGCATTGAATGCAGGATGCAAAGCGAAGCTAAAAAGCATTAAGTATATATACATCTTTCAAGCAAAGCCGATATCTCCGGTCTGGGCTTGATTTTGATCAGTGTTACCCATGTTCTCCTCGGACTCCCCACCGGGACTCCCCGTACCATTGCTTATGGCGTTTTGCTCGCCGGCAATTGATGCGGCAATGGTATCCCACCCTTTACCTCCTGTTCGCAACACAAGGTATGGATTGATATCTGCCGTAAAGTATCGCTCTCGCCTCGTGCTAGCTCGTGAGTTACCTTCGAGAGCTGAGTAGGCGCTTCTCGTTGTTCGTATACGCTTCTTCCCAGGCTGACCGCCCTCACTCAATAGACTGCTACGGGAAAGTCTATTTTGCTGAAGTCGTTGATCATATGCCACGACGCTACGTATATAAGGAGCTATGTCGAGGGTAATCGTTCTCATAGTCCCGTCAAACACCGAAGGATCTAGATAACCTGCAGCCATAGTCTTCTCCGACACAGCGATAGGATCGAATGCCAAGCTATAGTCCAATCGAACAATTGCTGGCTCTATGGTAGAGGATCCGCTAAAATGACTCTCTAGCCTGGCAGTAGCCTCAATTTCATCTAGCGGTTTGAAAGCGTCTATGGCTTCGTCAATGGATTGGCCACTTCTAAACTGTTCCGTGCTAAGATCTTTGATTGCAGTAGATATATCGAAACGTGTTGTGTCGTATCGAACTAGAGGGGATACCTCAAGGAGTTGCCGACCAGCCGCGAAATCCTCCTTCGCCTTTGCTGGCAAATTGGGAATAGAAGGATCCATGGAAATTTGATTGGGCGTGGCTGAGGAATTGGCCAAGTCGATGTCCGCGTCGCTCATGAAACTGGCAAATGAATCAATTGAATCTAAGAGGCGAAGCCGATCGCTGGCAGAGTATTGTGCAGTAGCCATTTTTGCCTTGTAAGAAGAGTCATTGCTTGGAAGTGGTTCGTACGTATCGAGAGACCAGTTTTCGCAAAGTTGCTGATACAATTCCTCTTGAGATGAGCGAAACGACGAACCGTCGACAGCAGAGTCTCTACTGAGCCAACCCATACCTGTCTGGTATGTATCCTGGCTGACGACTCGGATAGTGTTGCCGTCTTCGTCAACATCTTTACCCTTAGGCCACCTAGGGTAAAACCAGTTAAATCCGCCCTGTATATCTCCAACTCCAATTTGGCACCAATAATTCAGTTCAGCGATGGAAGCACGAAGATCCTGGCCGCGTGAGTCGTATAGCGTGTCAATGGCGTGTCTTCGGAGAGCATGGCCCTCATTCGCAGCAATTGAAAGCAACAAGTCGACGGCGAGTTCCCTGGGTGGGCTGGAAAACCGGAAAATACCATGTAGATTCAGGTTCTGCAAAGGAACCAAAGCCTCTTCGTTGCAAGTCATAACGAAAGGACGTTTTGACTGGGAGATCATGGAAATGACTGTCGCCCAGAACTGCTTGTCTTCTTCATAGAGCACATCGACTTCTTCGAGTAGAATTAACGACTGCTTCTGAGCCTTGGTCGGTTTTTTCGGGTCCTTTGCGTTGGGCGGTTCTGTTGATTTCTTGGAAGGCTTTTCGGCAGTAGTTGGTGTCGGCTTGAAGAAAGCTGTCATCATACCTTGCTTGCCAGATTTGATATCTTGATTCACTTCATCCTCAGGTATCACACCATCTTGTGGCGCTTTCTCCTTGTTGTGATGTTGGACGAGATGATTCCGTGTCATATCCCCAACTTTCTCTAAGATGTCTTTGCCGTTCCTTCGCGACCCTGAGTTGATCTCGAAAACTTCAAAATCCATCTCTTTAGCGATAGCGTAGACAGCAGCGGTTTTGCCGCAGCCATGTGGGCCACTGAGAACAACAGCATTGGCAAAACGACGGCCTTCTCCGGAGGTTCGCCTGGAAGAAGATCGTACCACCGTCTTTTTCGCGCTGCCTTGATGGTTTCCTGATGACCAATCTCCTTCTACATCGGATAACTCGTCTAACTCATATCCTTCCTCATCGCTGGAAATGATAAACCCGTCCAACTTCTTCTTTCGCTTACTCTTGCCCTTTGCCGGGGCACTGCTTTTGGGTTTGGTTCCTGGGTCGACTGTTCCCGTGTCTACCGCTTGCACCTTGAGGTTTTCTAGCCAATCACGTAGTAACTCGGCTTCACGACCGTTCTGGAGTACACGTTCTGCAGATGAGGGCGCATATTTCTGTGTCCAAGCGCTCGTTTCGCACGTTGTTCTATCAAAAGCAGATAGGCCATTCGCGATAGAATTGAATGCATGCGTGATTGCTGGATGTGTTTTCGGTGTATTGCCGCTTTGACGAAGAGTCCTTAATTCACCAGAAATGCGCGCCTGAAGTTTCTTGCCACTTTCGAAGTATCTGCTAGGAATCCGTAAGATAGGAGGTGGAGGTTGAAATTCGTCATTGTCGTAAGCTTTCATTTCTTCGGTTAACTTATTCAAATTTAGCTGCAGAGCGGCATGGCGCAAGATAGATTCCGATTCGGCCACCCGAACTTGTTGTCCTTTCGCCCTACGCCTTCGTATGAGGTGTTCTGAGTGAGAACTTTCGTCTAGGCCAAGAGGGGCCGGTATATCGCCTCGCACATGAGCTGTCTCTTTCGATGGCCAGGCTGGGTGTTTGGCGCCGGGTACTCTTAAAATATTGGAATTTGCACCTAGAGCTGGGGGGTTGAACTTGGGGGTTATTGCTAGTCGAGGGGTTTTGGATGACCCAGGAGTTGAGCTAAAGAACACCTTCCTCTTAGGTGCCGATGCTTTCGGCTTCTCTTCAGCGACGGTGTCGGGCTTCGCTTTTCCTTGGAAGAATGGGTGCGTAGGCTTATTAGATGCTTGCCCTGTTACTACCGTCTCTTTTGCTGCGCAGTTTTTAGATTTCTTCTTCCCTTGTTTAGCCACCTCTCGCGCATCATTAAACCGTTCATCATTATCTCGACCTGAGGGCGGCGTATTCGGGAAAGCACAAGAGGTACCTTTCACTTGTGTGCTAGCAAGTATTTCATTGATCCGGTTGCCTATTCTTAACCGAGAAGCTTTATCCTGACCGTAACGCATTAAAGCAATGAAAGCTTTGGGTTTTCGACCGCGTCTCGTATTCTTGTTCTTAGTAGGTTGTAATTTTGGAGGGGAGCCAATCGTTCCGGTTGAGCGGTTGAGTTTCAATACTTTTTGTGGCTTGGAATCGGGAGCTGAGTTACTAGTAAGTGTTTTGTTCAATCCCAGCGCTATTGACTATAGTATCGTACCTTGAGGTGCTATATCTTGCGTGTCGTCTGCCTCACCGCGCTTCCTCTTGCGTCTATCTGACGGTGGACTAGGGTTGGCATCGTTGGTATCGTTATCGACGGAGTCGGGGCTGCATGAGGGATCTGGCGTGACAGGCGTTATGGTATTCGATGAGTTATCTTGTGAAGGGTGATTTACTGCGAAGAATGGGTGCAATTTCTTGCTGTTTATGTCGGTATTGTCACCATTGTCACCCATGATGACGGTGCTAATAGGCACCATCGATTATGGTAATAATGGCCGTAACATGTAGGGAGAAAAGTTAATTGGATAAGTAATGTTCGGTCATTATTCAAGAGGATGGTAGAGCGGATCCTAATCGTATGGGGTTTCGAAAAAAGATGTAAAAGCTAAATATTAAAAACCGAATATAATTTGAAAAAGCATATGAGTAAGGTTTGAAGATGCATGTGGTGGAGTGCTTCTTACTTCGCCATGAATGCACTGGATTGATAATTTGGGAAGTCGCGTATTAACTATCGCGTCTACTAACGCGACTTCATCATTAAGAGTGCTCAATTGATTTTCTAGTCCCACTGTAGGAATAAGGGAAGGTAGGATACCCCACTATGAAAAATACGTACCGTCTCTCATCTCCACTATATTATCCTATCTTACTGGTGGATCGGTGATTAAGTTGACCGATTAGCAACTTTTTTTTTTTTTTTTCTCCTCCAATCTCAGGTATCACCATCATCACCAATCCAGCCACTTTACTGCCAACCACCCGTGAATAAGTAGGGCTCCCCTTGTGGTAGAGCATTGCTACTATCTATTCACTTAACAATGGCTTCTCATTTTCAAATTCAGAAACCATATGTGTTAACCACGTTACCTCGACCTCTTGATCCTGCGACTGGTCGCTATGTTGTTAGTGAAGTTTACGGGTCTGCGCCTGGGTCGAGGAAGAGAAAGCGCCATGAATTAGCAGTAGGAATTGATGGAGAAGCTGTAAATATTTATAATGTAAGAATATGGCCAACTTCATACCTCATCCAAAGCCAACAGCTGCTCACCTACCATAGGTTTCTTCCACCAGACTCATAACTTCATACCCCGTTCCGCCGCAATCCTCCTTCTCATGCCCTATATTCTCGATTCGGCGCAAGGCGAAAGAAACCCAAGAGACCTCGAGACACACCTACGCGGCGACGAAGGAATCCAATGAATATAAAATTACCCTATTCAAAGACTATGTGGATGATTCTGGCAACACGCAATCTACCACCAAGTCAATATCCTTAGGGTTAGGTCAGTCGGTTGTATGCGCTACTCTAATCACCGCGCCTGCTGGTCAAAGCCTATCCAATGGCCAAACATCGATCGAAGAGCTTCTCGTTGTGCGCGAGAACGGTGACATTATTTGTCTCGATGCCGAGAATTTGAAGAGAAAATGGACATCGTCTTCTGCAGGCTTGCGACAGGATCTCCCTGGAGCTGCTAAAGCCAGTTTCAGAATCGACTTCTGTTATCCTGTACTATTGTCGGATGTTGTTCAGGGCATTTTCAAAGGCAGCGATGATTCTTTGGGGCTTTTCCCCGAAATCAAGCAAAATGTGAATACTGATGCCGAGGCTCTGGTGCTCATTTCAAGTTATAGTGCCGATGGAAGCCAGAATCGACATCTTCATATTGTAGCATCGCTACCACAATCACCCAGTTTGTCGAGCACTCACCGGCAAAGCATCGTCCAGCTTCACTCTGTACCGATTCCATCGTCTGGGGAAGCAAATCACAATGCCACAGCTTCTTATCGTCTTGATGTTAGAAGTGGAAGTTTACTGGAGCTACGAGGCCAGCTATTCAATATATATGACCTAACTACGAGCCTCCCAAAAATCACATCTTCGATGGAGCTAGATGGAACAACGTCTTTCCTACGTCTCAGCAAAACATCACTTCTATGTTCTACGTCTACTCATCTCAACATTTACAATCCAATCTATCGATCGCTTCAGAACTCCGTACCTGTCGAGCTCGATGGCCAAGCTGACTCTAACACTGGAGCCAACGCAACAAATTGCCTTCTTGCCGCTTATTTTTCCCGCTTAGAAGTCGCTGTTGCGATTGTCGATGCGAACCTAGTTGCTATCCAACTCGAAGCTCCCATCCTGCGGACCAAAAAGCGACGCGCCGAGGGCCTCCTAATTGACTCCATTGGACGTGGTGTACAACCTGCCAAAAGAGTCTCAGCTCCAAGTTCCAACAAAGACCCAGAAAGCTCCGTATTTTCCAATTATCTTCCAGGCTCCATCCGAGGCGATTATTGGCAATCATGGACTGCAGACGAAGCCAAAGCCAATGCTCTTCTCGATGCAAATGATATGCACGGATTGGAGACGCTGCTGGCTCAGAAGTTCGGCATCCAGGTTCAAGTTACTGCTCAGGCAACTAACGGTGCAGATGGCGAAGAACCAGATCCGCCCAAAGTCAATTCTACCTGGAAGTGGCCAAAATCTAGAGCAGGGTACCCTCCAGCCGACAGAAGGTGGATTCTATACTCTATTGGTCGAGCCTTTCAATGGAACAATGTGTTCCCAGATGATCCTACCATACCTCGACTTATTTGCCAACTGCCGCAGAGCGATATTGTTAACTATCTGGTCGACGCTGGTCACTTGACTCTGTCTAACGTGAAATCTGCTTTCCGAGGGCAACTAAAAGAGACTGAAAAGACGGAATCATTTCTTTCGGAACAAATTGTACTTCAACTTGCTGATATCGATCCTTCTCTGGAACTTCTTGTTGCTTATATTTCTGCGACCAACCTTGGAACGATAGAACTGCTCATTGCCGTGAGGACTATTATGAGAAGTCTAGAATTGGTTCAGGATCCCAAAAAACCACCTCCCAAATTATTAACCAATGGCTCCACTGAAGAATTGGCTGTTGATGGAGAAGCAGAAGCTGAATTGCAAAACATCGGTATGGAACTAGATGACCTCGAAGATGAGATTCAAAAGACCGTGTCTTATTTAAATGAAGACGCGGGTATTCGCGGGAGTGGATTGAGTGTGGCTTTTGCCAAACTCGGCAATTGCCCTAGCATTTCAATGATTAAATCACTACGAGCTACGTTTAAGCCAGAAGAGATTTTGTCGCTAATCTACCTTCTTCGCGTCGAGCTAGTCAGGGGAGCATGGACGTCCCGCTACCTAGATCTAACCGATTTCGAGAAAGATTCCGCGCTCGATGCCCCTCCTGATGGCATCATCAAGCTTCTTGCAGATCTACTAGGACGCTGCGTGGACTCTATTGGTCCCGGCGGCTGGCTTCTTAATGATGCCGTACTAGCTGGTGATGAGACAGGAGATTTCGTCGCTTCGCTTAAGCTGGAAGTCAGTGCAGCTTTGGAAGGGTTGGAAGACGCCGTTTATCTTCGTAACATTGTCGGCGAGGCAGTGAAATACTGCGAGTCGTTCAAAAAGAATACGGCCGAAAGTATGGTGGACAAGATGAAGCCCATCCCATTGCAAGTGAAGGAGCCTGGTGCTCAGGCATTACCTCTTGGACTCAAGGCGAAGGATCACATATCGGCTCAAAAAATAGTGTCGGGTGGTGAGATCGTGGACAGATCACAGAGAGAAACTGGTCACCTTAAAAGCCAGCAGATAGGCCACTATTCATTAGAGAGGATCGCGATATAAGACGTCTCCAAAGAGCCGCTATTAGAAGCCTAGCAAATTTATGTAATTACAGTCGATACATCGTGAGTCGAGAAAGAAGGACAATTTTGGAATTCGCCTGTTGCCTTTCGTCGCATATCAGAGGCATTGGCAAGTTTAGGACTAATTGGTTTCATCATCACTTATTTCCGGCACGTAACTTATCACTTAGACCATACAGCCACCAATGTCATGAAACCAATCTAGCGAGTTACGTGCGATGCGCTGAGACTCAATAATACACCGAGCTCAGGTTCTCAACGATAATTGCAACTAGATGCGGGCGTATGTCTGCATCCGTTGTTGAGAGTTAGGTCATGTTTTAAAACCGAACCAGTTGCCCTGGTCATACGGACTCGTGCGTCGAGGTGATTGTTATTAGACATTTGTGTTACTCAAGTTACAACCTCGAGTATGATTTTTAAGACTGTTCGCTCAGCCGCATATGTCTTACCCGTCTAATCGCTCGGTTCGGCTCTTACTCAGGTTTTCGGAGCGGAATTAGTTTGCACTCTTCTATCTCATTCGCATGTTTCGGGATGGTCTGATGTATGTCCTATCAAACAAAGCTGGTTGTGATCTAGCGACACCAGCGCATCTACCCGCAAGCTGACAAGTAGGGAGCCGCGTTTCCACGACATTCATTATCTTATGCGGCTGAATGCTTGGGCGTATGTCCTATATCCTCCTTTTCCTTCCTTTCTCGTTGTTTTGCTCTATCATTTCTACCCGAAGGAATGATTTTATTAACCTAGGTACACATCAAACATACAGGCGAATACGATATTGGCCAAGCCACTACCAGATTTGGACTGGTTGCGAAGGAGCCAGTGAACTACCAGCCTTAGATTCTCGGGCTTCATTGGTATCCATCCTGCCATCTTAGCTAGAGCCAGTCGAAAACGCCACATGCAGGACTAAAGCACAGCATCGGTCAATTCATTCAGCATGGTGAGTCTTCTAGGGCGGAGAAACAAATGGTAGTTAATTCGAAACAACTCGCACCACTATAGCCGGGCAACGGACACCTCAGCAATATGTATGGGCCTCACCGATGTTTGATATACTACGTTTCTCTAAAGGAACATTGTGCGCGATTGACACGGCGAGACACCGTCTTCGGTACTGTCTGCATACGATCGGATGCCAAGTGATAAGGGTACTGTAGATCATACTGAGAGCCTCGCCTCATTCCTATCCCAGTTTGCCTCGTTTTCGCCGCTATGCTACAAGTGCTTAGGTAGGGCTGAGAGGTATTCCAGGTTTGGCTATATTGCGAGGTGCAAATTTGGGTACTAACTAATCTTTGACAGAAGAAGAAAGTCATTGGAAAATAAAATGACCATGATGCGAAGTCCTCAGCGCTAGTCATTGGTGAATAGAAAAGTGAAGATTTTGTTGTCACCAGCAAAATGCATTTCTTTTTGGCCCCATACAGTTCGCAAATCGAAAATGGCCAATCAAGACTGCAGTTTAACACCAGAGGCACCTCCTAAACATAAGTGAAGGGCCTGAAGGATATGGTGAAAACGTACTCAGCCAGTACCTAATACCTGGGTAGACCTGTTGTATAACACCACCACAGCATTCGCCCAAAATACCCCCTTCCTCATTTCAGGCGTCTCGGGCGCATACACCCATTGTCACAAATAAGCGACACTTTTACCTAGCCCCCTCAAGACGTATCTGTTCAGATAATTTAGGCGAAGACTAGGCTACATACTTACATACGGACGCAGGGACTGGACCCCGCAGGCGAAGAATGAGAATGGGAATGCCATTTGCTAACAGAATATGGAGAAGAAGCCCTATCGAAGAAAATCCCATGCAGTCATGCACACCTTTTTACTGGGGACTGGATATGCATGTCAGAATATGAATAAGTGGGCGCAGCGAACCTCGTAGAAACCAAGGAGTCAAACATCCAGACATCTTGCATCAGCAGACCAGTTGAGGCGACAACACGATAATAGATGGCCCATTTGCCGTCCATCCGTCTTTCCCATCCATAACCGTGTCCGGCCGCAACGGTCTTGGGGTGTAGGTACTTGGTGGAGCCTTGAAAAGAATCAAAAGCATCGCCCTGGGTCATAATCCCGGCTCACAAAGCTTTACTGTATCTAGGGCTACTACTGGGGACTAGGGATTAGGGACAAGGGACTGGGAAGAACCCTTGGAACGCCTCCGACCAGGATGACGAGGAACATCATAGACTATGATTGGTTAGCCCTGCCACCATCTGATCCATATAATGAATTATGATGAAATGTTTGGCCAATTTGGATCGAACACTACGTCACAACCTAATCGGCCACCTTCGTCGTCTCTTTTTTTCGGTACCTTAATCATCTCCGGGGAACTTCGTTGTAGGCCATCACCGGCTTGTACCTGGATCATCTTACCAGCTTACCATGCTCAATATTGAGATAAGCAGGGCGTTTCCTCGACTCCTTCTAGGCAATCTCCTGTTCATCAAATGTAACTTGAAAAAAAAAAAAAATATAGTGCACAGATATGACTGTTCGATAGTTTATGTAACCTTAGGCACTCATAAGCGTAGTCAGATACATAGGTAGGTACAGTAACGGTAGTACAATACTAATCACGGCCTATCTAGGGTTTTATTATTATTATTATTATCATTTTTGGTCGTCGATGACGATAATACGTAGCAATCATCTGAAGCCTGAAATAGCAAACTCGGACCAGGTACAATATCCAGCCATAGATATCTCAAACACAGACTTTTACTTCTATGTAATGTTAGACAGCATAGGTCTATATCTGGTATTTCTTGTTTTCTAGCTGTTTATCCGTCTACTTTTCTGCCTGGTAGCACCAACAAACACCAAACACATATACAGATACAATCCTCGACTTACATACACATACGAGCCTCCTCGGCTTCAAAATCCTGAACTAGTTCAAAACCGAATAGCCAAGCTTGATCCCGAGAGACCCCTGTATTTCTATAAACACTAGCTTAGCCTAGGTACTTACATAGGCGAACCGCGCCATCATCAGCAGCGATACATCCCACCTCACTTTACTCATTCCCTGCTTTTCTTCCCCAAATATTTCCCCCACGTAACTTACTACGAACGCACATCATCTTGTTTTCCGAGACATGCACATGTAGGGCATAACTAGCAACCCTACCTGAATACCTAAGTCAGTTTACGACAGCCCAAGTTCCAGAACAGCGTCGAAGAGCAGCGACAAGGTCGAAATTCGAGCCAAGGGGGCTCCGATCCCACTTTCATACAGTCTAGGTTCTACCTACCAGGCGTGCACGATTTACAATGGCAGCCAACTACCCCAACAATAACGTACCACCAGTCTCTGGTGCCGCCGTTGCCCCCGCCCGTGTTTGGCCCGCCGATATCGAACAAGTTGATGCATTTGCGCGGAAGCTATACAAACGGGCACGAACGGCAGGCTCCGAGCTTGACGAAGTTGCGACGGCAGTGCGGAGTCTGCATACAGTATTGAAGCACCTAAAATTCGAAGCGGAAGACCCCGAATCGCTGTTGGGCGCGGATGATGGGAGCGGATCCGTATATGCACGACAATTAACTCCTATCCTCGAAGACTCCGAGTTCGCGCTCAAGCAGCTAGATACTATATTGGAAAAGTACAGTGGCGAAAGTGGAGCTGGGACGCAGATGGACGGTGAGAAAGGTTGGACATTGTTGGAGAGTCGGGAGCGAGAAATGGTCGATTTGATACGGTCGAAATTGGTAAACCAGAAGCTCAATATTGACATATTCCTCGACACAATTCAGCTGCATAATCCTTCTAAATCGCGCCGGATAGTCGACACGAACAGTGCCGACCTCGAATCCATCAAGGACAAAGTGGATGCTATCGCGTCGCGCATATGCCAACGGAAAAGTTCCAATTTGGCGGATGGGAATAACGACGAAGAAGAACGGTGGAAGAATTTTAGGGACGAATTGGAAAAGGCTGGATTCTCCCGCGAGGTGGTGCGTAAGAATCAGGTTAGTTCTACCCAAGTTCAGGTTCGAGCCCAACTCTCCCCCCCTTTTCGAATATTTTTTTCATTTTCCTAATTTCCTACTTGCTCCAATTCAATCTAATTCGACCTATTATCATGGTGTTGACATGTGATCTGCATTAGGACGTCATACGAGCATACATCCGCCAGTTAGACGAACAACTCAGCGCCTATGGCGGCAGCACACCTTCAGTGCGGGGGCTACTCGAGCATTATCGCCCTCGCCGCGATGATGGGCTTCAGATTACTCCGTACCCAACCTACCCAACTGATCCTGCAGTCGGTGAATTAAGCCCAGAGGAGCTGCAGTCCGAAATTGATGAGGAGAAGTTGTTTCCGTCGATGAGGATGAGGCGGCTTGAGGAAGAAGACGAAGAAGATAATAATCATCAAACAGCCGTAGCACAACCACCACCACCACCATTGTCAAATTCATCACAGCCGCTCAGTATGCCGGATCATCCATCAAATCTTTCTTATGACCGTCGTCTATCAAACGGCGGCGCTGACGATGCATCCATGGCACTGATGTCGACGAGGGAGCTTATGGCTCTAGACAAACGCTCCGCCGAGTTAGCTGTGACGGCAGGAAATAAAATGCACCCTCAGCCACCACCAGCTGAATTATTACCGGGTCCCAATTACCACACATCTAATTCCCCCACGCCTCACTCTTTACCCCCATCAGCCTCGCATCCCGCGCTCCCCTCTTCATCGTTACCAGCAATTGGCGTCAACAACGCCACCTCAGGCGAACAATCTTCTGCTCACCCACGTTATGTCCCACCTCTACCTTTACCTCGCAATCACAGTCCGCCTGTAGTGAATCCGGCGTCTTCATCGGCTCCTGTTATAAGTCAGCAACGGGAACAATCACTCGCCTTAGTGCAGCAACAGCAATCGAGGTGTGCACGCCTAGCGCCCGACAGTAAAGGCCGCGATATCCCACTTGAGGCTAAGTGGACTCGGATTCCGCGACATCTCGTCTCACCCGAGGCCCTTGCTGGCGCTGGTGTACGATATGAAGCACGACCGGATTTCGTCGCAGTATTGGGTGAGCTATCGCGTAACGAGGTAGCTAAGCTTGCTCAAAAGACTGCTGAGGTTAGGAATGCGAGACGTCGACGGAGTAGTACCGTTCCAAACAGTGCCGGTGGTGTCGGCACTGCGGCTGTACCAAATGGGAATGCGAATGGTGTGAGGAAAGATAGGAGAGCCGAGGATAAGTATTATCCTGATAAATACCGCAACTGGAATGTGATTGAAGAGGAAGAACGTCGGAGGCAACGACCCAAGGCTAGCGGTAGGAATCATCGTTACTCTGATGACGATGATTCCTCTTCCGATGATAGTCGTGGCGTGACTTATGTGGTTAACAACAATCGTCAACGACGCAGGGCGAGTACCGCTAGTTCCGCAAGTCACCTTTACGATTCGAGCGACGATAGCAGAACATCGGATGCTGAAACCGATACCGACCGAGATTTAGATGCATCTTCGTCATACTCACAGTCTTACCCACGATCCGGTTCACACCTAGATGATTACCACAAATCCCGATCGCATTCTCTCCGCCGCAGCTCCACCACACCTACCACATCATCTAAGCGCGACGACAAAGCGTACGCAAGAGTTAGGAGTAGGAACGACAGCGACGCTACAGATGGGGCTAATGGTCACGAGAAAGATAGCAGCAACGAGAAAGGTACCAAGACATACCCATTTATCGTGCCGGCGCCCGCTGCGAGCGAGAAGGACAAAGACAAAGATGGCGCCAGCACTAGCCCCGCAGCCACCATAAAACCGAAGCCCATCCTCAAGAACAAGAAAGACGATCCTCACGTCCGCATCGACCCTACCCCACAGATCATCGACGAGAGCTCAAGCTCGCTGCCTCGAACTTTACCTTCATATCGACGGAGCGAACGTGAACGAGAGCGTCGAGACAGGGAAAAGGATAAGGACCGAGAACGAGATCGGGACAGGGAACGGAATAGAGATAAGGATAGGGACAGAGAGAAGGATCGCGATCGTGATCGGGATCGGGAGAAGAGATACCGCTCAGACCGTTACCAAGACAAAGAACGAGACCGGGATAGAGAGCGTCACCCCGACCGCGAACGCGACCGAGATAGGGAACGAAGCGATCGATACCGAGGTGACAAATACTACTCTCACCGCGACTCCCATCGCGACCGTGATCGCGACCGCAGTGAAGACGGCGTCAGAGAAACGGAGTATCCGCACCGACACCGTCATCGGAGCCACAGCCACAGCCGACGATACCATGGTAACGGCGGTGGAAGCTCATCAAACACCGGTGCAAGACGATCGGATCGAGACCGCGAGTATTACGATGACCACTACATCAACAGCAATAATAGTCGGGTAAGGGACGATCGCACGTCAAGGAGAAAGGCTCAACATGAGACCATCCGGGCTGTTGGTCTTGGTGGGGCTGCAGCTGCTATGTTGAGTATGTTGAGTGAGGCGGCACTATAGGGTGAGGGATGTCTACTTAGGTATGGCTGGAAATGTAGTCGGTCGGCGTGAAGGCTGAAGGAGGGAGTAACTTAAGTACAATGATACCGACATAACTCTTAATTTCTACCTAAGCGATGCTCCTCAAATAACGAAGGACAAGCTACTGTAGCAGAAAAGGAAAGGTATAGGAAAATAAAAGGTGGCAGGAAAGAAGCAGCACATTGGATAAATGAATTGGACGGAACTACAAAGGCTCACTACAACAGTGAACAAACATCTCACATGTACTCAGGAGGCAAGCTGGCCTGCTGAATCTTAGGAGTACAGTGCCACTATTACGTCTTCTGTTCATTTTCGAGGGGCTTGAGCGTCGAGTCTGTTACCTTTCATTGTAGTTTGACGAGTGTCAGATTAATGGTAGAACAAGGGAGTTTGCAGAGCTGGACGAAGCAAAGTAGCGATCACGATTATGACTTAGCCACGAGATTAGCGATACCCTGTAATTTTAGCGAATACATTCTTGTAGGATAGGAAGTGAAATAACACAAGGATTATTTCCATTGCGTTGACCCGTCCTTGAATCTATGCTTCTAATAGAACATACTATTCTACTTCACTCTGTCAAGCTAGACCTTCATATACTGGGCATCCTATTTATATTCTGACATATTTAATTAATATTCAACACTGGGTTTGGTACCTTGATGCAATTCCCCCAAGTCGTATGTATCTAACCTTTCCTTTTGCCTAGTTTTATCCCTATAATTTAACTCATGTTGACTCCGTAGGGGAATGCATAATATCATTATCGTCGCCTCATGACCCTCTTTGTGGAAGCCTTCTGCGTAGTACCATTCGGCGCCAAGTCATCCTTGAGATTTGTCGAATTGGCTTTTTCCTGACTTTGCCTATGACCCTTTAAATCATCTTTCTTGCTATCGGCCATCATACGATCCACAACCGCAGCACGATGCTTCTTGGCCTCGGAGTTATCATACTCCAATTGTGTAGCTCGAGGAGGACTATCGCCATTCGCCATTATTTGGTCACCATCGCCATGTTCCGTCATCATCTCATCTAGAAGCCCTAGACCGCTAGTATGAGTTTTGACAGAGTCCAAGCGAGAAGCCATGGACTCGGTCCTCCTAGGATTAGACTTAGAACTACTCATATGTGTCTGCGATTCCGCACTCGCGCTTGACGCTGTCGAAACATTACTAGCTGCGCGACCGAGAATTTCGCGCCTCCGACGTTGTTGACGTGATACAGATTGAGGCTTCATACCATCACCGTCCTGAGCTGCTTCGTCGCGAGACATGAGAGAATTCAATCGCCTCGACATCTCCTGGCGTTCAGCTGCCTTGGTGCGTTCAGCTTGTAGTCTTTGTTCCTTTTCATCGTCATTAGCACTGTTAATTTGTTTGTCAATTCGGCCAGGAGTATCCGAATCATCGCCACTTTCGGAATCCCCTATTTCGCCCCCTGTCGGGAAACGCTTTAATTTCCTTGGCGCTGAATCTGGCTTTTGTGGTGATGGTGATTTATTTAATGCGTTAGGGGTCTTTTCTGAGAGAGGTGCTGAAGCGGTCGTAGATTCGATATTCGTGTCTTTTGCTTGAACAGTAGGGGCGGTCTCGTAGTTGGATTCGCTAGTTTCCTGTTCTTGGACGGTGGTTCCATTTTGCACTGGTAAATCGTCATCAAATGCAGTCGTATCGATACCATGCTTCATAGCCGATGTTGTAGAATCTGGGTTGGGTTCCTTTCTTGGCACAGGTTCCGACTTTGACCTTGCAATTTTATCTTTCTTGCTTTGGCGGATCCCGCGGTTCGCGACATCATTTTGGGGGATTTCTTTGAAGAGGAACTTGTCCCATGGTGCGAAACAGCCTGTCGTAATGCACTGCCAAAGCCAGTCTGCTTCAACCACCGGGACGTTGGATGACACGGAAAAATTCAATTTTTGTTTCCTTACGTTTGCGAGAGAAGGGCAAACTAATAAGGAGCATTGCGAATTGAGCCGTTCTGAATATCTTGCGCCAAGTTGGATCACTGCCTTTTGTACTTGATTTAATTGCTCGTTCATAAACCCGGCTGTGCATATTAACAATTCAGCAAACCCGTCAATAGGGAATTGTGGAAATGGCTGGCCAAGCACGTGTTCATTCGGATTGAAAAGTGTCTTATTATGGACACATCGTTCGATATAGAATTCGGTAACAATATGCATTCCTTCAGGGAGTTCCGGATGTGAGTCGGGCTGCGATGATTGCGGGACAATTAGATAACGTCGGTCTAACGGTTCGTGGTGAGTAGATGAGGCAGCGTCTTCGATCGACTGTGAAATATGTCCTTCATGGGATGAAATATGATGCTGTACAATTTCTTGTTTCTTTTTCGGGAAACCGTGCACATAAAAGCGACAAGAGGAGAAAACGCCGTGGTCAGCTTGGATTTGATCGCTTGGTTGTGGGAGTTGTTGGTTCTCGATGGTGGACGTATTCGGGTTGTCGGTGGGAGGCACGCTATTGGGTCGTACATCGGAGGCGGTAAGGGTGGTAATGGTGGTAGCTGGCTTGGATAGATCGGTAGATGATTGATTGACGAGGATATCACCCCAAAGATTGTCTCTTCGGTTTGTGAGTTTCATGCTTGCTGTTTTCCTCAACTTCCTCCTACCGTCATCAGCTGGGGGAGCTGATGTCCCATCGCGCAGACGTTTACCCAGCGAACCCCCTCGCCTGATATCTCTTCTTATCCAAGCTCCTTTTCCTCGTTCTGCTGCGGGTAGAGTCGGATCGTAACATTCCTCGTGGAGAATCATACCTCGTTCGAGGCTGTCGTGTAACCATTCGATAGAGACGGTCCTTATCCCCCACTTACGTGCGGCTACATATTTCTTCCCTTCGGGTTTGCATACGATGAGGTGAGTGACGCGCCTGGAGAGATCGCCGATATATTCGCCGCCGTTCGATTTAACCTTGCTTTCGATCATGGTACGAGTTTCATCTTCGCTTGTTAGCCTCTCCAGTTAAAACCACATTGGTTAAACAGATGACCTACTATCCTCAAAGCCAGTCAAGCAACATGTTAGCCTTGTCCTCTCCCGTTGTGCTTCGTCGGAACTCTTAGGGTTGCCGCCTCCTGTCTCAAATGTTTTTAATCTCCAAGTTTCTTCCAAAGCAGCAAAGTCGAATTCTACGTCTTCTCGCCATAATTCACTTATAGCATCAACCCATCCTGCGGCCATGGGCTTAATATCGGGTCTTTCTCTCGCGACATGGCGATACTTGGCAGTGTCGTAGTCTCCAACAATTAAATGGGTGACGTCGGGGGTAAGATCGTACTTGTGAATTCCGCCTAGGTCGACAGTTCGTTGGGCAATTTCCGTCTAAACAAGAAAATAGTAATAATTAGTAAATGTATTTTCATTCGAGGTCTTGTAGTTGTTAAGTGTAATTAAATAAAAAAAAAAAAAAAAAAAGCCGACTTACACGTAAATCTGCTTCGATATTTGTACAGCAAAGTACTAGACCATCGAAAGGTTTAGATGGGTCAAAGGGCCTTCCTGGCGCTGGGGAAGATTCCATTGTGTTCGTATTCAATTAAAGCAAGGCATTGTAGCAACGAGTATTATGTTGTTGTTTTTGTTAGGAGTGCAGGATCACATGGAAATGCGATATCGTTCGATGATAAGCTTAACCTTGGAAAGTTAATCTAGTAATTGTTAGGCGCGTCAAGTAGCTAAGAAAACGTGTAGGCGGAGTCGCGTCAAACGGTCCCTGAAAGGTTGTATAGTGGAAAACTGCGGGGCACCAATCGCGTGTCGGCTCCAACATGACGTACTTATGCATACCACTGCTTTGAACAATCCCCCGCATCAATGATGCATCTACAGTGATCGTATACATATAAGCAAGTAAGTGCACATATACATTGATGAGCACTTCAACAATGTTACATACCAACTGCTCAAACTTGTTTCTCAACGTCATAAAAAACACACCACACTCCTACTTAATCCTATTTTACATCTCAATTGGCTACATTCACCCACCCATGAGGTATGGGAGAGCGTACAATGAAAAATGGTTGTCGAATTGAGAGTGGAACGACTATGGTCGCAGAACAATTTCGACTTTGTTCGGCTTCCGCAACTTAACAACTCCGGGGCTTCTCTACGGCTTACCGTAAGCGGGTAAAGCACCTAAACTAACTGTCATCGTTGGACAACCTTAGTTGATATTCAGTGGATCTCGATTGTATGCCCTTACTCCCCAACCTTCTACACATACACCACTGAGCAGCCCATACACTATTTGCATCTTCCGAGCTTAGCGACCTTCTAATCGGATATCTGAACCATTTACCTGTGCTGTTCGTATCGTAGTTGATCTTCACACATACCATGCTTATGTACCTCGCACAACATACCGAAAATGTCGTGGTACATAATGATATTCCCATTTGTTCCAATCAAACGAACCACATATCTGATCCGGCTAACGTTGTTCACGATAGATATGAGCAACCGCTAAGGTACTTCCGAAAGCTTATCTGAACCGTCACAGGGCGTCTTTAGCTAGCTACCCTTGCATGTAGCTAGTTAGGTCCCTGGTTTGTTCCTCAACCCTGGCATTGAATCTTCTACAACGACTCTAGGGCGTTTTACAATATCGAACCATACGCGTTAATTATCTTGCAAACCTGGATTTTCTGGTTGCCATTAACCAATGATCTGGTTCTGTGTTAGCTGATCCAAATTCGTGCTTCCCACCATCAAAGCCTGGCGGAAACCAAGCGTTAGCTCGCCTCCTACATCATCTTGTGGAGATTCCCCAGTAGCTATATACCCACCTCCTCATAACCAAGTTTCTAGGTAAAATGCCCACAGGTTCGCCTACCTTGGTTGTGAACCTCTCCTTTTCATAGCGTTCTCGACAATTGATCATTGAAGTCGAGGAAATTACTTCGGTATCTTCGTTGCCTTTCTCTATTACAACTCACAATGCCCCGTTATACATCTCCCTCTGTATCTCCAACTTCGCGTGCCCGCTCACCCTCCCCAACTCGCTCCCGCCGTAGGAGTCTCTCTACACATTCAAAACCTTTTCCCCTACGCGCGTCTTCGCCAGCTCATTCCGACAGCGGTAAGGACGTACTCAAAACCTCGTTGGTCTTCCTTGGCGTTGTTGGAGCCGCTTCGTTAGCGGCTTCCAAATATTGGCCAAAGGGTATCCTATATGGAGAGAAGGAATCATGGGCGCAAGAAGCCAAGGAAGAGGTCAAACATGTTATGCACGGAGATAAACATAGAGATAGGGAGAGTCGAGGAAGGCCTCGGAGTGCTGGACATGGGGATCGAGAGATGCGACACCGACGGCAACCCCGGGTTGAGATAAGAGATGAAGTAATAGTAAGGAGGCCCGACGGTCGAAGCATGTACTTGGACACTGGTTGGACCGAACAGCCCTATGACGGCCGGCGCGAGCGTGACAGACGCCGTATAGTCGACACCCGCGACAGCAGAAGGTCGAGTGACGAACCATATTACCGACGAGAGCATAGGGGCTTGTCGCAGTTTGATTAATGGCGCTATTCCGTTTCCTTTGGTTTCTTTTGTTGGATTCTTCCGATAGCGGGGTTATCAACTCTGTTGTTGCGCGAAGAGATCGCATGTAACTGCTACGGCAATTATCGTATACATACACACAAGTAGCCTCTTTATCCTTGTAGCGGCGATAAGGGGTCCTCCCGATACTTCCCAAGATGTATCGCTTCGTACGTGACACACCACATTGTGCTCCCAAAGGGGGAGGGCGGCGGCGACGACTCACTTTCCATAGATTAATAAATAACTTAAAAAACCCCAAATCAATTCCAAGCCTTAATATATCTAATCTACCTAGTTACGCCGCCCAGAAATACATTTAAACCCACAATACGAAGACATATGACCTCTCACACTCCCGTTCTCGCTATTAGGCACTTCCTACATTATAATTGGCACTCGATTGTAAAACACTTAGTAGTTGAGGGAAAGACATTTACATATATATATTGACTGTGTATTTGAGATTGCTGTAAAATTGGGAACGGTTTGCGAATTAATAGAGAAGGGTCCACGTCTTAGTAGGTAATGAAGGTGATGGCTTAGTTGCGAAACTAGTCCCAAGTCGAGCCATAGAAGATGGTGATACTCTACCCATCTTTTCTCTGTGTACTAAAGCCATATAGAATTTCATGGAGTCTTGATATCTTTAGTATCGTGACCATTTCCCAAGCCTAGCAGCCTAGACACTGGAAAATTAAATGGTAATCTTTATCCCATGAGCGCAGCTTTATTAAACCGCCTCCGTTGCATAAACTTTGCAGTTTGTTCCCTTCCAATCCGTACAGCCTAAGAGTAGACCGATAGTAAATTCGCGTAAAACATCAAAAACCCATTCAACAATTTGTGAGATAATTCGTCCGGAATCACGACATGCGGCTAAAAGTTCTGTTCTGGTTCGGTATCGACACAACCTTCTATCGAAACCGACGACGAGTAATGTGAACAACTCGAATAGCAAAGGCATGCAGATAAATCGGCTCTCGTTTTTTATCCACGATATCTGTAATATCGAGAGAGTTAAGAAGGTAATAAAAATGTATAGTAGAAGTTTCCTGTACATATAGTAAGCGATCACACGTCTAAACCACCTCAGGTAAGGTACGTTTGATTATCTGGGTTAGAAGCTCAAAAACTATCAGGCGTTGGATAGGACCGTATATTGACCCACCCCATGTTACAATTTTCAAAAGCCAGATGAATTACATGTAGCCCTAGCCAAGCTAGATAACTAGTATATATTAGTAATCGTAAGAGGGATGATTCTAATGAAAGAACTGACCTGCCATTTGTCCACAGGTCTCCGGACTCTATTGTAAAGAGAAGATTCCGAATAGGAATATACATAGCCGTAAAAAATAAATAAATTTAAAAAATACATAATATAAGTAGTGTGACGAACCTATATCCTGGTGGGGTATAGCCGTTGCTCGATTGGCTAATCCGGGGTGTCTTGATTTGAAGGTAACAATATCAGTAATAGGTCAAATGGTTAAGTAAGTCCTGTTCGTCAGAGAGGCTTGGAGTCCTCTCACTATATCTGTCGGTCCCTGAGAGAATAGTCTTAGATTGATAACTGAAGAGCTATGAAAGAGTGACTAGATACATAGGAAATGCTTGTGGTTATATAATTATTCCTCCTTCCTCTCTTCCTAGTATCTGAGGTTGTCGTAATCTGATTAATGTAACTGATCTATCCATACGATTAGATCAATTAGATCACTTAGATCATGTGTATGCCGTGGTTTAGCCGTGATTGGTTCGTGGCGCTCCACTTCCTTTAGGTCCTCAAGATGGTCGCTTGTTGGTTTGTGACAAATAGGTAGAGTTTTTACAAATGTAAAAAGATAACATTTTTTTTTTAAAAAAACATTAATATATATATAATATAATAATATCTACTTAGGTACTTGTATTTCAAAAGGGGTACACAGGCCTAAGTATCCCCCAGATACACAAAGAGAGGTTTAAAAATAGCCGGAGCGCAGTACAAAGGGCAGTTTTTTAAGGGTTTAAATCATTCCCACATCGAATGTCCACCCCAAAAACCTTTCTGTTTCCTCTTTTATAACATGGGTAATGTCATTTGACAACGGGTGATGCGTGAGACATTGTAGGAAGAAGATAGTCGCTGAACATTTCATACAAACTGCCCTTTTGACGTCCTCGAATTTCGCAAATACCTAGGTATCTAAGGGACACAAGGGGAGAAACTATCATTCAAGAGGTTGCCTGAGACTTTTTATAATGATATGGGCATTCTATAGTTCTACCGTTGATCTCATAGCAAAGAGTGCGGTTGAAGATTGGGGTCTCACTCATATATGCATATCACCTGACTCCTGGCACGGCAATGCTTATACCATGTGAATATCAGCTAGAAGAGCGTGTGGAGATCTAGAATACATATATGGCCACATAGTCTTAATTGAGAGGGCTTGGGTGGTATAGCTCTCATGTGATGAGGGACCGCGGTCAGAAAGTTATGGCCAGTAAAACGTGTAGAGATACAGCCCAGAAAGACTATATGAATTGTCTACTACTACACGAACAATGAATTCATGCTCTATATAGGATTAGCAATGCTAACTCAACAACTATGTGGCTATCGCCTGTAATCACGTGACACCCCTGAAAGATACCTAGGTACGTGGGTACATACCTATTCAAGATACCCATGATCAGTGAGCCAGGATCCAATTCAATGGTCCTTATTTTACCTGCTGATTAATAGGATGTGATGATATTTAATGTATTGCAGATGGCATTGGTAGACCGAGACGAATTGACTCGCACAAATCCGTGGAAACAAGAGGTATGGTCTGCGATTTGAATGGTGGATGATGCTAAGGGGTGAGGATTTCGGTACACTACATGTATCTCACACAGTTGGTAAGTACATGTAAGACTCTGATTGATTACGATGAAACAGCTGTGACTGTGTGATGCCTTCAAATTAATGTCAATTTGTAACAAGGCCTTTTACTGTAACGTAGCTGAATAACTTGATGGGCACCAGGAACGGGGCACAGCGGTGTGGAGAAATAAACTTGAGCTTGTTCTTAGTGGCCGCTGCATCCATCAGCTACGGCTAGTGCATGCTCAATGACGCTAAGATCCACAATTTACCGGCTTCGTGTATCCATGTCAACGAGCGTCCTTCATCACCCATCGTCATTTCCAGAGGCCTGGCTTTGTAGATCAATATACCGGAACCTGGGGGTAGTTTGGGGGATACATAAAATAGAGATTCTTCCTCACCTGGAATAATATTATTTTTTTTACTATCCGTTTCCCCATCGGTGTTGCATAGCCTGACCACGATATAATGGTGTCGACATTCGTTAAAGAGCTAGTTCAGCTCGCTGCATTCGTTCTTCCCGTGCTCCAACCATGTTCTGCTTCATCGCTTTATTCCACATATAATTTTAATCCCTTAGAACATCTTGGCGGTGTAGCGCCCTACTTCGAGCCACAAGATCCGTCAGCATCACCAGCGACTCCTCAAGGTTGTACGGCGTCGCGAGCAGTATATTTATCTCGTCATGCCGCAATTTATGCCAATGACTACGATTATGAGGAATATATTGACCCTTTTGTGTCCAAGCTGGAAAACAACACGGCTATAGACTGGACCAAGATTCCAGCCTTAAGTTTCCTTGATGGTTGGACGGTTCCATTGACAGACGCCGAACAAGAGCTGTTGACTCGCGTTGGTAGATTAGAAGCCGCGCAACTCGGCGTTACACTCTCATTCCGATATCCCAATCTCAAGCTGCCATCCCGTATCTGGACCTCGTCTGCTGAAAGAACTGTAAAGTCAGCACAGTCATTCGCACGAGGTCTAGAGTTGGATGAGAATGGAATTAATGTAGTCAGTATTTACGAGTCGGAAGAAGCCGGCGCGAATAGTCTCACACCTTACAAGAGCTGCCCAGCTTATTCGTCATCATTCGGCAGTGATCAGTCCGCTGTTTATCTTGAAAAGTTCACCAAACCTATCACCGCGAGATTGAATGCATTAGCGCCTGGATTCAACTTCACGGCTAACGACGTTTATGGTATGATGGAGCTATGCGGCTACGAATCTGTAATCCGGGGTAGCTCTCCATTTTGTGACTTGGATTTGTTCACACCGGACGATTGGCTAGGGTGGGAATATACGGCCGATGTTATGTACCACTATAATGTGGGATATGGCAACCAGATCTCCGGCGTCGTGGGACTGCCTTGGTTCAACGCTTCAGCGAATATCTTATTGGGAGAGTCGACCGACCAACACGATGTGTTTGTTAGTTTTACCCATCGCGAACTGCCGCCTATGGTTTTTGTCGCCATGGGCTTATTCAACAATTCCGATTTTGGTGGAAGCGAAGCAGCTATCAATGATACCATGCCTTTGGATCGAATCAACTACCGACGCGCGTGGAAGAGTTCGCATGTGTTGCCGTTCCTAAGCAACCTCGCCATCGAAAGATTGAACTGTTCGGACAGTTATGGTTACGAGGATGGTGATTATTATCGAGTTCTTGTCAACAGTGCTCCTCAACCTTTGCCGAATTGTGCCGACGGGCCAGGTACAACTTGTTCGAGGGCTGGGTTTGAGCAGTATCTTCAGGAACGAGTAGATATGTTTCAAGGCTTCTCCGAAAGATGTGGTGTGGATTATAGCAACTCGACGGATACGTTATCGATTTATTCCGACACGGGAGTAGGAAATGGTACTGCTGTTGGAAAGAGATATGAAGCATTCAAGTCTCATTTAGACGTATAAGATAATGTTTATTCTGATATTTTAACCAATTTATATATAAGAAATAGAATATTGAATTGAGTTGAGTTGAGTTGAGTTAAATAAAATGTTGTATGAAATGGATTTAGTCTAGGTGTTTAGGGCATCATCGCTAGCGTGGCTACGGCACTAGTTAGGCGGCTTCATCCGCTAATTGAACCCCGCAATTACGTATGTTGGTTCTGGAAAAGGTTCCAAGGTTGTTACAGGCGTTAGCGTGGGGTAGTTGATTTCGTCGGTCGCATCCATTCGGAATTGAGAAAACTCAGAACTAACAACAATTTATTTCCCAAGGTCGCAATCGAGGCAGACTGCTGTCTACCTAGAGTAAGGCAGACAATATGTTCTTGCTAGGCTTCTACAGTCTTCTAGTATATAATTCTTCATTTATGCTCTTTATTCTATGATGAATTTTTGATTGTTTTGTAATAATCGTTTCCAATTTTACTTCCTGTCATCCCTTTTTAATCTTCGTTGTCCAATTCCCATACCTACCTAGGTATTCATGATGGCAGCAAAAACTTCTATCGACGAATTCAAGAACCTCTTAAACTCGAGCAATCGCATCTTAGCCCTTTGTGGTGCTGGTCTATCTGCTGCCTCGGGATTGCCTACCTTTCGCGGCGCGGGTGGCCTATGGCGTAATTATGATCCAACTTCCCTTGCGACCCCCAAAGCGTTCCAGAGAGATCCTGTTCTCGTCTGGTTTTTCTATGCCTGGCGTAGACACCTGGCTCTGAAGGCGAAACCAAACCGTGGACATTATGCTCTTGCGGAACTGGCCAAGAAAAAAGACAATTTCCTGTGTTTGACACAGAACGTTGACGGTGCGTTCCTAATATGAGATAAGGGTAAATATGTCTACGATACTAATAATATAAGGCCTCTCGCCTCGTGCTGGCCATCCTGAATCCAAGTTGAGACTTCTCCATGGGAGTCTCCTCGATAACAAATGCTTCAACGAGTGCGGTTATATCGACCGAAACAACCTAAGCGATCCCGTCTGCCCAGCTCTCGCTCCAGCTGCCGAAGACTACCCCTCCCATCAAACGCTTCCTTTGCTCGACCCGAACGTCCCAGTACCATCAGTCAAGACCGAAGATATACCTCACTGTCCCAATTGCAAAACGGGCCTACTTAGGCCAGGCGTGGTCTGGTTCACAGAGTCACTAGACGGGGAAATGCTTAGTGAAGTCAATGATTGGGTTGACCAAGAACGGATCGATATCATGCTAGTAGTTGGTACGGCAGCTTCTGTATATCCAGCTGCTGGATATACATTCAAAGCTCGAGACAAAGGTGCAATTGTCGTAGTAGTAAACCCCGACGCTGACTCGTCAAGAGGGCTTACTCCAAGGGATTTCTTTTTCCAAGGGGATGCCTCTGAGATTCTTCCGCAATTATTTGAGGGAGTCATTGGAAAGATGGATGAATATGGTAATATCCTATGAGAATATAGGTCACTTGCCATAATCCAAGCTCTACAAGGAAGCTAACCTAGGGTGACATTTACATAGCAGCTATAGGCGTGTTCCACATTAGATACGTGAGGGTTACAAGTAACTACTTTGTTCTAAGCGGATATATGTCTTTAGGTACATCCCAGGCTTCTATGTATATTTTCGACAAATGGGACGACACCGATGCTCTGCTAAAATTGCTCATTTATTGACAGACGAAATTAAGTTAGGAGCGTGCGCTACCTCTACGACGTTGAAACCGACGAATCATGAATTAAGAATAACTAACGAGGCACTTTTGAATTGTTATTAGCACACATACCATCCATCATTATAGAGATAAGGTTGTATACACCTGTCTTAGATTCATGCAAGATCTGATGGTTGCTAGGGTATCTGGATCATTCCAGGTGTGCCTAGTAATAAATACGAAGTAGAACCAGCATTCTTTCTCCAAAAAACGGGGTCTGGACCTCTCTGGCAACGCCCAGTTCCGGGCCTGTTTACCCTCAGTAAAAAACCCCTCAACACTAGCCCCTCCCAGAGAAGCACATTCCGAAAGGGACCTCGTATCATGCCTACCTGCGGAGAGCCCTACACCGGGGATGAGATCAGATCTCTCTTACCAACTAGCTTATCAAGTCATCACAGCCAGAGCGCATAACTCAAATACCACCCTCCTTCCGAATCGAGTCTAGGTGAGGTAGCAATCTAAGAGGATGGGCGGGAGATCACCCCGGACTTGGCAAGTCAACGCATCCCAAATGGCCAGGGCCTTTGATTACGGCTTAGCCGGTATGCTTGGGAGATACCTCGAGTCTCGGCTCCATGTAACGGTATGATCGGTTGGTCTAATATAGCACGCAATTGCAATATGTAAGGGGTCATCGTATACTTACTACTACTACGGTATTTATTTATTAATTTGCTCGTACCTCCCCCTCACGAGGCAGACAAAGGGGATTCGCTCGTTCTTCACCTTCATTTGGCGAGGGGGAAAGGAACAATTACCAAAGCGAAAAAAGGGACATCTGTGTAAGCTCGAGGGGGTTTTTCAACATGCGCTCTCTCATCCTCTTATTCGCCTCGGCCGCTACGGCCAAGGTGATGGATAGTCTTCCTCGTGTTCCTAAGGGTTGGACAGAAGTTCGTCAAGCTTCTCCCGATGACACTGTTACCTTGCGCGCCGCTCTTCCTCAACAACACGCGGCGGCATTGGAACAAGCAGTGATTGAAGTCTCTACACCTGGTCATCCGAACTACGGCTTGCATTTGTCGCGTGATCAAGTCCGTGCTTACACGGCCCCAACCGAGAAATCGGTTTCGTCTGTTGTCGATTGGCTGGCTAAGAGCGGCGTCAAGTCCTCGGTGAACAACGATTGGATCACTTTCACCACGAACGTTGAGACAGCAAACGATCTACTTGATGCTGATTTCGCTTGGTACCAATATGAGAAGGGCGGCAGTCCCAAACTGCGGACATTATCGTACAGTGTCCCCGATGAGCTCTCTACGAATATCGATTTGATCCAACCGACCACTCGTTTTGGTCAATTGGGCGCCAAGAGGTCGACCATCTTTGAGATGCAAGTTCTCGAACCTGAAGAGGAAGAAGCACTCAAGATAAATGCCGCGACTGATGCAGCTGACTGCAACCCTTCAAGGATCACGCCCGATTGCCTTAAGTCGCTTTACAACATCAAGTATACCGCATCACCCGAGGGAAACCTGGTTGCCTTCAGCTCCTACCTAGAGGAGTACGCTCGGTACTCGGACCTTCAGTCTTTTGAGACTCAGTATGTATCAAAGGCTGCGGGCCAGAATTTTACTGTCGAACTAGTTAATGGAGGGTTGGATGACCAGGGTAGCAGCGATGACAGCGGTATGTTGCGATTCATTCCTCTCAAGTTGTCAATTGGAAATAGTACTAAACATATGAATAGGCGAGGCGAATCTTGACGTGCAATATGTCCTAGCTGTCAGCAACCCCGTCCCAATCCTCGAGTATAGCACTGGCGGTCGCGGGTGAGTAAATGATCACCGTCGATATTTTATTTCTTCGAAATTGGCTAACCTAACAATTTTCAAGACCTCTCGAACCTACTCACGATGAACCTGGCCCCTCGTCAAACGAACCTTACTTGGAGTTCTTGACCTATCTACTCGACCAAGAAGATTCCGCTCTACCGCAGACACTCTCTACTTCCTATGGAGAGGAAGAGCAATCGGTACCGGCAGACTACGCACTGAAAGTCTGCAACTTATTCATGCAACTAGGCGCCCGTGGTGTTAGCGTTTTGTTTTCGTCGGGTGACTCTGGTCCCGGTGATTCTTGCATCAGGGAGTCTGACCAAGCACCTTACTTCCAACCCTCATTCCCCGCCGGTTGCCCATATGTTACTTCCGTCGGAGCTACTTACAACGTTGAGCCCGAGCAGGCCGTGAGTTTCTCTAGCGGTGGATTTAGTTCGCTTCACGCTCAACCTGCTTGGCAAGCAGATGCCGTCAGTGCGTACCTCGAGTCCATTGGCAGTACTTATTCGGCTTATTTCAACGCATCTAACCGAGGCTTCCCCGATGTCGCCGCGCAAGGAAGTCGTTTCATTGTTATCGACAAGGGCAGATCCTCTTTGCTGTCGGGAACTAGCGCTTCCAGTCCCGTCTTTGCGGGTGTTGTCGCTCTTCTGAACGCTGCTCGAAAGAGTCAGAGCCAACCTCCCCTAGGATTCCTTAACCCGTGGCTGTACAACAACAGTGCCGCATTGATCGACATAACATCAGGTTACGGCAGTGGCTGTTCGGGTAACTCCGCCTTTGGAAGTGGTGCGAGATGGAATGCTACTGCTGGGTGGGATCCTGTCACAGGTTTAGGAACACCTGACTTTGAAAAGCTACTCGCTGCTGCTGCTCCAGGAGTTGAGAACGCATAGAGGGCATAAACGATGTTGACAAACTAGGTATCAAACCTTAGGAGTTAATGGGATAATCCCGAAATCCATATAAATATATGAAAGATAATTGATTCAATTCGTCAAGCTTAGTAGTTACAAATAAACGAGCGGCATACAATATGTGTATGATTTATACATATGGTTTGGAGGAGTGGCTTAATCTCTCGGTCGCATTAGGTAAAGTAGGCCTGTTCCGTATTTCCGTATTCTTACCCTTCCCCTCTGCGCTCCTTCTCTATCGTTTACGTAGGGTGAGGCATGGCAGCTTATAAGTCGCAATCTGGCTTCAAAGCATACACCAGAAAGGATATCAAAGCGGAACTCACAAGAGCCTAACTCTACCCTCATCGCCTTCAACTTCATTCTCGTCGACATCGTTACCCCTCCAGCCAGGGAGTCCGCGAAACGCGAACCAAGAAACAAGAATCGCCCCGCAAATGGCAAACCAAGCGGGTAAGAGAAGCCATCGACCGAGTTCTGACCGATAGCAGGTATCCTTCCACGGCAGCGTCTCATTTTGAATGGATGAAGTTGCTTCACGAAGACCACAACTCCAGCTCTCAAAGTCTAACCACCCATGAACGTACTCGTTGTAAGCGTCGGGCGAACCTTTCCGGTATAAGGTCCACGTATTGATGCGACCTGTAGTCCCATGCTCGATAAAGTTATAAAGGAGTGCTGTGGTGAATAGGGTGAGAGTCGGAATCCAGATGAGGATAAGAATCCAGTGCTGTCCGAAGTTCTTGTCGCATAAGTTAGCTCACATATCCCCACGTTTTGGAAGAAAAACCAACCTTTTTGAGAGAAACGCTGGCGTAGAATAGTCCAAATACCAGTAAACTGGCAGCAATACCTACGGCGGATGCCGCAATAGCTAGTTGGTGGTGAGGACCTCGGTACAATAGCTGGGGCAACCAAGCTAGCTGGTCGACCCGATCATTGCCCCAAGACCAAAATTTGAACCCAGCAGTGTTTCCCACGTCATGTTGCTCTATCCATTTCAATATGTATATGTGTTCGTACAGAATCTTTGCGGACAATACGACAACGACGGCTAGACTAATAAGGAGGGTAATGCCGCCCGCTCGTCGGCGAAGACGCGGAACGGGGATCTCAATCTTCTCTAATGACATGTTTGGTGTAAATGAATGAAAATGTTATGGGTTATTCAGTACACCTCGAGATGGACTTCAGACGACCAAATTGATGTGGTTTATATTCCTCGATAATGTTGTTGGGACCCATAGCACAGCCACTAAGATCTTCATGTTCTATCTTCAACGTCCTAAACAAGACCAATTAGACTCATGACAATCCTGGATTGTGCTTGGGACTTGGCAGAGGATCATTCTCAGCCGTCTTTGGTGAGTACGGCACGGTTGCCTAGCAGGGTTCGCTACTGTATTGCCACAGTGTTCTTCATAGTCAACTTCCTCAATGGCTTAACTCTGTCGTGCATTTGTTAAAGATTTACATACAAAGCCACATTCAAATTAACTCTTTGGTTGATCGCCAATAAGCTGACGCACTATAGCAAGATTACCCCGGGAAATATAAAGCATTTGATAATAAGGTATAAAATTATACCAAACAACTAACCCTGCGTATGGGCGGATAGGTAAGAAAGCTCGTTGATGGTTAAGTGGAACGAGATATTTAATACTAATTAAGACTTAGGTACCTAGGTAGTCTTCTACCTAATTAGAAGGCAACGCAGTAGAGAAATCGATAAAAATACTGGAGACAAAGGGAATATAAATCGAACCATTATTTTATAGGAGATAATCGGAACTTCCTACGAGAGATGATATAGATGTCGATTTCGCCGTTCGATAAACGTCCAGGGGCAGGAAGAGGGGTAAACCTGCCACGAAAACGCTACACGCAGCCAGCCACACGCTGTAGGATCCAATACGAATTATACCCGATGTTCATAGTTCATAACAGCAATATAATATGGCAATCAAAGCGGAATAAAACTAATAATGTGAGATGCATGAATGCTAAAAAGAGTTAGTACCCGAATATGCTTGGTACAATGAGTGGGTTCTGGACCCAAGAAGTAAGAGATTTATACCATATAAGACTCCAAACAAATTCCCACATGTATGCTCCATGATCGCCAAGTTAGATCCTTTTTATCTAATCCCAATCGCCAGAACCCATATCAACCGTAGCCTCATCCACTTCCTTCTGCATGCTCTCGATACTCCAGGGTTTGTACTTATACCCAGGGGGATAGTTTGGTGGCACCGTATCGACCTGATCAAATGGGATACCTTTTCTAATGGTGTCGACCATCTTCGCATAATTCTCATATGCGTACTGCTCGGGGTCATGCTTCCAGATCCATCTTGGAAGCTTGGGTTGCGCCAATTTCGGGTCAACCTTGACCTTTTGCCAGTCGGTATGCTGCAGGCGCTCGGCGTTTTGGAAACCCATTTTTTGCGCGCAAGAGCAACGGATGAAGCGGAAGCGCACATGCGTCCGAATTGCCTCTGGTACATTCTCCTTACCTGCGAGCTGAAGGCAGGTAGCCACTGTGACGGCATCTTCAATCGCCTGCGTTGCGCCGTTGCCAGATGCTGGTAAGAAAGAATGAGCTGCATCTCCGATGAGAACTACGCGGGCGCCTGGGGAAGTCCAAGACGGCTGTGGATCGCGCCAAAACAGCTCAAAATTGACAATGGTGTTGGGTGGCGTCAATTTCACAAGTTCCTTGATCCTTGAGTCCCAGGGAAATGGACCTAGCCCTCTGTCCATGTTATTTAGGACATCGTCTGACCCAACCGTATGATTCCAATTCTCCTCTTCGGACCCAAATACCTGCCCTTGGGTCAGCACCAGCACTCGGAGTTTGGACATAATACATCGGTGATACTCACATCGTGGTTCATAATCCACACACAAGTCTCGCGACGAATTAGCACCATCGCATACGATCCCGGACTAATTGGATAAAATCGTTAGCCGAACGGTGCACTGCATATGTAGTCTCAGGGACTTAATGCAATAGAAAGCGCCACCTACCCAAGCCATGTCCTAACCATTGGCTCATCGCCATTCTGCCCACCCATCTGCAAGAACTTCTTGAGCTCGGGGTTCTTATCTAAGTGGTGCATGGGGAAAGCTGCTCGCCACATAGCCCTCCCTGCACTGATCGCTTTAACTTGCCCACCTACTAGTTTCTGCCCTTTAGAACCTACACCATCCGCTGCAATCACAACGTCGGCCTCAAACCGGACGCCTTTGTCAGTTACTACGCCGGCTTTTTGGCGTTCCTCGTCCTCATAATAGTCGACGACTCGCTGGTCGAATTGGATCTTAATTCCTTGTCTCTGGACTTCGTTCAGGTACATCCGATAAATGAGTGGTCGCATTTGAAAGGCTCCTGGCGGCGTGTTCGGGTCCATACCTGCTTGTCGTAGTCGATCCGAGACCTTCAGGGGCGCGATCACGCGCTCCCCGCTATGTTTGAAAGTCTCGATCCAGGCATTATTCATGGATATCATCTCATACTCTCTCGATAGCTCAGGCCAATGCCGGAAGAACTTGGTGGCACTGTGCCCCATAAAGTACATATCTCCTAAATGCAGAGACACATCCTTAGCATATTACAGGAGGCGCCCGCGCAGAAGGGCGTCATAAAAGATGTCACCGTGAAGTGTGCTAAACAGACTATGCGATTGGCTAGGAAGTACAGTGTTTGTGCTGTATTTTCTATGAGACTCCGCACGGTGACATTTTCTTTGACGCCCTCCTGCCGCGCTAAGTCAGCCACATAACATACCTGCAGTATTAATATCTTGGTGGCGTTCGATTATGCGCACGTTGTGTCCTTTCCGCACGCATTCGATCGAGGCTGTTAGGCCTGCAAGTCCGGTGCCGACGATGAGGACATCGATGCCCGATGGCGGGTACGACCCTACGGGCTTACAGTCTGCGTCTTGAACGGAACCCATCTCATAAATTTCGGCTGGCTTATTGGATCCTGTTGGTAGCTGAACTATGAACTAAAGTCTCCCAGGAACTGGACTTGGAAATAAGCAAAAATAATAAACGCTCCAACGGGATAAATAAAGCAGGGCGAACTAGGACGTATTCGATGTAAACACTACGTTACCCAAAATATAAAGAAGCGGGAAGACTAGTCGTACCGGAATACCGGGTGTGACATGAGGGATACACAGAATGTTTTTAATGCCATTCGGTCGTCTAACTCTGCCGTCTTTGCAGCGGCTGAGGCGTATCTGGCCAACCTTACGATCCTCCTCGGGGCCGAACGAGTCTACCGCCCACTAATCCACATTCACATCAGCACATATTATTGGCCCATTCCAGTTTAACGTTTCCGGTACCCCAATTCTTACCTCGTCTGTGCTCGATACGCGGCCAGGTATATCGTCATACATCATGCTAGGAATCCTACCGGTGAATGGGGATATCTAATCATCATACCCATTTCAGTCATGATAAGTCATAACAAGGGCAATTAAACTTGTATCGGATATATCGGGCTTATCAAACATCCTACTGCCTACTAGTATCGATGCAGTCATATATATAGATCTAGGGAATCGGGGATTTAGCCCGCGAAGCCGACAGCCCGGTCAGTTTTATTCATCTTGATAAATCGATATTGCTAGCAAGGGGGGGGGGGGGGGGGATGAGCTGGAGGTATGGTGGAGGTATGGTGGAGAACGACCGACGGGGAGGTCTCACTTGTCTCACCCTTCGGCGCCATAGATATGCAGGACATAAACGTCCCTACCTATTGGGCTGAGAATGTACAGTACCTTTTTTACGGTTATGAGAAGCCTTGACTGTGTTGCTTACCCAATTCAGTACCGTCCTTCGAAGCGGCTCAAGGCATGAGAGACGGGTCGACAACGACACGCGACCGGGATCAGCGGCATACCACCACGAGGGCTACCCTACCTCTTCGCTGTAGGTCTCTAAAAATTTCCATCTGCGATTTTATGCATGCGTCCTTGGTTAGATGCGTATGTACGATTTGGACATGCGGGAAGGTATGCAACATACCAATAGTCCGAGTGAACGTGCCCACGCGCATTTCAGCTTTTCATACCGCATCTTGTAGATGCTTACTAGTTTACCTTACATAGTAGGTACATGCCTTGCTTGCCTACCCATCTGCTGTAGTCCTACCCAATCTGCTACATCTCGGCGACAGAGTTCGATCGACAACGATCCTGAAACTACCGTTGAGATTTATCTTGAGAATTATTCAATATAGATCAATAACTAGGTAGTTTGAAGAGATTATTTAACACACCAATTCAAGAGGTTATGTTATTTTGTAACAATCGCGAGACATATAAGTTGAGGCCGAATCCAGTGACACAACATTGACGCCTTGATGATATCTTCATTTCCTTGAGAAGCCTTAACCTGTCCCGGACTTACCTAATTACTTGTCCGGACATGTGCCTAACTACTTCGTATAGGTAATCTGGGACATATGCAGGTGGCGTTCTACCCTATCGATTCTTCCCGTCCTGGTTTCATTAGTACCTCTACCAAATAGGGCAATGTATCCCTGATGATCCCAAGCTATACTGTAAACGTTGTTTCGGACCTGAGAGCATTCCTAGAAGTACTATTTTTTTTCTCCCACGCTACCTACGTACATACATACATACATACATTATACAAATGTAGATATCATTAGAAAAATATGAACCTAAAAAGCATAAATACGCAAGCATGGCTAGCTGCGATAAGGAATCTAATGCCCGGCGAGACTTTGATGTGAGACCGAGAAGGGGACGCCCGGCCAAGGCTCGACAATATCGCACCACCGCCCTTGAAAGCCGAGAAGGACCTTCATTGTTATCTGCCTATTATCATCTATTCCCCTCCTTCGAGAGTAGTTACCGTAATTAGTCGTATCATCAGTTGGACTGGTCCTACTGTAGGTAGTTTAAATCGTGTGACAGCCCTGCGATACTTTTCCTTTTCGACCCGGAATGCGCTCTCGTTTCTCCGTTCCGCAGCTAATTTCTTACGCCTCTCCTTGACCTCCCCGTATACACGAATTCATCTCCCTCTTTCTTGTAGCAGTTGATCATGCAACTGTTTACAGCGGCGATACTCTGCGCCGCCCTCGTCGGCTTCGCGGCTTTCCACCTATTCAGGTCGTTCAAAGAGATTAACAACACTCGTAAACCTCCGGGACCGACCTTACTTCCATACATAGGGCGCATACATGATGTCCCTATTCAGTTCATGTGGCTGAAATTCAAGGAATGGGCTGACAAGTATGGCCGAACGAACGGCTTTTTCTTCACGGAGATGCTCGGCGCTAAGTTCCTCGTCGTCTCGGACGAGAAGGTAGCGGAAGAACTCTTGGTGAAGCGCGCGAAATTCAACTCGGATAGACCGATGGTCAGATCTCTATTCGACTCGAAGAGTACATACGGATCGATGGAGTATCTCCCTCTCATGGGAAGAAACCGTGAGTGGTCATCTTATAGCCCAAATTGTACCTCTTTTCCGTTACTGAGTAATATGCGCGCTAGAATACTGGGCAAGACAGCGCCGATTTACGCATTCCCATCTAACTGACGCCTCTAACGCTCACTACTATGGTGTGATGTACCATGAAGCGAAGCGCTGGCTCGTCCGGTTGATGGAAAACCCCGACGATTTTGCGAATTCCTTAGAAGATATGGCATCCAAGATTATGTGTCAGTTGACATGGGATGACCTCACTATCAGCGAAGAGTGCACGATAAGTGCGAAGGGTCTTTTGAGACAGATGTCCCCGGCCGGACCAATCACCAATGTTCTGACGCCACTTTGGCACTTACCTATGATCATCAATCCCTGGAAAACTGCCGAACGCAAGAGACACGATGATCAACAGGCGTGGTGGATGGAACGCCTATTAAACACGCGCAACAAGTTTCTTCAAGGTGTGCAAAGGTCTTGCGTTACTCGTAAATATCTTGAGAAAGGAGAGAAACGGTCGAATCTCTCTGGCGACTATGAAGCTTCCTCTGCGATAGGGATGATGGCCCTGGTGGGTATCTTCACAGTAGCCGGTCCGTTATCATACTGGTTAATATCGATGATACATCATCCGGAATGGCAAGCGGCGGTACAAAAGGAGGTCGACGAGGTGTGCGAAGGACGGATGCCGACTTTAGACGATACACCGCGACTACCTATTCTCCGAGCATGCATTAAAGAGACGATGCGATGGAGGCCGAACGTACCCACTGGTGAGTTCTTTAAACGCGACGTGGCGACGGCGATACAATAGCTAATCTTTTCAATTAAGGAGTCGCACATGAAATGGAAGCCGACGATGAATTTCAAGGATATTTTCTTCCGAAGGGAACGAGAATTCTTCCCCTTGACTGGTTTGTGAACTGTTATCCTTTTAATGAGAAAACCACGAAGACTAAGTAGCAATAGGGCATTCCTTCGTAATCCTGACAAGTATCCCGACCCAGAAAATTTCCGGCCCGAGCGCTGGTTGAAACCTGAGTGGCCTACTTATCAAGAGCCACTCAGCACGTATCCAACCATTAAAGGCATGACCTCGTTTGGTTGGGGTCAGCGTCAATGTTTAGGACAGACGCTCACGCAAGACGAGCTCGTAGTGGCATGCGGTGCGCTGAGCTGGTGTTTCAATCTCAAACCGAAGAAAGATCCGATCACGGGGAATGATTTACCTGTACCACATGACAAGTCAAATTCCCTATTGATTATTAAGCCAGATCCATTCGAAATGGCTTTTGAGCCTAGAAGTCAAGCTCGAAAAGAAGAAGCACTTCGACTTTGGGCTGAGTCTGAAGCGAAATATATCCAAGAAAAGGAGGAATTCCTCAAAGCCGCAACTGGGACCAAAGAAAAGATAGAAATCGTGTAAATTTTTGGCATGAAGCAACATCCAACATGACAAAGAGATGGAGTGCTTGGCGTATAAGTCGGGAGAGGAAAGGAATTGAATATTGAAATGTAGATGTTTTGAGAGTTACGGTCATTGCATATCTACTACTTACTACCATTTAGAGAATCACTTACGGATGGCATCATTGGGGTACTCGTTGGATTTACTATTATTCATTTACTTTTACTATCTACATACTTACTCGCTATACTATTCAGTCAAGCCTTCATTTTTGAATAAATATACAAAGACGAAGCCATCCGCCATCCAGTTTAATATTGCCTGTGCACGTACATTGACATCCCTAATCTTTCCATTTCAACCCCGGTCAAGCCGATGATATCAACATGAAATAATACCTTGATTAGATAATGATATAACATCAGTTCGACTAAAACATATTTGCTTACGTCTTCGAATTGGTGAAGGAGTTGGTCATCTCTCAATGTTTATTGGTGTTCTTTTAATAGGGGGTACAGACGGAACAACGGTCATTATAATGACCGATAGGATGCTAGGTTGGGGGAGGATCACGGGCATTCATGTGTAATTCAGCGGCGGCATTAGCTCCTAACCGCCGTAACAGTCGCTAAAAATTGACGTGTCCACCGACGCAAGCTTCGGCACTCCTTAAAATCCTATGGGTAATCCATTGTAATCCATTGTATTTTATTGTATTTTCGGTACCGAGAGAGTTTAAGTTTGCGCTACGATAAGCATCGCCCTACGCCAATGTCCTACCTTAATTCTAATTATTCTTAATCACACACAAAGAATTCGACTAATGAATCTTTTCTAAGGTGTTAGTTTGTCTAGGTAGATGATTAATTACGTAGTATTTGTTAGTCCGTAGAAGGAGCGTTTCGTTTGTCAGTCCGTCATACGACCACGGCGAATTCCCTAACTACGAATCGAACGACGAAACAAAAAAAAAAGAAGTTCCGACAAACGCGAGAAATTCTGATTATGAAGCCAAAATTTCTTACCTTGACAATTAATTGTAGATACCAACTTGGCTTAACAACACAACATATAAAATCATCAATTCTACAGTAGATCGTGAAACCAAATAAAAAAAAGCCACAATCTTAAAAATATCACCATATGATATCATCGTCTATCTCCACTTACACCAGAAACGGAAGGAAAAAAAAGCAAAATATTCGAGACATCACGATAATTAATTGATCAACATGGCTGCCGTCTCTCCCGAAGCCGTTCTTGGAACTACTGTTGCATTTTCCTTCATCTTATTCGGTGAGTCAAATACCAAATATGAAAATATGAACTTGAAATAAATACCAATCCGGATGGAATTAAACTGCATTGAACTAAGATGGAATCCGAAATGGTCATGTACAGTAACTAAACATATCTTGATGCATCTAGGAAATGCCATCACCCAATCATTCATGGGAGTTCCCGCTTTGCTAGTGGATTTCCCATCGCCGTCTTCACCTGAACATGCCTCTCGCGCCCGGTTGCTGGGTCGACAGTGGCCCGTATTCTGGGTCGTAGGCAATAACTTCTTCCGGCCCATCAGTACCCTCGGCATTTTTGGTTATGCCTACACATCATGGGTAGCCTCATCCCAAGGGCCTAATGGTGTTCTAGGCGATTGGAAGCCGTATGCGGTCGCAGCATTCTGTCACCTCGTTACAGTTGTACATTCCGCTGCGAATATGCAGCCGATCAACGAGAAGATCGACGCCCTACGAGAGCCCAAGGGGAAGGTCGACCCTAAACAAGCTGAGACATACGCTCGCAAGTGGATTAAATTCAATACAGTGCGCCTCATTACCCCTGTCGTCGCCGGTTCTCTCGCGCTATTTCAGCTGTTGAGGCGGCATTAGATCTAGCTTATGCAGGGGGAACGAGCATGTTTTTTCAGCTTTCGAGACGATCTACGATTATCGAGGGGAGCTATTGTCGAGCTCGATACGCTGTGAACTGTAGCTTGCACGACCTACATAAGAGCTGCCTTTAAGTACCAAAGGTACCCACTTCACGATACCACCTACATTACACTCTTTCGCCGTGTATTAAATAGAATAGCATTCGTCCAGGGACGTGATATTTGAACGAAGGGGAGGATAGGCGGAGATTCTTGTACACTATATTGTTTTCAACGAATTGGTCCTTCGTTTGTAGCTTTTATTTACCTAGGGAACTACCCAATCGAACATTACTTGTGCATCACTTACGGTGGATCTGGTGTATACACAGAGTACGAAAACATAAATATTGTGATAGACATGAGCAATTAGACATTATGTATTTGATTAAACCTTAGAATATACCTTGGCATATATGATGACTTTAGAAGACCGAACTATGAGTACAATATGTGAACATGGCAAACTTAACGGTGCCTCAAAAACGCCTTCATTCGAGGCATATTGGAAGTCTCGGACTCCCCCAATATCCTTAAAAGATCACCCCTTGACCTAAATATAATAACAATATTAAAACAATAAATTGAGCCAATACCAATCCAAGTAATAGCGTCATCGACTTAGAGTTGGTCTTGTTGTCCTCTCTTCCTTGTTTCTCCCCCTTTTCACCACTACCACCACGACTTGACTCCGAACTATTACAACCGAAGTTGTCGGGTGCATGCTTCCGTGCCATCTCCAGGGCTTTGGCGCTGTCCACAAACTCCGTGATCCGGACCACTTGACTCCCGTCGGGCGATAGATGGATCATCATGACACACTCGTTCACCCATTCGCCAGCTCCTCCCTTAAGTATCCCTTGCATCCGTGCGTGGACTACCGCCATATTCCCCGGTCCGTCGTCTGCGATAGACTTCGGGATCATCCTGAATTCGTCGAATATGCTGAATATTCCCGCTGCGTGCTGTGCAAACGATTCTCTATTTCGCGGTGCCATTCCTAGGCTCTCAGGTAGTACTTGGTGATGAAAATCTAGCGACGTCGTTCCGAGAAGCTGTGGTACAGAGAGGCTCCCGTAGCCGTCTAATAGCGCGTGGACTGTGCCGAGTCGGCGAGAACGGGCCTCATCCATCGCGGCCGCCGACGAGGGTGCGCTACTCGAGTGACGCATCTTGTAATTAGGCATGCCTAAGTTGGTTGCTTGTTCTTCTTCCTACCACCCATAAAGGTGACTGTGGACGGGTTTCTGTAGACCGACCAGGCGAGGCTGGCGGGGTATGTAAATGTAGGTAAGACATCGGACGGGAGGGACCTAAATAAATCCATGCCATGGAAGAATTCCACGCAAGTCCCCAAACAAGACAGGCATATGCCGCGAAGCGTTCCGCGTAAGTTCTGAAAGCGGACTTTTGACAGTTTCAAGCACCGAAAAGTTTGATGTGACAGCCTATCCCTTGCTCAAGCTCACCGAAAGCGGTACGAAAAGGGGGGTCGAGCGGTTTAGTTCGATTAAACTTAGATACCTGATGTCCACGTATGTGTACGCGACTCTTCTTTGTCGACAATGTAAATAATCCCATGCTGTTGCTTACTTCTAATTCCATCGACGTAGATAGTACATCGACATTGCGTATCACTCAACATGCCTAAGCAATCCAACACCACTAAAGTCATCCTCGTCACCGGCGCTACGGGGAAGCAAGGAGGTGCCGTAATCAACGCACTTCTTAGCCGATACCCAAACAAATTCACGATCCTCGCAGTCACACGCGATGCCAGCAGCTCCAATGCTAAGCGCCTTCTTGAGAAGTCGCCCTCCATCAAACTTGTACAGGGCAATCTAGACAACGTTCCTGAGCTCTTTCAGGTAGCCCGAAAAGCCCATTCTCAACCAATATGGGGTGTGTATTCAGTCCAAATTTCCATGGGAAAGGGCGTCACTCTCGAAAGTGAAGTCGCGCAGGGAAACGCACTCATTGACGAATCTATAAAAGCTGGTGTTAAACACTTTGTTTACAGCAGCGTTGAACGGGGCGGCGACACAGAATCTTGGGAAAACACCACGCCTATTCCTCATTTCCAGAGTAAATATCAGATCGAACGACACCTTCGAGATGTCACAGGTCCCGGGGGGTCGGGAGCTAATATGGGCTGGACTATACTACGTCCTGTAGCTTTTATGGATAACTTAGCCCCTGGATTTCCCACCAAAGTCTTCATGGCCGCGCTGCACAACCATCTAGGAAATAAACGCATGCAATGGGTTGCGACGTCTGATATTGGAGTCTTTGCCGCGAAGGCTTTTGCTGAGCCTGAGAACTGGAACCGGAAGGCTGTTGGGCTTGCCGGTGATGAGTTATCGTGGGAACAGCTCAACGAATCCTTCGCTGGGGCGACAGGGTCACCGGCTCCTGCGACTTATTGGTTTTTTGGAAGTGCATTGACATATATGGTCACCGAAATGGGTTTGATGCTCGGATGGTTCGCAAGTAATGGATACAAGGCGGATATCGCAGCGCGGCGTAAGGATCATCCTGAGATGTTGACAATGGAGCAATGGTTAGTTAAGGAGAGTCAATTTAAGACGACGAACCGTTCTTGAGAGAGCTGTATTGATAGCTTGCGCGGTATTTTTGGGTTCGAAGAAGGGCCGCGACATTGCTATGACACGGAGGATCTATACCTAGGTACACATGGAGATGCTAGTTTAAATAAATGATGTAATTGGACACTACCTAAGTAAGTAGTGCATTGGAAATGAATACAATGGTCACAAGAAATAAATTTGGTGTTTGTTTGGGTATAATGTAAATGGTTAAAATATGTAAATCCTAAAGTCAGTATCAACATCAATATCAACAATTGTGCCTCTCCTTGGAACGGCTGTAAGATGCCAAGCAGTCTACGTCTGAATAGTGAAGACTTGTGAGCCATCATTAGTGCAAGGTGCAGAGTCAAGCCGACCATCTCCAGCTATGATGCAGGTCGCATTACGCTCGCTCTCCGGGGCAAATACCAGGCTTGTTCCACCAGTGAATGGAACCAATTGACCGTTATTCGTGTCGCCCTCTGCTTAAATTTTAGTGCTGTATAATAACTTGAGATGGGAGGATAATGCCTACCTCCTGCTGCACGTCCTCCACATGAGAAAAGAGTTACTGTATCACCAGCTGGACGCCGTCCATCAAAACTGATGCATCCATTTGTCTAAAAAGTATAAGCGGAATTCGAAAAGATTCAGTGGAGAGACAGGTATGACTTACTAGACTACTCACGATTAAAGCTGAGTCTTGAGCGTTATTATGTTTTCCCGCCGTGATAATGTCAAACTTCTCGTTGGGCGTCCCGGCACAGGTCACCAAAGAAACTGGAATCAAGTTTTCGCGAAAGTCTCCAGCGGTTGGATCGATGAATAGACACTGGCCATTTGGCGCCTTTATGCTAACTGAAGTAAAAGCGCGCGTTGCAGTGTCATCCCGCGGCTGTGATTCGGCTACTGCTGAGGGTTGCAACACACCACCAGCGCGAGATACGGGGACGGACGCTGTAGGGTTAGGGATCCCCCCGACTGCCACATTAGTTGTAACTGGCGAGGAAACGGGGCTTGAGGTAGGTGCCGTAGGTGCTGTAGGCGCTTGGCTTGCATCCTGCGAGGTCACCGTAGCGGTGGGGATAGTAGGTGCAGATACAGTGCTTTGGGGGCTTGAATCAGTGGGCACAACAGCAGGAGAGCCACTGAAAGTAAACTGCTGGTCGGAATCTCCAGCAGCGCAAGGCGCAACATCAACAACATTTCCTTTGACGGTAAAACATGACTGCGAATCGTTCTCGGGCGATAATGTGAGTGGACCGCTAGTACCGTTAAAAGGAAATAGCTGAGAGTCTGTTACTTCACCGCCGCCATCTGCACGACCTCCGCAGCTGAATAGAATAACTTGATTACCGCTTGCTCGTCGTGGGTCGAAGTTGAAGCAAGCGTTCGTCTATAATCCCGGAATTTAGCACATTATACCCCTAGTCGAATGGTGTACCAGGTACCCAAGGTTAGGTGCCTAGGTAGGTAGGCGAGTAGGTACTAACCAGCGTGCTAACAACTAGCATTGACCCTTCAGCATTATTATGCTTGCCCGCTGTAATTATATCCCATCCTTGCCCATCAGTGGTATCACATTCGGCTACTTGTATAGGTGTGAGGTTCGCACGGAAATCTCCCGATAATTCATCAACGAACAAGCATCGCCCATCAGAGGTCTAAAGTGCACTCTATTAATGACATGGCCTAATTGCCGGCTTTGGTTTGCCTTACCCGTATTTGCGTCCCGGAAAAGGCTTTCGTCGCCGTGTTATCTGGCTGCTGAGCTTCCTCGAAGGCGGCTTGATCCAGCTCTGTCACGGTTCTTCGATGCAGGTTTAGGGATGTAATGGGTGATGCATTTACGAGCGACTGTACGCTAAGGAGGGTAGCGATGAACGAATACATGATGATTAATCTTCTAATACCTGTATTGAGAAATCTGGTCGTATATGAAAACACGGCGTCTAACCGAAGTGAAAGTAACGAAAGGTACGGAATTAAAAGAACGAAAACTCCTGCACGGCAGGGCTGAGAATCAAAAAGGAATGAAAAGCGACTCCAACAAGAACTCGTCATTGCCACCTAAGTAGTGAAAGCAACGGCTTCGTCGGGCATGCGGTGGTTTAAATACTTGACGCTGCATCGTGGGCTCCTTGTTGCATGTGGTGGCTTCGGTATCGCGAAAAAGTTCCAAGGTTGTCAAGGAGCTTACCAGCTCCCTATTTTAAAATGAGGAGTTTCGTCAGGTTTCATGGCGATTACTTTGGAACCTTCAATACCTTCGCGCTTCTGTTTTGAGCGAAGGGCCTTTTGACATTCATTGAAAGCATAATAGGGGTGTAGATATCTTTGCGGCGGCAACGATGGGGTTAAGGGTTAAGGAAGGTTGATGAAACAATACCTGTCGCAAGAACGGCGATTATCACTGGGATTATAGATCGTCCTAACTTCTTTTCTCATAGGCGCCCACTTAAGACGATCATTGGTTCGTTGCTCAATGCTACAGCGGTGTTCGGTTAGGTAGGGGTTCTAAAGCTTCAGCTTGAAAGGCCCCTGCAGATTATCAGGATCGCTACAAGGTAACGTATATGGTAACCCGACTCGAGATTCGTTTTGTTCTATTAGACGCGAAATTGTGAAGCTAGTTACCCCTTTCCTTCCAGAACTTCTTCCTCTTGGGGATAATAGAAGATACCTAGGTAGCACTGACTGAATCGAAAGGGGTAGGGGTGTTATCGACTGTTCCATTTTCACCCTGAGAGGTCCGCTATATGATGCCTACCTCAGTACCTAGGACCCGTAAAACAACCCGCATCGTGGCGCTTTTAGTGATAATGGAATGGTCGAATGGCCACCTACGGTACCTAAGGTAAACGATAGAACATGATAGCTTTAGCGACGACAGAGGTCCTATTTCGTTTCTAGACCTTTTATCTCATTCTTACATCCACCCATCGCCATCATCAATCGGAATTTTTTCGTACAGCGTTTTGTCAATTCAGAAAGCGATTGTAGGTAAAATCGTTTTTTTTTATTTCGCGAAGTTCCCCTTCGATTTTCCGTGTAGCGGGCTTTGGTGTAAACAAGCGGGCTGGGATTGAGAACTTTCGACACTTTGACCTTCTGATGCTGCTATTACAAGTTATTCACCACCTAAATATTCGCCCGGTACGTTCTCAAGCCCTAACATGATAGGTATCTATTACGGCGTGGCACGTCGGCGTGCTCTCAAACTCAGCGGTATCACTACAAAACCACTACATTCATTATGGTTTTCGAGAAAATATTCGAATATATCGTCTGGAAATATCGTCTGGAAAAGTACATGATGTATGCGCAATTACGTTCAAGAAGACACAGATTACAACATGAACTACAACCATAACCGACTGCGTCCCTTCCACAAGCACATTCAAGGTAATGAATGAACAGTGATGCATGTTACAGTCACCACAACCCAACACGTCCATATCCCCCTCCTTGGAATGACCTTGATAACGAATGGGATATAATTTGACAATAAAAGACCAATGGAAGCGATACACGCTTCGGCGCATTTATTATATTTTTATTCGCCTAATACATGGTCATTCACTACCTCTGGGGTCCTTCTGTTCGTTATGAAGCAGCCTACACCCTACTTAGGATCGCTATCCGATCATCTTAAACGGTGTAGCTACTAAATACAGAACTGAAAATGGGTTCATTCGATGAACACAATCTCTCGGACTTTTATGCGGACCTTCAATTGACACAACAGGCAACTTCTCGGGATATCAAGTGCGCCTTTCGCAGATTAGCTAGAAAGCATCACCCCGATAAAAAAGCACCAGGACAATGTATTGATGCGCACGAGTTCCGTAAGGTACGTCCTAGGTAATTGGTTAGAAGAATACTTCAAGGAATAGCCACTAATGTAACTGACTATCATCTTCTACTTAGGTTCGCGAAGCGTATGAATGCCTCATCGATGAGGATAGGCGTGCAGCCTATGACAGACTCTACTTCGACTTGCGAGACGAATGGAATACACAAAGGGAACAAGAAGAACGCCAACGTAGAGATGACGAAAGGAAACAAGCTGAGGAGGAACAGCGCGCCGCTAGGGAAAAAGCCGAAGAAAAAAGGAGGGCAGCAGAAGCCGAGAGAGTTCGTAGAATGGAAGAAGAAAGACGAGCTGCTGAAGCCAAGGCCGAGCGCGAGAGAATAAGAGAGGAGAAAGCGAGACGAGCCGAAGAACGAACGCGAGAAGCTGCACGAAGAGCTAGGGAACAACAGGAACTAGCGGCAAAGGAGAGGCTTCGCAAAGAAAAAGAGAGAGAAGCGGAAAGAAGATCCGAGGAAGCAGCTAGAAGAATCAGGATTGAACAAGAACTAGCAGCACAAGAACGACTAAAAGCTATTCTGATTGAGGAGAAGCAACAATCAGCTCGTAGTAGCTGGGCCAAAATGCGGCAAGAAGCTGACGATAGACAAGCGGCGAAACGTCGACCTGCCCGGCCGATGCGATCTGCTCCATCACCTAACTGCGATCATCCGCGGTTTGGCTGGCTAAAGAAGAATGGTCGGTCGAAGTGCACATTCTGCAACCAGACTCGAACGAAATGGTCCTTTTCCTGTCCGGAATGCAGTGTGTCGGCATGCCCTGGTTGCAAGTCCAACTATTGTCTATTCTGATGATCAAACGACCTGAACAATTTGTACTGAGTAGGGAGATTGTGAAGAAGATTGCTGTATGGTGGGTCTATCTTACGGTAGTAATCAAGGTGACTGGTGTAAGAATGAGTGGTGTGCGCCGCAAGCGCATTTACTGGGAATATGTTTGGAATTGTACGGATGTGAGTATCCCGAGATATATCAAATTATATAAGTCACAAACGTGCCGTCCGTCCGTAAGCTATCCCTCTATACTACACGTCCTCATATGCCGAACTGCCTCAACTTGCTAATCTTCTCGGTTATGCGAATATGCCTGCTTCCAGAGGGTGCGGTGGTAGAAGTAATCATTCCAGTAATCAATTACACTTACTCCTATTTCCGATCCTTACACCAGGGTGCTTTGGCGAGAGCATTAGACTGAACCTTCCAAATTCGCGACCCTGACCTTTCAAGCCTGGGGCCAAATTCCTCAAGCAACTTTTCCGCATTGGAACTGTCGTTTCTGAGCGCTCGTTGGTAATCCTCGTCCGATCCAAACGTGGCGATCTTCCATATATTTTTCCAACTCTCAACTAACCGGATGGCTTCCGGATGTCGGCTCTGAATTCTGGTGGCGACCATGTAGAACGAGGAACGTCTGGTGTGACTTGTTGTGGGTTTCAAAGTTCGTACGGTGGCAAACTTACAGAATGCCCGCAGCAAGTCTGCAGTGTCCCAGGCCTCAAGTCTATGCAACAGAACGACCATAGCGCCTCCTGGCCTGAGATATTCAAGACTAAGAGCCAATTGAACGACTGTTAACCTTCTGCTTTCTCGCTTCTCTCGATATTCGGAACGCTCATGCGTTCGGAGAACTTGGCCGTCACATAAAGCTAGATCGAATAGTTGGTTAGGTCTAAGCTGCTGTGATAAGAAGTTACCGGCGTCCGGATGATCCTTGGGAATCTCCTCAACGCCCATATCGGCGGCTAACATCGTGATATCTAGGAACCTCTGCTCAACGGCCGAAGAATTTTGAATAAGCACCCTGTGCCCACCGCTAGAGGGGGGCAAGCTAAATGCCAGTCCCTTAGCACCCGGGTTGTGTTTCAAGGCTGTCGCAAGAAAACCTCCAGGTGCCATGCACATGTCCAAGATTCTTGGTTCCCGCGAACGTATCGCGAAGGCGTTGGTGGATTGGTGAATTTCCTCCCCGATCTTCATCATCATCCTGAAGAAGTGTTGAGCAGTCTGATCGTCACAATTGTCTGCATTTCTTCGTTGATTCCGAAAATAAACATCACCCTCGGGGTTTTCCCATCCCTGTTGTACGACTATGTTAGCACCGTAGATCAAACTAGGGGGTTCGACTTGACTAACCTTCCGCCGGAGTTCGGTGAGCTCCCGAAAATCAGCACTCCTTTCTAGAAGATATCTCGTGATGGACTTATCCGCGGATATATCCTGACATTTTCCATGCTCGGATGACTCGTTGTTCAACCTTGGACCGTTTGCATCGTGGTCGGGAAAAAGAAAGGAGTAGAGGGGCTTCACTACTTGAGTCAATGCGGACGCTTCCATGGTTAGTTGAGTATCAGTGTGGGTAATAGAATGTGTGGATATCAAGGTATGTGTATAGTTTGAAACAGAAGTAGACGTTGGTCTGAGGTCGCTAGGCTTCCCAAGAAACGGCACAGCCTGACATGCTCGTAGTCGGGCACGATTGCATGCTCAGGCATGTATTCGATTGGTTTTGGGGTTCTATCCTGCATAACTGAATGCGATATTGGTTACACACGATTTGCGTCGACGATATTGGTCAGTTTAACAGGTCTAGGCGACCATGTGTTCTGGAAATATGAGCATGTTTGGACTGAGGGGTAGCTGATAGTACATGACCGGATCACACTTCCATATCTAACGTATACAACCATCGAATACCTGAGGTATACACAATAGGAGTTCCATGGTGTCTCTAAGCCAAAAGACCATCACGACACTCAGAGATGGAGGAGGTGCTCTTTTAGAAAAGACGGGAAGAGTCAACCTGACGCCCCAATATTATAGGGTGTACTTATATAATGGACTATTCTCTCCCATGGCATCTAATTTCTCTTGTGTATACTTCTCTCTTATTTCGATTTCCGAAATCCTCTTCCTTGTTCGATTGGCAGACCAGAGGCAGAACTCGAGAATGGCGCCGGCGATAATGGCGAGTATACATATTCCGAGCGAAACGCCGTATCCGGTGGGGTACGTAGGCGATTCCTTGTCCAGGAATATGTTCGTTCCAATAATACCTAGTGGGGTCAGCATTATATGAACACTCCAAGAGGCCACGCAACTTACTGCCAAAGTTTCCAGCGGCGAGTAGCCAAGCAAGACCGATCGATCGCTTCCATGATGGCGCTAAGTTATTGCCTACCCAAGCCGAGATTCCAGGGAGAAGTGGATATATACTTATCTGTGCCAACACTATGGCAAAGTACATAGGGCCGACATTGGAAGCGATATCTCTAGAGAGGCTAAATAGAATAGCGAAAGAAGCCACGAGAAATGTAATGGGTACGAGAATGAATGGTGCGCGCCATGCGAACCGATCAGCGTAACGTCCAACCAACCATGCCGATACACCTCCACAGAAATATGGCGGAATAGTTAGAAGTTGAGCCTTTTCCTTGACGAATCCCAATTCTGTAAGAATCTGCGGGAGGGTAAATTTGAAGACGGAATTCGGAACCGAGTTCGCCCACGAGACCAATATTCCCAAGAGGATCTTCCAATCCACCATAGTAGAGAGAAGTAACTTCCAAGAAAACTTGTCGCCTTCCCCGGTCGCGGTACGGACCCCCGAGGCTCGCAGACGTAAATCAATAAATCGCTTCTCTTTGTCGGTTAACCACGAAGCTCTCTCGGGACTGTCCGATATCAATAATGGCATTGCTAATCCAATAACGATAGTCGCAGCTCCCTCGAGAAGAAAAATCCATCGCCATCCGGCGATACCTCCAAGACCATTCATATCAGCAATCGCATATGCGAGCAAACCGCTCAAAGCCCCCGAGAATGCCGACGCGGTATAGAACAGTGCGAGCCGTTGCTGGAGTTCGTGTCGGGGATACCAGGTAGACACGAGATATACAGCACCGGGGAAGAACCCCGCCTTGGAAAAAGCTTCTGTTAGTATCCTTACATATTTTAGGATTCGGGTTGTACATACTTCGCAGAGGCCAAGAAAGATGCGACAAGCAGCCATTCCAGCGAAGTTTTTGACAATTCCCATGAGTGTCATAACGATGCCCCATGATACCATCAAGAATGTTAACCAGAAGCTTGGCCGGACTTTCTTTAAGACGATATTCGATGGAATTTCTTTGCGAAGTTAGCTGAATCAGGTCATGTTGGAGTCACCGGGATCTTACCAAAGATAATGTAAGGGACGAAGAATATGGTACTGGCGATGTTGTATTGGTTTCCTGTCAAACCAATGGCTTTATCCATACCCTCTATCTTTGCGTTTCCGATGTTTCCGCGGTCGATATGTGAGCAGAGGTATAAAAGGGCCATTACCGGGACGATACGTATATCCATCTAGGGCGCATGGTTAAAGAGAACGATTCTTTGAGAACGATTCCTGGTGACAGCTTACCTTACGAATAACTTTCTTCCCCTTAAAACCCTCGTATAAGCGCAAGAATTCAACATCTTCAGTCGAGAACCTCGCGCCGTATGTGCCATTGAGAGGAGCCTCAATATGCTTGATATCGGTGCCCTCTTCCAGCTTGAGAGAGTCATCATTCATCTTGACAGTCATTATGAAGTTCCCAGGTGGTGAGTGATACGTGAAAACCCAGAAAGACCATCCATAATGGGTGGTTAAGTAATTTTTATTAGATCTCGTCAGGAATGTGGCTGGTCTCGAATCTGGGGTAAGGAGCATGGGGATCAGGGGCTACTCCCCACTATGAAATTCCGGGGTATTGGACCGACCGCATGGAGTCAACATCAAACCAACTCGTCTACCTAGGGATGGTAATAGATTCTACCCATGTGCCTATCCATGCATGTGCGAAATAACTTGGAAGCCTTGGTACTTTGGTTTGCTAGCGTTACGCATAGGTGATACAGGGTTGTCCGTTTGATAGGCGGAACATATCCGAGCAGCATCGGACGATATCCGATAATGATTTCGTCGGCTTGTATATTCTAAAAGTTGGACTTATCGGATCGCCTGTGATTTAAGTAAGCAATCTAGATCGGCAATAGTAATTTTGAGAACTCTACTTAGAATTACTAGCATTATTGGAGGGTGTGGGCAATTAGTTCTCGTGAAGTTGTATTATGGGCCAAGTCCACATCATCAAGTAAAAAAATGGTACGACGATAGTAGACGGCACATTGAAAACGCCGAGCTACGAAATTTTTATTGTCCGTACTACGTAGAAACCCGAATCATCCCCCGGGCGCGTGTGCTTATTTTACCTCTTCAATAAACGAATTTTCGTGGCTAAAAAAACGCAAGAGCATTGGGAGGACTCGCAACCGCTCCTGGGGCCTTCGATACATTAGAAAATACACATAGACAGTGGTATATTAATTACTCACATTCATTGGGGAACTTGAGAGGAAAAATGTATATCGTCCAAGAGAGGAACACATTTTACTTAGAGCTTCTAAGTCGAATAGCTCACCAATTGGCATACCCCAACCAGCCAGAAGCCATTCGTGTAAATGCCAATCTAACTCTTGACAAGGCCAAACTTCAAAAGACCGCGAATCACCCGCAACAGCTGCGATTTTCGTATTCCAAAGAAATTTAAGAAATTGCCTTGAAGGCTGGATCCCGATGTTCTGCGGCTTTTGTGTTTTGTACTGCTCATTCAGACGATGTCGTTTCGCTTCTTCCATTCCTTCGTACTGTGTTAGATATCCAAAACGTATGACAAGTATATCACCAGGGCGTATCTCGTTAAGAGACATCCCCTGGTCCTCGAGAACTTGGATAAGTTCCGTCCATTGTACGGGATGATTGCTCATCGCGTCGACTGTTAGACCTCTCCTTTGAGCCCAAGCATACCAGTCAATGAATACGGCCCGACTAGCGATGCCTTTTACAGATAAATCTAGATATACATATCAGTCTAAAACGTATTTAATGATTCCATCGTAGCAAGGTTAGGTTTATTCACGGTGGATGCTGTTGGACTCGGAGGACCCTGCAAAGTCCGCGGCGGTGTGACCTAGATAGTACAACTTTTGAACAATTTAATAGGCGAATTGAGACATTGGGGCTGGGCTTTACTCACTCCCTCTTTTTGATATGCATAATGGCGGAATCCGTCCCACTGGGAGCTACATTGGGAATTGAAAGACCACTGAAATAATTATTTAATATCTGTTCCTATGGACCTTTAGGAAGGGTTTGAGGGTGACCGCACCTCATCATCATGGGCGTGTTTTAATGGCGCCTTATTGATGAGTTTGACGTCTAGAATTTTCCTCGGGAACCTTGGATATGAGGGACCTTTCAAGGACCAACTGCGCAATTAATTGTGAGTAATGAATATATTAATCTTATCGGCTCCAAGAGTGGTAACCGTACCATAGGCTCGTCTTCTCACTTACTTCAAAGATACTCTCTTTCCCGTTTTGATTTCTTCTTTTGCAGCTCGCGAAACTACATCATCCGTAAGATGATTCAATGTTCCAATCTGATCGTTAGTACCCCAGAGACCCCATGCATTTCCATGCGGGCCACTCTTGTTAGTAGGAAGATCCTCGAATTTGGGGTAGCTTTCCGGCATCATCTCGAGTTTGCCGTGGACACAATACTATCGGGGGAAAATACATTAAAGAGCGTTATGTTCTTAGCATCAGCGTAGGTCCTAAATTTGTCTATATTTCAGCAATTAGACCTGTTTGGTTTGTCTTGCGAAGATAAGTATGGAGAGTCCATCCTCTCCATCCTGGATTTTGGCGCGGAAAGGGTCCGAAGGAAAGTTGCTTTTGCCATGGAGATCTCGGAAAATGACCGATGGTATTCCTAGCGAGAGCCAAGGGAAGGCTCACTTGAAAACCTAGGTAGGTACCTAGGTAGCCCTACTTCATAAACTAAGGTCTAGTTTAAGGTGACGAATCTGGTTACTAGGTAGCAAGGTCATTTACTAATCATCGTATACCCGGGCGAGAATTTAGCGTGGCTTTTCAATTGAAGAAAATTTAGTGAAGAATGAAGAATTAGAGAAAAAAAAAAAAAAAAAAGAAAGAGCGTTAACAATTTCGACGCCCCGCAAGTACTCGGATATTTACATATCTAAATACTTAACCATGTTAGTACATAACCCCTAGAAAACATGCTTTTAATGGCAGCGTATTAGTATATCGGTATTAATATCCCAATATCCAGCATATCCATCTCTTCTAAGGTTGCTCAGAATGAAATTTCGGCGTTAAATATGAAGATAACTTGATGTCTAGAGTTAGGGTTATTTGGGTATATAGATGACAGTTTACAGGTGCTAGATATACCGCGCGTTTTTAGCAAAGTAGTTTCCAAAATACCCCCAAATCGGTGAATTTTCAGAAGTACTCCATTATCATACATATTTAAATCGCTTATACGACATCTTGCTTCTGCGTTGGCAACAGGTAGATTTTGATTATAGTTTGATGTGGACGTCGCTACGGCGGATAGATAATACTGTGGTAGTCCCTCGGTTTATTTAATATATAACCTTAGTTTTTATGGGACACGTGCGGCTTCACCTCAAGATCATCCTCATCGTCGCGCTGGTGACCTTGTAAGAGCTCTTCTGGCTTCGGATATGCGACCTTCCAGACAGTATACCACGGCCGATCGAATAGGCTATCCATGGACTCAAGTGACCTTCCAGCTGTTTCGGGCATTGCGAAGAATACATAAACAAGGGAGATACAACAAATACTTGCGAAGAAAGCAAAAGCGCCATATCGGTCGGTAGCAGCTAAGAGTGAAGGCATGGCACGCGAACATCCAAAATAAAAGGCCCAATGAAAAGCCATAAGGGCGGAGACGTTTGGGGATCGAATGCGAATTGGGAAAACCTCAGAAGAGACCAAATATGGAATCGAGAACCATCCAACTGACCATGCGACAGCATGAAGGTAAATGGCAACGATTGCGGCTTGGCTTGCGTGGATAGCGGAGGAATCCGATGCAATGGATGTAGATGAACGACCATTCGTCACACCCAGATACGCGCCGACGTAAGTGAGAGTGACAATCTGTAAGGTGATCCCAGTCATAAGGGAGCGACGTCGGCCAATGAAGTCGATTCCGACGACGGAAAAAACCAATGTAGAGACAAACTTGACGATAGCATAAATACCAGTTGCCAGGAAACTGGATTCTTGCCCCTCAATGCCAAGGTAGCCGAAGATTGTGGGGCCTTGATAAGAAGTACGGTTAGCAGCTGGTGGCTTTAAGTACGTGCAAGAGAGTAGGGGAATTTGGGAAATATAAGTGTTAGGACGGATTCTTTTTTCACTTACTGTATTGTGTGATGGCGTTTGCGCCGGACCACTGAGCAAAGAGATGCGCAAAAAACATGAGGAAGAAGCGCCGGCGATTTGTTATCGGACCAAATGTTTCCTTCACCGCATCAATGAAAGATACGCCAGCAACGGCATCGGCTTCATGGCTAAGCTGGGTTTCAATGCCATTGAACTCGTCCTGTACGTATTGGTGGTCCTCTGACATTCCTCGAAGCCTTGCAAGGGTCGTTAAAGCTTCCGACCTTCTGCCTTTGTTCAGAAGAAAGCGAGGGGATTCGGGCGTAAGGAATGACCCAAGACCCCATATTATGGCCGGGATAACTTGGAGTACAGTTGGGAGTTGCCACTGCAGGTTGCTGCCCGCAAAACTTTTCGTTATGCCATAGTTGAAGAAGAAGCCGAAGACGACGCCAAGTTGTTGACAGCATGCGTACTGCAAAGTGACTAAACCTCGAATAGAACTGGGAGAAATCTATACCGCAGCTACGTTAGTTTCCACATAATGGAATGTCTTATGGCTAGTATGGATTCACCTCGGCAAGATAGATAGACGGTAGAATCGTTGTTACGCCTATGCCCATGCCCGCAATAAATCGCGACGCGTATAGCCCGGATAGGTTTCCATTACTAAATGTTTGCCCTAGGACTCCGGCGATATATACGACTGTAAAAATCTGAAAGGCCAACCGCCGACCGAGTATTGTTGTGAGATGAATGCAGAAAATACAGCCGAACACGGCTCCGGCTGTGGCGATCGAGACGATCCAACCCTTTGTATTAGCATATTCTGAGTCGGACTGGCTCGCTAGGCCAAACTTCAACTTAAAGGCCTTCATGACAACAAGCGATGCTATGTTTCCTGAGTATTGGTTAGTAAAGAATGTATATCTGTGGTACTTCCGCGTCGTTACCTTCATCGAACCCCTTCGCAACACCGGAGAAGCTCCATAAGCAAGTACAAACAATTATGTACCAATTAAATATTTCTCGCGGGCTGTTCTTGACATTCGCGACCGTAGTCGCAATGAACGAGGGTTTTGCCATGATAAAAGAGCTGCCCCTGTAAAAACCGCGGTGGGAGTTGTCTGTATCATCACCGGCGAAGAAAGGGTATCCGAGTAGGGTGCGTAGATATATGAAAGGTACTTTGTTAGGATGCACAGATGCTCAAATGGCTCCCCTGAACATACAGGGCTGTTCCAGTCACTTGGTCCGTAACCCCATGGGGTTGTCTTGTGGGGTTCCGGCTAGGCCGTCATCTAGGAACAGAAAGGTTGGCTCGTGAAAGACGCTGGGACTCATTTCGGAAGAGCTTCATGCTTGGTTATCATCTGATGTCTGTGTAAGCCACACCACATTCGAGAATCTGGACTTATTTGGGGATTGGGAACCTCTTTTTTTCGATCTAAACGGGCTAGGGGTATGGGGTGGGGTGTGGGGTGATCGGACACTGACCGAGAGAAGTTCGGACAAATTCCTAAGCAGTGGGACTTCATAACTCTGATATTTGAGCATGCGTACCTAAGTATTGGTGATATTCCATCCCTAATTGGATAAGTCAACATGAACTTTTATCCCGTGCCTCCAACAATTCAAGCAGAAGAATTCGTCCGGATTCCAGACGAATTAAGATGCTTAAACCAAGCGTCGGAATGGCGAGGTGGCTTTGCAAGACAATTCCAATGGATATTCCTCGAAGGACCCGTCGCCGACTTGGAGGGTAATCTTTACGTTGTTGATGTGCCATACGGCAGAGTCCTAAAGGTTGACGTAAATAAAGAAGTTTCTATCTGTGCTCAGTGGGATGGGGAGCCTAATGGCTTGGCTGTGGATAAAGATGGAAACCTTCTTGTTGCAGATTATAAGCAGGTAAGAGAGCTCGCGGCGGGCGGCGAAATATCGAAAGAAATGCTAATTGAATATTATCGAAAGGGTATCTTTTGCCTCGACCCATCAACGGGAAGTGTTACTCCTAGATTAACTAGGAGACATCTCGAACGGTTCAAGGGTCCAAATGATTTAATTGTCGATTCGAGAGGCAACATATTCTTTACGGACCAGGGTCAAACAGGTATGACCGATCAGACGGGTAAAGTGTATAAGATATGTGCCGATGGAAGATTGGAAACTCTGGTTGAAAATGGCGTTTCTCCCAATGGCCTAGTCCTCTCACGGGACGAGCGATTTTTATATGTTGCGATGACGCGAGCAAACCAAGTGTGGCGGCTTCCTCTTCATGAGGACGGTACGGTCACTAAAGCAGGGGTATTCTTCCAATCTTTCGGCAACGCTGGCCCAGAGTAAGTACCTACCTCTATAGACCGTTAAATTGGTTTGTCTCGTGACACGATGCTAACGACGCATAGTGGTCTGGCACTTGATGAAGAAGGGAGTCTTTTCATTTGTCATCCTAGTCTCGCGTCCGTTTTTGTCGTAGATTCGGATGGCGTCCCAAAGGCAAGAATTGTAAGCGGAAGCCAAGGCATAAACTTGACTAATTGCTGCTTTGGCGGACCTGAGAATAAAACATTGTTTATTACGGATAGTCTCGAGGGTATCATACAGAAAGTCGAATGGCACTGTAGGGGCGCGACGAAAAGACCGATAGTTAAGCAGTAACATTTTTTATTGTTGTACCTAATTAAGGTGCGCGAGGCATGGGAAGGCGATACACTATGTGAAAGAGTATAATACTTGACGGGATCCTTCCGAAAGGTGCATAGTGGTGTGAAAATAATTCGAATGGATCGCATTAGTATTATCCTATTCAAGCCCATCAACTCTGAGCTTGTGTTTGGTAAAATTCTAGTACGCGCCTCGCTGCTGTTGTCCCAGTTTCTATCTGTGTTTGCTCCGTGGCAGCTCCTACATGTGGAGTGCTGACCACACCCAACTCCCACAGCTTTTCATATCTTTCTTTGCTTGGCGGTTCTTCTTCGTGACAATCTAGCCCTGCGCCGAATATTAAGCGTTCCCGTAGTGCAATCTCTAGGTCAGACTCATTGACAATGCCTCCACGTGCTGCATTAATAAGTATGGCGTTCCTCTTCATAATCTGGAATTCTGAAAGAGAAATCATATTTCTCGTGTTCTCTGTAAGTGGAACGTGGATTGTGACCACATCGGACACTTTGAGGAGGTCGGGGATTGACGACAAGCGGGTGTGTGATATATCAGACCAAGCATCCAAAGGGAGGAACGGGTCGTACGCGACCACTTCCGCGTCGAACGCGCCTCGGAATATCTGGGCTACTATCTTGCCGATATTACCCATTCCGATGATCCCAACGGTCTTTTGTGAAAGTATCAGGCCGGAGCATGTTTCTTTGGGAACTAGCACGCCTTGCGTCTGTCGCGTGTTGATGCGACCAACTTCTCGCGCAACTGCCATTGTCAAAGACAGCACCATCTCAGCAACAGCCCTAGCGTTCACCCCGGGGGTGTTAAAAATCTCGATCCCTTGCTTGGAGCAGGCCACAGCATCTATTTTTTCTATGCCAACTCCCTGCTTTCCTATAGCAATCAACTTGGGACAAGATTGGATATCCTCTGCTGTTAGACGCGACGATCTAACCAATAGGAAGCGAGCATCCTGGCGCCAATTTGCATGTTCGGGAGTGCCAGGAAGGATAGCGGTGAAATTTTCCTCGCAGTACTTGATGACTTCGGGGTGGAAATTATCGAGTAAGTAAAGAGTAGGCTTTTCTGGAGCCATTTTGAGATGCGATATAAAGGTTTCCCAACAGCGTGTATGATGGAAACTACACAGAATATGGGGCAGGACTGAAATGGTAATACGGTGGACGATGAGAATGAAGTCCTTGAAGCATAAATGTGTCCATTAATGATAGAACGATGTCAATTTGACGTCGTCGAATTCCATGGATTATATGAAACCCCTGTATAATTAGCGTGCAATGGCCCGTGAAAAATGTTGTACATAATACTAGGTAGTTTATGAGTACTCGGCTCCCATCCGATGACTTATCGGACCTGTCCTTGTTTATGTGGTGACCTACAAAAACCAGCATGAGTCTCCTCGGTAGAGGAAATTGACCCCACAGGCACTAGCCTTCTGTCCCATAAAATAAGTTGGAGGGGTGGCTGCATGGGAGTCATCTTCATCGGACCCGACCCGAGCCCTGGCAATGGTGTCGTGGAGAACACATTACGCTTGTACTTGTGATATCGAGATAGCTGTTCAGTATTTGAAGGCAGGGTGTAACTGATAATCTTGGCCTCTTGGTCCATATCCTACCCATTTTTCTTCAAGCATCAATACCGGTAGTCACTAGTTAACGCGTTACCACATTCAATACGATGGCCGTCAGCATCCCTAACTCGTTTCGTGAGAAACTTCTCCGTGGCGAAATTGCTTATACACTCAGCGTGAAATTGGTCAGATCCGTGGAAGTACCAATGATGGCGAAGACGGCGGGGTTCGATGGTCTTCTCGTTGATATGGAACACTCTTCTTTCGACTTGGATACTACTAGCCAGATATGTATCGCAGCGCTTTATGCTGGCATTGCAACGATAGTTCGTGTTCCTAGTAAGGAATCTTCATTCGTTTCGAGAGTATTGGATGGTGGGGCTCTCGGCGTTATCGTTCCTCATATAAGAAGTGTCCAAGATGCCAAAGATGTCGTCAAGGCAGCCAAGTTCCAACCAGTAGGATCCCGATCTTCGACGAATGGACTGCCACACTACCAATTTCGATCTATCCCGGCTAAGAAATCCAATCCGGTTACCAACGCGGCGACATTGGTAATTCCTATGATTGAGACGTTGGAAGCATTGGAACTGGTTGATGAGATCGCAGCCGTGGACGGGGTAGATTCGCTGCTCATCGGAACGAATGATCTCACAGCTGAGATGGGTATTCCTGGGGATTATGAAAACCCTCGGTTGACGGAAGCGTACGAACGGACGATCGCTGCTTGTGCCAAGGTTGGAAAATACGTAGGAATCGGTGGATTACACGCGAGGTTGGATCTTGTCGAGAAGTTCTGTGGGATGGGAGCTAGATGGGTTATGGCTGCTACAGATGGTCCTTTGCTCTTGAACGGAGCTACCAAGGCTGCTGGTGCAATGACGGAAATCAATACGAGAATTACTGGTTTAGGAAAGAAGAATGGAATAAACGGGACAAATGGTGTAAAGAAAGAGGCATGAAATGAAATGGGACTGGACGATTATGCTAATGTTTTCAGGGTGTTGTGGAAGAAGAAGTTGTATTTTCTAAATTCTGGGGCCCCGTGCCCGTGCCGGGGGGCCAAGATCTAGAATTGAGGGTGACTAATCATCTTGATAAATCCATATTATTTAGAAAATAAAGAGCTTAGTAATGTGACTACATTACGTAATATTTATCAAACGCGTATGTATGACCTACCGGAATTTCTAACGTTCTCCCACATCGTTCCATTTCCATTTCTATTTCCATCTCCATTGGTCATGTCCATGTTAATTCTCATTTCCAACCTCTTCTACTCCTCGGCGATTGTCCGACATGTCGTCCGCGTCTGAACGGCGTCGGAAACAAGCCTGCGAACGATGTTGGAAACGGAAACAGAAATGTGACAAATTGCGACCGAGATGTACAGCGTGTGCTGAGCTCGAAATTGAATGTACCGAACGGCAATGGAGCTTTGACGCTGTTTCTGAAGATACAGGCGTCACACACGCGTCCGTTGTTAGGTAATACCTGCTAAGCCATGGAAACTCCGCATGAATTGATTGCTAAGCCATACGTAGTTATATAGAATCTCTAAAGGAGAATATAGATCGTCTTGAGCATGGACGAGTTGACAAGCGTCGTCGTACCTCCAGTACTATTGCGGCCGATGTCTCCCTAGAAGTAGGATGGGCACGACAAAATTCCGAGCACGATGCGAATGATCAGAGGGGTCATAACTCCGCCCAAGAGTCGACCATTCGGGATACCATGGGCGGTATTGGTCTCTTGTCTCGTTCTGCTATGGCGGAGCCTCACGATGAATCTGAGAGACTACCCCGGAATCTGCGAACTGATAACATTCTTATGGCTGCCTTGGCATTAGACGGACCGGATCCGACAGCTGCTTCGCTTTCCGACGCTCGTCGACTGGGTCTGATGGTTGATTTTCAACCCATGTCACTCCGACGAGACGCAACAATTGGTTACTTGGATCGCTTTGTCGACCAGGTATGCTTCAAATATCCCTTCTTAAGTAGTAAAAGCCTGCGGGCGCAATACGACTCTGTTGTGGATAGCTCCAATCACCCAGATGGTAGTCTAGGCAATGCTTCCCTTTCTATATTCAACTCATGTCTTGCCGTCGCCATCGGCGCTTCCGTTTCACCTGAGTCGACGAGTCTTATGCCGCTCATCAATAGCTTGCATTGCTCTGCCATAAAGCAACTACCCTCCATATCGAAAACCCTAGGCGGATTAGTATTCATACACTGCGTACTATTCTTGGCTATCTTTTCGATGTATAGCCCAAATGGCGGCTCAACTTGGCACCTCGTGGGATTGGCCGTGAAAAAATGTATATCTTCGGGTCTCCATAAGGAACAAGAACCTCAACCATCGATCTCACCAAATGCTGTCAATTATAGGCGAGCACTATTCTGGAGCGCTTATCTTATTGACCGGTGTGTTGCAATTCAGAACACTTTTAAATTTACGAACCACTCCCCTGCTAACACGCTTTATGAAGATTAACAAGTTTAGCATTGGATAGGCCTTTCAGCATCCAAGATGATGACATCACAGTTCAGGTAACTTGATTAGACTGACGTCTCGTTGGTGTGCGATTAACCGTGGATCTAGGAACCTAGGGAACGGTACTTACAATCTTCTCCTTACGAACACACCGTGGGCCGTCACCTCATCGTACACGCACGGCTTATATCTAATTTTCGTACCCATTCGCATTCTGGTCCTCTATCCGACTATGGGAACCTATGTTTTTGGAGGGACTTGCCGTCAGACCTAAGAAATTTCTCTACGTCACACCTCCCATTATCCGATTATCTCGACCAACTTACTACCATTGCTTTTGTTAATATTATGTTGAACGACATTCCAGTGGATGATGGCGTCGGACTCTTAACGGTTACTTCTAACGACATCAGGAGGGATGCCATGAGCACTTGCAAACAATTTATCGATAGAAGTTACGAGCGCTTGCATATAGAACGTTGTGGAGGCTCGTTTCTTGATGCGCTCGACGTTTTCTCGGCTAGTACCATGTTCGTCTATCTAACTTGCCGTCTTAATGCTGAACACGGAATCCCAGAAGCGATGGAAGCCATACACATGTCTTCAACGATCATCACGGCCATTAGCGAAAGGTTTAATACTCTCAAGACATTCCAAGCGATACTTCTCTCCATTTCAATCCATTTGATGAAGGGAAACCGCCATAATCCGAACGCTCGATTGTTCCCGAACGTCATATCTCCTCCATATCCAATAGTTCCGCCTCGTCTAGACATCAAAGTAGACGTACCCTCAACAATTCCTGAATGCCTTCGACGATTGGTTGCTAAAATGTTTGAAATATCATGATACGGTTTTATGACTCATATATGAACGATACTGCCGGCTTAGCGACGCATTTCATCATTATCTATGAACATTTATGAAGGGCTGAAGCCAAAACCACTTCCGTTAACTACACCATGGAGTTCAGCCAAGTCGCCATAAACGTAATTACCTAGTCCGACACTCCATAACGCATCATCGCCTAAAAATCCCCAATGCAACGGATCGTTATGAATGCGGGCTCCCTCCGATGATACAAAGTTGCTTGTTCCTTGGTGGGGAGGCAGGTTGGATCCGAGTGCGCTTGATTGACCCAAAGCATGATGTAAACCTATCTCACGGCTATGGAATTCCAAGTCGCTAAATACCGGCCTTTCCCAACTACCAGAGTAAGGCCAAGGCGACCGAGCCTGGTTCCGGACTTGAGCTAGTTCAGGATGACCTGTTAATACCGCCCCGGTATTCGACCAATCATCATATATTATCTGATTATCGCGATCCGGATCAGGAAAGACGTGTAAGCAAACCGCCTTAAAGAACTGAACGTAATGCCTAGCATCGAGCATCTGACTTGACATTTGTGTAACAGTTCTCTCGCAACATGCTAGGGCGGTACGGCTCTCCTGCACGAGTAACGAGTCTAAATCCGATGAGGCGGAGATACAGAATAAGACAGAAAGCCCCGCTGTAAACATCATATGAAAATAGCTTCTAGTGTACGTGACCATGGATTGTTGGAACAACTCGGAGTATAGCAAAATGGTACGAATCGCGCATTTCAGGCATAATAGCACTATGTGTTTGGGTGGGAGACCGTTCTTCTTCGGGGCCAAGTCGACAGCTTTGCGGACAAGCTGGAGCGTTTCTCTGGCCTGTAGTAGGTCGTACCACTGGTATCTCTCAAACAAGCAACGAGGACGATTGAATATGGGCGCAGAATTGCGCCATTGTTCGAGCTCTTTTGTTATGCGCTCCAGGACAGCATATACTCGCCCCGCAGCTAAAAAGGGAGGTTCGTTATCTGCCGCGACAGGGCTCGAGCTTATTTTTAGAAGTAGGGATGCTTCGTCGTGGATCTGAGAAGTGATTTTTCTTAGACGCACGCAAGCGTGCAAGACGCTCATCTCGTTAGGGCGTGTTGGAATATGCTGACTGCAAAACGAATCCAAATCCGTAACAGACGGCGTCGCAGCAATTATCTCGTCATCGCTCGCCTCTACTGGCAATCCCACCGAGACGTCCTGATCCGCTATAGCAAAAGGCCTATTCAATGTGGTTGAGCTATATCTGTCTGTTACGTAGCAGACCCAAAAGATCCTACGCCGAAGTTGCTCGTCGAGAAGAGCCAATGGCTTTCTACTTTTTCTCTCTAGCTCCTGTTCGATACATAATCGCATACATAGCCGTATAATCTCCCAGATCGAGGTTCCTAGCGCACCGATATTAGCTGGGATGACTTACAACGCAAGGAACCAGGCATACCTATATGATAATAAATACCAAATCGGCATATCAACAAGAGATTCTGGATAGCTTCTAGCCCATCGGACAAGAAGAATGGATCAAAGTACTGCATGGCTGTAAGGTAGTAACCAAACGGATGCTGCGAATATGTTTTATTCCGATGGGGTATTACCGAACCATTCGCTAGTATCATAAAGGTACGAAACATATCACGGTTACTGGGTGTTGTCATCGCGGTATTATCTTCAAAAACACGAGCGAAAAGACCATGGATATCTTGCCGAAGCAAAAAGGGATTTTGCACCTGAGGTCCTTTGAGGCTAGTTATCCTGTTAGCGTTTCAAAGAACAATCGGGACTACACACTCGAACATCACGACTCACTAACTATCAAACAAATAGCGGGCATCCTCCAACGAAGGAAGTTGGTTTGGTTCAGCTGCCGGCTCGGCTGCCCTTGTCGCGTCCGCCAATTGCCGCAATAAAGCCGCATTACTCTTCCTCCATTCTGCATCTGTGAACAAGAGCGTCATAAAGCTGTCACTAGTCAGAATTGAAAATACATCGAGACAACGAGGTCTTATAAATAAGGTACCTTAATCCATCTCCTTGTAATATTGTGGATGGTGTTTCGACTGGTTCTGCTTGCTCCAAGTTCTGTGATGTCGTTCTAGTCGAATCAGAGACGGCATCGTCCTCACAATCCGATACATCAACGGTATAGGCCAGGTACTGTTGCTGTCTCTGCTCTAATTCATGTATGTACCTGCAACCGATAGCCCAAGCGCGATTAGTATGTTGGCAAACAGGCGTCGAGCTATATCTCGGACTTGGACTAACTCTCTAGAAATAGGGGGCCCTCCATTAGGATCTAGAATGACACAATCGATGCCATTCTTTGAACAAGGGCCACATTTAGGCCTTCTACTATCACACTGAAGTGTGTCAGCATCAAACCGGTGAGCCCCCCGAATTACATTTATCACAACGTACCTTCACTTTTCGGCTGTAACATACTTGGCAAGCCGGAAGCCGAGGAAGACCCGCAGTGTTCGCATTCATCCTCTTTGCTCGTCCTATATATCACACTCGCAAGAAATCGTATTCAACATGCGGACCATCAACGTAATCATTCATGTAAGAACTTTAGGAAGCACTAATGGCTAGACTCGGATTCTATTTTCCCCATGAATGGATGGGACTTCTCCACGCTACACCCTAGCTACTAAACCCCGCTGTCAGTGCGGGGCTCGGGAAATGTCCGACGAACTCGAACGCATCCTCGGCTCGAATCCGAAATCACGAATCCGGGGTTAACATGCTTGAGCACAGTAGGGTATAAACACCCCAGAATGCGCAGTGGTAGTTTATCTTGCAGGAGCCAAGCCTACGACCCCACAGGAGAGAATCCAATTAAAGTCGATAAAAAGGCAATACATACCCTCTATAGGAAATCCCCGCGACCGCTCGGGTCGTCGAGTTTCATTCAGATTGTGGGGATTGTGGGGATCCTGGGGTTGATTGTAACCTTGGAAGATGGTGTATCGCTATTCAGTGATGATCCTCACGGGATCGTTTACCTGAACTTTGGGAACCAAGACGAGCTATCATCGCAGGGTAAGATATGGCATTGACCGTAAAGGTCAGTTTGACGTGTCTGTTTGGTAGTATCTTGACGATATAAATAAATGCGGATCCCACGTAAGACGGCGTAACTTGTAGTTCCCATTGATCAACTGCACAACACAACTTATACTGCCTAATCCAACCATGGCTACACTTAGGCCTAAATCTCCGGGGAGTGTTAAGTCGAAAGGAGCCACCACTGAGCTCGTCGAAGATGCTCCATTACATGACCCGTATCTTGAACAATGGCCTCTACTTAGAGAGAAGAGCCCCGAGGAGTTAGCAGCTCTCGATAAAGCTGTCGTGAAAAAGTTGGACTGGAGATTTCTGCCATGCATGACAGCAATGCTACTCATGAAGTATGTTTATTAACCTTACCTAAGAAGCATCCAACTAGTCTTAACTAATCCTCCATAGTTATCTAGACCGTATTAACGTATCTAACGCTCGACTAGCGGGAATGCAACGTGATTTGAACATGACGGATGAGCAATGGTCAACTGGTATATCAATGTTTTATGTGGGATACATCATCTCCCAGGTGAGTGATCAAGGGTTTCCCTTTCTACCACTTCAATAGCAAGTCGTCCAATGTCATACTCACCCAGGCATACCGTACCTAGACATGAAGTTGTATGATCCCAGCTAATTCATGACGCTATCCAGCTACCGGCCAATATTATCCTGGCTAAGGGAAATCCTAGAATCTTGATGCCAGTGTGTATGCTGTCCTGGTCCGCTGTGACTATATGCATGCCGGCTCTAAGGTCAGGGTGGGCCTTCATATTTACGCGATTCCTTGCCGGATTGACTGAAGGTCCTTTCATCCCCGCAGTATCCCTTCTAACTAGTTCTTGGTATACAAAAAACGAGACCCCGCTTCGAATGGGTATATGGCACGCTGGGAACGTTATATCAAATATCGTTTCTAGTATGTTGGCGGCTGCCATTTTGACGAATATGAATGGCATCGGGAACTTGTCAGCATGGCAGGTGGGTACCCAATATCCCCGACTAAGTAATCCCTATCGTTATGTATTTGATCGCTTACTAGACGTCATGTAGTGGTTCTTGTTGATCGAAGGGGTGGTTAGTATTCTAATTGCCCTCATATCCTTTTGGCTCATTCCAAAGTGGCCTTCCAATACTGGAACATATTTCTTTACTACGGAGGAGTCGGAAATGGCACAATATCGACAGCAGGTGTCAACCGGCGGGGTATGTGAAGATGATGAGGGAGGATACTGGAGTGGCTTAGCACTGGCTGTGAAAGATCCCTTTACGTGGATGTTCGCATTACTGCACTTTGCTATTATCATAGGGCAGTCATTCAAAGACTTCTTCCCATCTGTACGGATTATAGCCAAGCCCCCGGGTTGAGCATCGCTAACTTAATATTTAGATCGTCGATACCTTTGGGTTCTCTAAGATAGGGACCTACCTTCTACAGGCACCCCCTTATCTATTCGGATACATTTTTACTCTCGTGATCGCTTGGTCTAGCGGCCGCATGCTTGAATATACATGGCATATTGCCGGTAGCATGGCCATGACTCTAGTCGGAGCTATCATCCTGATATCTACCCTTGAAACGGGGCCAAGATTCTTCGGCCTCTTTCTATTGTGCAGCGGTCCATTCGCTGCGCTCAATCTGCATATATCGTGGGAGACCACAGTACTTCCGCGGCCACGCACAAAGAGAGCTGCTGTCGTAGCTATAGCCAATGCAGCGAGTAGTATTAGTCATTGGTTCACCCCATATTTTTACCTAACTTCTCAAGAGCCTAGATATGAGACTGGTGGTGGTTGTATTATGGCTGGTTGCGGGCTTTCTATCATCATGTGTTTTGTTATCAAGTGGTGGTGCACACGGAAGAATAAGGCGTTAAAAACGAGAGAAATCGAGACAGGGGAGGCGGTAAATTGGTGGTTTGTAAGTTAAAAGGACCACTTAAGATCTTTCTAAACGTCCTCCTTTTCCAGTGTGTACCTAGTCGCGTACTTAGGTATTCAACTACTCCTTAGGACTCAGTTGCGCTCTGATTATGTGGCGGTGGTCCTTGAAATGAGTGAACTTTGGATAAGCGGAACATGTAGTTACCTGTAGATACATTGGCTGCTCCCGACTGGACAGGCTATGCATTCAATAACCAGCGATCGTGAAGGGGATTGAATAGCGGATGTACCAACACGTTTAGTTCCGTTCGTTATCGCATCTAAGTATATACGTAAGTGAGGCGGGTACCTAATGGATGAAGAATTGATCGTCATAGTTGGCCAAGGGCTACCAGGCTACCTAGGTATCTACGGTTAGTCCTATCCGTGGTGGGTGTCACAGGGTGGGGTGAATCCCATTTCCGACGGTGCGACAACGACCCGGTGGCTTAAAAGATGCAGGGTTATCAAACAACTAGGCCTCTCTAGCGTTATCGTAGAAACTGAATAAAGAATACCTAGATATTACTTTGCGGCTGGTTTAGGTGACCTGAGACAAAGGGCGCAGCCCTTGGGAGCATATACCCCCATATACACCTAAGAAGTAGGGAGTTGAAAACGAGTTTTTGAAGCGGCGATAGGTTGGTGATCTCCACATCACCGTATTATTAGTTATGTAAGGGAAGGTGTAATTACCTAGGTATTTTGTAGTATAAAGCTCGCAATACGCTACAATCGGAATCTTTCTATGGTCCATTTCGACTTTCGTGAAAATATGTCCTTGGTCTGAAAAAGCATTCGGTTTTTTCAGGACTGAGAAGGGGCTTCGGAGCTCGGAGATACTTGTGGTCCAATCTCTCGTTGTTACACATACACAACTAAATTACATCTTGCTTTCAGTGGTCGGACATTACATCCTGGTTCTGTTCTAAGGGCTGCGCCGCTGTGCCCCTCTCCACACTCAAGTTTCCTCACTTCAAAGAATTAAAGAACCACCGCGATGACGGAAACGATAGAGCCCAAGGCGACGGTGGAAACGGGACGGCGCGATGGGAATGCTGATGCGCTTCGGCAACCCATCGACATTGACCAGCCTGCCGTTCCGCCGAAGGATGGTTTATTGGCGTGGATACAGGCATTGGGGGCTTTTGTCTTGAATCTTAATACATGGGGCTTGATGAATTCGTACGGCGCCTTCCAGACCTTCTACCAATTAGGGATGCTGAGTGACCATTCGTCGTCGAGCATTGCCTGGATCGGATCGACTCAATCCTTCTTCCTCTTTTTCATATCCCTAGCCTCAGGGCCCCTTTTCGATGCAGGCTACCTTCGCTGGCTTCTCTGGATCGGCTCTTTTCTATTGGTGGTAGGCATGTTTCTTACCAGCGTCACACCAGCCTACTGGCAGGTCTTCCTCACACAGGCCCTGATAACTGGCCTCGGCTTGGGTTGTCTATATCTCCCTGCACCAGCTGTGGTTTCTCAGCATTTTCATGCGAGAACCGCGCTGGCTATGGGTACTTCTTCTACTGGCAGCGCGATAGGTACGTTACGATGCGCCCCACTGTGGCTTTGGCGATAGGCGTCCGAGATGAGATACACATTCATTTTCCGCTGCTAATTTGATAGGTGGCATCATCTACCCTATTATCTTCAACCAGTTACAGCCCCAAGTAGGATTTGGCTGGGCGACACGTACATTGGCCTTTGTCCTCCTAGCAACCTCTACAATTCCGGTCTTCCTCATGAAGGCTAATGCCCCACCCCGGCCAACTCGAAGTCTTCTCGACCAGTCAGCTCTCAAAGACTTGCCATACATCGTTTTTAATTGTGGCCTTTTATTCGGCATCATGGGCTTCTACATCGTAATGAACTACGTCGAACTGTTGGCCTTAGCGAGGACCAACACCACGCCAAATTTGTCAGGCTATTTGCTAGTAATCATCAATGCTGCTTCGCTACCTGGGCGACTCGTACCAGGTTATTACGCAGATCAGATTGGTAGCATTAATGTGCAGACGGCTGTGGCGTTTTTAGGCGCAGTGTTAACATTCTGCCTGCTCGCAATCGATACCTCAGCTGCCTTGGTTGCCTTTAGTGTGTTATACGGCTTTATGACTGGTGCCTTCATGGGGCTACCCGCCGCCGGTATCATGAGCCTCTCGGTCGATAAAAGTAAAATTGGTACGCGTCTTGGTATGACGCTATCATTTGTAGGGTTTGGATTGCTTGTTAGTAATCCCATAGCCGGCGCTATTTTGGGAAACGAAGGGAACTGGGTTGGGTTGATCGTGTGGTGTGGTGCATTATTATTGGCTTCTGGTGTATGTCTTGCGACAAGCCGAATTCTCAAGGTCGGACCAGGATTAACTAAAACGATATGACTATGAACATCCATTTAGAGATGGTTAGAGATGGCCGTCCAGTATCATAAGGACTTTCAGATCGCGGAGTGTAAAGTTTCGGAGGACATTCTTACTTTATGATTACTTAGGTTAGTATTAAATTTTTATGTTTATACAAACTAAATTCACGAAACACCCCAAAAATGGTCCTCTAATAGCATAATAATTCGTTGGATGAAAGCAAGTTATCGGATTAGGGTTGGTGCCTCTTATGGTGTCTCAGAAAGATGCAGTTACGCTGGAACATCAGGCGTATTGACAGTACCAACCCCCCAGTTCCTCCCGCCATCGACCAAGATACCTAAGTATTAGATGTTTAAGCCACATCTCCCTTTGCTCATTCCTTCTTCGCGGCCGCGGCGCCCTCCTGGTCGTAAGCTTGGACCTCGACTTCAATGTGCATAGTGTCGAGACCAAGCTTCGCGACGCCAATCGTCGTCCAAGTTGGCTCGTGGTTGGGCATCCAGCGTCGGAAATTCTCGACGATGCGGTTATGAACAGCTTGGATATCGGTGCAGTACGTGGTCACTCGGTATACCTGGGACCAGCCTTTACCTCCAGCGTACTTCAAGGCGTAGTCGACGTTCTCGAAAGCTTGGTCAACTTCTTCGAGTAGGTTCGGCTTGACTTCAACGGTAGAGGGATCCCAGCCACCTGCAAATTGTTAATAGGTTTCAATACCGAACGCTAAGTGTAAGTGTAGAAAATTCCGTTTGTACCTTGACCTGAGAGGTGGATGACGTCTCCTACTCGAACTGCTTGGCTGTAGTGCATGGTCTCGCGACCCCAATCGCCGGCTCCCGGATACGAGTAATACTGCAAGTTTGACATTGTGATATAGTAGTTTGTATGTTCGGACTATAGAGTTTTGATTGATTGTGATCGATTGTTTGATTTCCACGAGTTGGGGTCTCGGTTGTCCTTTATTTATATCATACCTACCTCCCTAGGGGGTATGTAGGTATTTTCTGATCTTGAATGTCAACGACCCAATTCCCTCCAGCTGACAAATTCGTGAATTTTCCGATTTCATTTTGATGCTTATAAATTAGATCGAACAGTTTCTCTACATAAGGTATTTGTAAGTCACTCAAGCTCCGGGACGTCTCTGTTGTAATTACTGATTTAGCTCCGAGACCCTCCGGCGATGAAGTTGAAGCGGGATGAGTAGTAGGCCGATTTAGGTAACCGACCCACGGAACGACAAAGTGATGTAAGCCGCCCCATAACAACGATTGAAATAGGTTAAGTCAAACTTCTAGCGTAACCCTAAAGAGCTTGTCAAGAGCCGTCTTGACAAGCTCTTTAAAGTCAAATACGCCGGAAAAAAAAATCGAATAACTTGAACGTGGCACTCTCAAAATTATGGAGAATTACCCCTTATCTGGAACATCCCTAATTATCCCCTCCGAAATGGTTTGATTAGCAAAACAGCATAAAGTTGTGTTACTTGCATAAAACTAATTATCTGTGATTGCTCCCAGTAAGGGAGGTATCTGGTTAGGCGGGTTGCCGAATTTTATGGACCCTCCCATTGCCGATAGAAACATTGAATGGGCTCGGTCCGAGACACGTGGAAAAAGACACTTGTGAGTTGCAACATAATAGTACCCCCCACTTTATAATCGACATCGCGACAACTAACACAATTCATGCTGCAGGCTATGAAATTAATTTGGTAGTACAAATATGCAAGGATGGATTGGTATTTTACTAGTTAAGGCCTTAGAATTAACAGTGAAGAAAAAAAGGCTCGCTGAATGTATTAGGTGCTCGTCGAACACATTGTTGCACAAGCAGCAGGGAAAGCTCGCTCGCAGCCTATCATCATAGGGTCCAAGACCCGCCCCCGCCCCCGCTTTACAATTGAGATCGTGCAGTACTGCCTCACTGCCTAGGCAGGCTGGCAGGTAGGAGTAAGTGATGAAATTCAATCATCGTCGACTTTTAATACCATCTTCCCGAACTTTTCCCCTCGCAACATGCGAACGAATGCTTCTGGTGCGTTTGAAATTCCTACAACCACTTCCTCTTTAGTCTTGATTTTCCCTTGGCAAATCCAAGAAATCATGTCGGTACCGAATGAAGCCAAATACTTCTCCATGTTATGTGGGTCGGAGCAGACGAAGCCATAGATCGTAAGGCGTTTCAAAAAGATATTCATGCCTGTTCTAATGCCGTATTTTTCCTCTACGGGACGATTGCATTGCGAAACCATACCGCTTGATACTACGAAAATTCATTAGCTCGCGACCCCTTCCCTCAAACAACCTCAACACCCATGAGTAATGGAGTTTCTTCTTACCGATGGTACCGTAGTCCTTCATAGCTACTAGTGCGGTCTCGAACTGCTCGCCTCCGACATTGTCATAGTATATATCCAATGCTTCGGGCGCTAGCCTTTGCAATGCGGCTGCAGTCGTTTCCGTTTTATAATTCCACGCGGCGTCGAATCCAAGCTCTTTAATTAAGAAACCAACCTTTTCGGCACTTCCGGTACTCCCGATTACCTTCATACCGTTCATCTTAGCGAGCTGGCCTATTATTTGACCTACACCGCCGCTGGCTGCGGAGATCCAGATGGTTTTTCCTCTTCGGGGTTCATGTATAAATTCAAAGAAACTGACGTAAGCTGACAGACCCGGCACACCAAGCGTACTGATTAACTTCGATGGGGCGATTTCCATCCCTGGCTGTGGTGGTGGTAGGACACGGGCCATTTCCGTTAAGTCTGCTGTTACGGCAGCATACTTTGCCGCATTAGCCATAGCTATAACAACGTCACCAGATTTGAAGCGCGGGTTGTCTGATTTAAGTACGGTCGAAAGAGTAGTGAGTACGGCAGGTTCCCCTTCCACCCAAGGCATGGAGTAGGTCCCCATGTCGGTTGGCAATCGGATTTGGCCGCGTTGATAAGGATCAAGTGATAGATATCTGTTCATGATAATGATACCACCGGGAGGCGGGTCGGCTTCTAAGTCAAATAGACGAGACCCAGTGGCAAGGTGTTCACCAGGCACGGGGAAGTATGCAGTGAATCGTTTATAAATGAGGGTTTCGTTGTTATGCATGATGGATAAAATTCGCGGAACTGAGAAAAGAGAAAGCGACACCGTAGAACAACGGTATCCTACCTATATAACTGATTGAACAACCCAGGCAGTTGGACGATGAATCAAATGCCTGTTAGGAGGGCACCTATAATGAAAAATTATTAAAGTGGCTGCTTATGTCTCAGTACCAAGTGTCTCACAAAGGCTTGTGTAACACGAGCAGCCGGTGCGAATAACTAGGATTATGAATGGCGTTGAATCATCACGGCAGGCAACATACCGAGTTCCAGAAAACGGAAGCGATTTCTATCCAAGGCTATAGGACTTGCTACAGGCAGAAGTTAATAATAATAGTAAATACATAAGGCGTGTAAATACCTACCTAGGTAGGTGGAAATAAACGGAGGGCTTGACTATTTATCCACGTAGCTCTCGATAATCCACCTATGTAGGTATTTTACACCGGTTGGAAATCTTTACTTCGATCCATTTAAGAGAAACGTTCCACAGAGTTCATTAAATCTTTCCCGCTGTTCCCAATGGGTCATGTGACTAGCATTGCTGATTGTGACCCATTTGACCTTGGTAATACTCCTAAACCATGGCTCAATGCAGAGATCCATGGCCTCATCTTGATCACCGTTAATAAGCAGGGCGTCAACTTCAATGTTATGTGCCTCTTTCCACGGCTCCCAGTCTTTGAAACTCCCGATGATTGTGAACTCCGAAGGTCCTTGCCTAAAAAACCCAGTTAGCTTCCTCTATCCCTGTAATAGTCTTGGTCCTATGCATAGATACTTACATTGTAAGATAGGCAGTTGGGTCTTCCTTCAAGTGGGCGAATCCGGCTTGGACAGGCTCGGGGAATGGGTCGAGTTTGCAGAAGTGGCGAGCGTAGAATACGGCACTCGCTTTCTGGAATTCTTCGCTTTCGTAGTCACCTTTACGTTCGCATTCCTCGATGACATGACGCACGTCTGGTGGAAGTTGAGAAAGGAGATACTTACAGCCCTCAGAATATAAAGGCATGCTTGCAGGTCCACCAGCAATGATAAGTTTTCTTAGACCCTTCGGTCGGCGTGAAGCGTAAGCGCCGGCAAGGATGCCACCCCAGCTTTGGCCAAGGACGGAAAACCCGACGTCTCGCAATTGTAGATGGTCGACGAGATTATCAAGGTCAGCAATGAAAAGATCCATTGTCCAGAACGACTCGTCGCCGGCTTTCTCTTGGAAGTGGGTGGAACGACCGCATCCGACTTGATCATACAACACGATTGGAAGCTTGTGTTTTTCGTATAAATCAACTAATGTGATCATGTACTCATGGCCAGCACCAGGACCACCATGCAAAACAATTAGAGGTGGCGAATCTAGATTTCCGACGACCTTGTACCATGTCTTAGAAGGCTTTGACGCCCCTGGTGCTTGGAAATCTGCTTCGCCTTCGTGCGTTGGAGGACCGTCCATGTTGAAAACTTGGTAGTAGTGTTGACGTGGGGGATGAAATAGCGAATTATCGTATGAAACTAAGATATAACATCTGTCGAAAGTTGCTATTGTTAAAAAAGGCCAAGTAGACGCGGGGAATGTCAATAGCCCGGACCCCCAAATCAGTTATTTATAGAGCGCGGGGCTGCGCGAAGCCGTATTTTGGATTAATGTACAAATAAAGGCCTACCTTGCAGTCTGATCGTTACACAAATTTCCACGTACTGTGTCACAACATGAATGAAATGGATTCCTCCCCTCTCTGCCACTTCCAACCCGGATACTGCGGCTACACCCCTCGTATGCATTATCTAGCACCAACACCTTGTTATTCGCTCACTTATCACCAGTGCCAGCCCTGTAAAATGGTCCAGGCCTGAAACTAAACTTTCCGGATTTCAGCGCTCTCGCGCGCGCCCACCCATCCAAGGTGTCCCATTTAACGCAATTCGTTGTAGGATCTAACCTCAACTCCTTTCCTCCCAAAAAGTTGTTCTCGTCTACCCACTCCGCTGTGTTGACCTGTACGTTTGCATGGCACATTAATGCCTGCCGAAGCACACTGATACAGTGATCTATACCAGTTCATGTTAATAATTTGTTGTGCGTCTAGTGGATACCAGAAGAATAGACGGCACTGACCAGAATGCTCTTTGCCAAATGCCTCCTCATTGCCGGAACTCATAATCTGTGGCCCATAGTGATCCCAATGAACCACCTTGCGGAGATTATTGAGGCAATGGAGATAATGGAAGACACCTAAAGCAGCGAAATAATCACCATGATCGACTTGAACTCTATTGGTAACGTTGAGTTCAAGTTTACTCATTTCGTCCCCGGAGACGCGTATGTTCAGAGCTGCAGAGTGAGTGAGATTTATTGTGGCATGTGTTTATCGTAGTACGGACCATATAGTAGATCTTCCCATGCCGAGTCCAGCACAGTGGAAGGTGGTTGGTTCCATGGATATTGGGGCGGGACCCACTCCTTTCGTTCTTCAAACTGCAAGACATCTCTCAGAATCGCTAGCTCACGTCAGAACAGGTTCCACTCAAGGGTAAATTGAGGAGTCTTCGAACAGAGACGACTGGTTTCTTGTTTAGGGTGTTTGCATTGGCCCGAGTTGAGGATGACAAACGTTAATCCAACTACAACGTATAGTAGGCATAGTAAAATGCTGATTGGGAGTAAATTTCTGTAAGACGATCTCCCTATCTCGCGGAATGAAATTGCTGCGGCCTTATCCTTTCTGATTTCCTCGTCTGTGTGTGCAGCAAGTAAGGGACTGAGGGATTCCTCGGAAAGTTCGCCCATGTTTACGTCAATAAGTGACCTTGTCGTAGGGCTTTAATGATAAGTTGGCAATACGAGCTACCTACCTAGGTAAGAGAGCAGAGATCAGTGGCACGGAAAAGCGAATAAATAGACTTTTCATGTCGGTTGCCAAGAAAAGACTGACTCTTACTAGTTGGACACCAAAGGGCGAAGATAGGAAACGACAACTCCCTCTAATGGCTGAGGGTAACACAGGTATTTAGCTCGGTATGTTTCGGCGGTAGCACAAAGGTGTAGGTCTTCAAGGCTTTGCATACGTCCTGATCCTACTAAAGTACGTGGCAAGATGAAAGTCTCGGTTACTGATCCGCTCACTGCAGTTCGGCGATGTAATGGTGGGAAGGTAATATGATACAAAAGGCGTGGCCCCTGCTTGTTTTGCTTAGTTAGGGCTGCCTGGTTTCTATCTTTAATCGCGACCTAGTCCCCAATCGAAGAATTCAACCAAAAAAGAAAAAAATAATAACGATGCTACCCACTCCTAAATTCGCCATCTGGCTGTTGATAAGCGCGCTAGCAACCACGCTGGCTTTGGGTATGCTACGTCCTCGTCCTATGATATAACACTTTTCAGAATGGCTGATACCTTTCAGGCGTGCCAAACACGGTTCAGTATCCCAATATCAGAGATGTGGATGCTGTATTCATCAAGGATGCCCCCATCGTGGTTGAATCAGAGGAATAAGACGGCTAAGATTATTTGGTTCATGCTATGAGGAACAGCTGCAGTGCCGATAGGATCTTTATTGTTCTATGATGCGAGCCTGTGATCTGGAAAGAAGTGGATGATGGAAATCTACACATTCGACTATATAACGTACCTATTTAGGTAGTACATAGCGCGACACTATATGATAAGATCCACTTGAAACGAATGATAAGTGAAATGCGAGTATCTCGCTCTAAGAAACTCGAATGAGAGGTCCAAGTGTGACAAGATACTATATTTCCTGAAATTCACGCTCCCTAATGATCGTATGTCCATGTATCCCCTACGTTTAGGCCACTCTGAATGTATGGGCCCGTTATGACTTCATCTTTCCCAAGTAAAACCGTACCTCTCGGCGTTTGGAAGGGATTGGGTGCCATGTCCGTCTTGTGACACTGCAATATCCGTTGTTATTTCGACGTAATTGCCTCCCTCATGATTTTGGGAGGCCTTTGTTTCTCTAGTTGATTGGCTTCGTTCGATCTTTTCGCGAGAGAGCTTGATGAGTGGAAACTGCGTCGTGAAATTTATATCAGTATTAGCCGCCATTAGACCACTTTGTAATGACAGGAGGAGAGGCCGGAAATAGACAATACAGGTGGCCGAGAAGCTGGTGAATTGGACTAATTGGGAAGATAAATAGTAGGGAAATGACAGCAACGTGTAGTCGTCCTTCAATATGCCAGGTAGATAGACCAGCTGGCAAATTGTCGCCGCTATTGCACTTTTTTGGTTAGGACGCATCTTAGGTCGATAGAGGGGGATAGAACGAACAGGATTCTTGCTACGTAAAAGGAGATGAGAATCACTCGAAAAGTGATGGCCATATACAGGGGAGATATAATCAATATCGGGATAACAATAAGGGCGAAGTCGATTATCAAGCTAGTTATGGCTGCATAAGTAAGGAATTCTCGCTTCTTTTTATTAGTTTGCTAATTTTCCTAGTCAATATTGAACTGGACGAGTCTTACCAGGCCAAAAATGCGGTCGCCATTGTTGGTGTTCCTTGACCAAATATCTGCGTATTGCATTCCCGTCCCAATCATCGAGGTCACCATCCAGAGTAGTATTAAGCAACCAAGGCAATGTGTAATGCGTCGATGAGCCGGGTTTGGAGATAGGGTGATCAGATTTAAGTAAACGGATAGCTTGGAAAACCCAAGACTAAGGGTAAAAAGAAGATCCCGTGCGAGTCCAACCTATTTGTGAATCTTAGCAAGTCATATTGGGCGACTTCTGAGTAAAGGAAGCGCCATACCTTGTTTCCTTCTTTCAGTTCTAGAGAACTTATTAGCGAAAGCTCTTTTCCATAAATTTCGCTCCCTGGTATAACCGAAGTAATCGACTCTCCTAGTGCAAAGACCTTCGTTCAACGTCAAAGGGGTGAGTGCGTTAAATGTTGTATAGGGTAAGCATACAAATGATATTAGGACTAGCAAGTCTTCCCAAGAGAAGGGTATGCCTGCCTTGATGAAACATCGAGTTAATTGCCTGAAGCAGAGCATAAGAGACATAATTGACATGAGTAACCAGGAGATCATTTGGAGTATTGGATTCAGATTCGACCCGGACACTATGATTCGACCATCATTGAGATTGTTGTCTCGAGAAATATACGTGACCATGTTGAGCGTTGGCCAAATTCTAGATACGTAAGCCACGGGCTATCAAATCTTGGGTTCCAGCAGCGCGGGGACAGAGACTTATCCATGAATACCTAGTACCTAGGCGGACAGCCAGAGAGATATGTCGCACAGGTCGCCTGATGTTCGGGGCGAGTAGATTTCGCGTCTCGGCTCAACACACCTGCCTTTGGTATTACTCGTTTCCATTCGGCGCTACACGATTCTAGTAGGGGAGGGAATCCACCCAATCCTTCGACTGTGTAACACTTTTGAGAACCCATTTCGTAAGCATGTGCGATTTAATATCTTGCACTTTGTCGCACAACCCCCAAAATGCAAGCAAATCCATTTTGTGAAACCAACATTCCCGACACTTATGCAGCTAACCTTGATACCTTCCACTTTCGATCCGATTTTGAATCTGAAGTACTTAACGACTCCCTTTGAGTTAGTCCTAGGTAGTACTTCACTCCCCCAAACGTCAATAATTCAGGGAATCGGCTGGGGATCTATTTCAGCCCCTCAACCTTCCCTACTTTTATTAATTTCTAATTAACTGTTTACTGCGCCAGAGAAGTACGGTGCCGCAGAAGCGGTGTATATGATCATGGATTCAAACAACGATGTTGAGCTTCAAATAAGGTCCCCTCACAGTATGCCAACGCGCGCATTGATTCGAAAGCCAGGAAGCCCTCATTCCAATGACGATGAGGTCCTAATCCGACTAGGAAAACGCCCAATATTAAATCGCAGCTTTGGTTTCATGTCAATCCTCGGGCTGTCCTGCTCAGCACTGTGCTCTTGGGAAGGAATACTGGTGACATCTGTCCCAAGTTTCCTGACTGGAGGATCAGCTGCAGTGTTGTGGTCATTCGTGGTCGCCTGGGTAGGAATCGCCTCGGTATATACAGTCATGGCCGAACTATCATCAATGGCTCCCACAGCAGGCGGTCAATGTATGTGAAACCCCGTCTCTATAGATCATATAAGTGATTCCTGAAACTAACTCTTACAGATCACTGGGTAGCAATGATGGCACCGGAGTCCTGCTCGAATTTCTTGACATATCTAACTGCCTGGATGACGACCCTAGCTTGGCAAGCAATGGCGATAACGACTACCTATCTCATTACGACAACTCTCCAGGGAATTATCGTACTAGCACGGCCGAGTTATATACCGCTCCCATGGCACACATTGCTCATTATGTGGGCGTCTATTATGCTTGTTGTGCTGATAAACTCCACAACTGGCCGCTTCCTAGCAAGATTTGAAGGTTTGATACTTATTCTGCATTTGGCGGGATTTTTCGGGATATTGGTGCCTTTGGTTTATTTTTCGCCGCACAATGATCCTTCTTTCGTATTCACCAACTTTTTTGACAACGGGGGTTGGGGGTCTCAGGGGTTGACCTTTTTCGTGGGACTTCCGTCAATCGCTAGCACGTTGATAGGTATGGAAACTTCTATTTCATGGGCTATCAACTCGATCTAAAACATATAGGTGCCGATTGTGCTGTGCACATGTCCGAGGAAATCCAGTCCGCCTCTACCGTGGTTCCACAGGCGATGCTTTATACCATTTTTATAAACGGCGCCCTAGCATCTGCCATGGCAATTGCTCTGATGTTTTGCCTCACCGATATCGACGCCGCAGTAGCAGCAGTGGACAAAATGTTTTACCCTTTCCTGGAAGTATTTCAGTCTGGGGTTAACTCTACTATCGGGGCAGTTCTAATGGCCTCTGTCGTCCTCATACTAGCAACTGCAAGTAGTGTAGGAGTATATGCCTCGGCATCGAGGATGATATGGTCGTTTGCGAGAGACTACGGGTTACCGTTCTCTCACCATCTTGCAAAAGTTATTCTCCCCCAACCATATTATTTCTATGCCGCAAGCTGACCATTCAAAGCTCACGAGGAGGTCTTCGCTTCCAGTCTACGCCGTGTTCTTTACAATGGGAGTTGCGAGCCTCATCTCGCTAATTGTGCTCGGGTCAACTGTCGCTCTCTCGGCTCTTTTGTCCCTAGTTGTGGCAGCTCTATACTCATCTTACCTGCTGGTGTGCCTACTATTCTTATGGCGACGATGCACTGGTGCGTTCAGGCATGCGGAAGACGTAAGTAATCATCGAAGAGGGTTAGTATGGGGGCCATGGAAGCTTCCTGGGCCCCTTGGTGTCCTCAATAACATCTTCGCTTGTCTATACTGTGCAGTCTTGCTCTTTTGGTCATTTTGGCCCCAGGCTATTTCACCGACTCCGGAGAATTTCAATTGGAGTATCCTCATATTCGGCGCCGTAGTTTTGTTCAGTGTCATCTGGTATGTTGTAAGAGCTCGACATCATTTTAAGGGGCCTATCAAGGAAATTTAATTCTTTCCTGATACATATTGGAAATGAATTGGCGATGAATCTTGTATAAGTAAATATGTTTATGGCTTAAAGATTACCCAGTGTTTAAGTTTATCTTACATATAATACCTAGGTGCATTAGGTTATTACTCTATATAATAAAGAAAGGTGCTATAAACTTCTACTTTTAGTATCGCCGAGAGTGACGCTCCGTCTTTTATTGTTGATTGCGTTCTGCGGCCAAAAAATATCAAGGTTTTTTAGACCACTCACCCCACTCCCTTGCTAGGTTACTCGGATCGACACTGTCTTATCCGAGGCCGAGCTGTTGGCGATTGCTATCTCGGATATCCCTGGGTCCCTAGGTACTCGTCTAGGGAACGTCTAAAAGATCATCCTTTATCCAATGTGCATATGACCTCGTTCTCAGAGTTACAAGGGGGTTTTGACAAATTAAACATCCATTCTGAGCGCCCCTACACTGAAAACAACCCTGTACAACTATGTCCCAACTCTTTGATTGGTGGTATGCTTAAAATGCAACAGCTTCGACTGGCTATAGTGGGCCCTGTGTTAGTCCAACCAACCCCTATCTAAATTTGGCAATTGCTTCTCTTAACGTGTGCGAAGTGCTTAGCTCTGCTCTCTTCACTTGGTAACAAGGTGTCTCTCCCTGGGAGTGCAACATACGCGTCTTCTCTAGGATCTTATTACTCCCTCGATAGCTCACATACTACCCCTCTTTGTATCGTCTCTCCGGAGACAGCGGAGGATGTCTCAGCCACAATTCAGACACTAACCACTACAGCAAAAGGCCTCGGATATCCCGAACAGGCTTGCCTATTCGCCATCCGCTCCGGCGGGCACATGAGCCTTGGATCGAGTATCGACGGCGGAGTCGCGATAGATTTACGAGGGCTTGATGTCGTTACCATAAGCGACGACCACTCCGTAGCTTCTATCGGCGTTGGTGCTACCTGGGATGCGGTATATGCTCAGCTTGGTCCGCTTGGACTCTGTGTCAATGGAGGCCGAGCCGCCAACGTCGGTGTTGGGGGATTAACACTCGGCGGTGGCATTTCGTATTCTTCTCCGCAATATGGCTTCACATGTGATTCTGCGTCGAATTTTCAAATTGTCCTTGCTAATGGATCCATTGTCGACGCCAACACTGATCCGGACCTTCTGGTCGCTCTTCGTGGTGGGACCAATAATTTCGGTATCGTAACCAGAATTGACTTCGATACCTTTGAGCAAGGTCAGATATGGGGTGGGGTGATCTACCACCCGAGATCAACGTTGAAGGATCAGATTGATGCATTCATTCAACTCAACTCTGTAGACGCATATGATGAGCATGCGTCACAGATACTTACATTTGCTTATTCGACCATTATGGGTGTACTTCCCGTCAACCTCATCGTCAATGAAATCGAGTACACAAGAGCCGAGGTGAATCCGCCTGTGTTCGAACCTGTTATGAGTCTACCACGCTACTATAGCACAATGCGTTTGACCCAGATAGCCGACCTTGCCCTGGAAGGAGGCGGCGCCCAACCCAAAGGATTGTGGTAAGTATGGACCGTTCACGTAATATTCCATATGGATTGAATTGCTAACCGGAACCTTATATTAGTCAAACATCTGCTGTGCTGACATTCGAATCGACGGCGTCCATGCTCAACGCCACGTATGGCCTCTGGCAGAACAGCCTATCGGAAATCAAGAGCGTATCAAGCATTACTTGGTGTTTATCACTTGAACCTCTGCCCCCAATAATCTACGCGAAAGGTGCGAGTACTAACTCCTTGGGGCTTGGCGGGCGAAAAAATCCCTAGTTGTCATGTTATTGACAGCGAGCTTTAAACGCGTCGCTGATAAGGAGAAAGTAGAGGCCGCATCTCAGAAGTTTATATCCGCAGTAAAGGACGAAGCCCAGAAGCAAAATGCGTATGATCCATGGATTTACCTCAATTATGCAGCTCCATGGCAGGACCCTATCTCTAGCTATGGTGAAGAAAGCCTTAAACGATTCAGAGAGGTTCGTAAGAAAGTTGACCCTTATGGAGTCTTCACCCATGCCGTCCCTGGAGGTTTTAAGATTACCTAGATAGCGGGCACGATATCTAAAGCTATAACTATTTTGAGCTCTAAATTAACCGTTGATGGTTTTTTGTTGCTAGTTAATTAATGTAAATGAGGATTGTTGGCGACATCACAACGGACTTCCACCGATCTTGTAACATCTGACAACTTGATGCCGAATTTTATATATCTCAATAAAATCATTAGGGGTTGTCATGAACGTTTCAAATTTGGGTTTCCATTTGCTCGGTATTTGTTTCATGGGATGCGACCCAAGCAACTCAATGCTTTCCCTTCTCAGCACTTCTGGGGACTCCAGCCTGACATGATGCAAGTCCCATTATCCTCATAGATAATATCGAATGTCTCCCAGTACTGGGTATACTGCTGCACACCTACGTCCCTCTGGCCCGAGTTATGTGTATTCGGACCCCAGGTCCATTGTATCTTTGTGATCATAGTCGGCAGCTGGACCTCTGCGTTGATCCATGCGGATCTCAAGGGATTACTGCCAAAGTACAACGCCTAGAAGAAGTTCGGATAGCACCTGGTCCACCGGCAGTTGCAGATAGCCCCGGGCCGAATTATCCTTGAACAGCGCGGGGCCAAGCTCGAAGGACGCTGGACCCGTCCGACCAAAATCGAAGAAGTGGCTCGCGGGGACGTACACGACTATATTTTCGTGCTGGGTGCCGACGGCCAATTCACGACCTACGAATACCGCCAGGGTCCTTCCCCGCACATCAGCGCCAATGAGACTGCCTTTACCTCTGCTGTGTAGAGATACATCTTATAGACGAACCTGGCAAACCTCATCGAGTTGGGCCTGGATAATCACAGTACTGTCATGATGGATGCCACATGACCAACACCGATGGGAATTACCGAGTTACGGGCTGGACTCTCCTGCGAAACGCGGACAGCATCAACGAGCTCAAAGGCGGCGAATAGCATATTGAAACGAAGCAGGGACCCCATAAGGTGTTTATTGACGGTAAGGGACTCCCAGACGTTGGGGGCGGCGTTGCCACGGAGGATCTCGTTCGGCCGCCTAAAGAATTGCCTGAAGATACAGACGTCTCTTCTCGATGCTCATATTTTCAACTCCTACAACTCCCTTCTGACCAGTGCTATTAATTGTTCCGTACCGGAAAAAATATCCTAGCTTTCTCGCGACCTCAATACTTTTCATCTGTGAATCAGATACTTGCCCAGCGTAGTGGGCGAATGACCTCCAGAACTCGTCCCTTAGCGCGCAAGCGTTGTCGAGATAGACCCATCCGTCGCGGCCCATACTGCCGATGAATTTCTCCAACACGTACAGGGTGAGACCGAATGGTTGAATACCCGTATCGGTCCAGTCGACGACTCCTGTGATATTGCCGCTGCTGCCGTCGACGAGGATGTTCAGCTCGTTAAGGTCGCTATGAGTAAGCGCAAATGGAAAATCTCCAGAAACAAGCGTCGGGAAATGCCTCCTCACTTCATCGAGTGCTGGCCTGAAGCGAGCGGTGAGCACGCCGGAGGAGGAGATGTCGTCGAGCCTGCTGGAGAACTCAGTAGCAATAGCAGAGACAGTAGGCCGGTCTAGAGCCACTGGCTTACGCCAGGCTTGTGCAAAGAAGCTTGTTTTATAAAGTCAGCTGACCCGGAGCAGAGAAGTCAATACAGAGTCTCGACCAACCTCGCCAGGCTATGCAAAGTGGCTAACTGGCTTTGGGGTTCATTTGCTAGCGAGTTGCGTACTAGGGCGTAGTTTTCTCCGGGTAGCCTGTCCATCTCGTATATTGCGAGTGGCTGTTGCTCGTCGTCGCCGATTTGCCCAAGGGCAGCACCAAGAGGTATGACCTCTCCATGAACCTCTCTAGCAAGCTCCAACATTTTCATGTCTAGCTGGGCGTCCTTGATTCGAAACTGGACGATCTTCTCGCGATTGAGCCCCACCACGACGGTATAGCTGGTCGCCCCTTGGACTGAAACGGGTTCGGCCAACCCTCCGAACATCTTCACGGCCAGTTTGTCGCATTCTGACCTGGTGGCAGACGCCAGCGAGAAAAACTGGTCTATCTCATTGTCGAAGTTGCCGCAGAGTTGAGCCATAACGGATTATTGAAATGGAAAGGAAGATTATTGTTTTAAGTTTATAAGAAGATATATACCCTAGTTTATTTATTTAAAATTACCTGAAATTTCTTAGGTTATTATGTTGCTTTTTTCTCACCCATTTTTAAGATATCTTCTTGTTATAGACTAACAATACCAGGCTACCTTTAAAGATCCAAAAGTGGAGAAACCCTGAATTAATCATAGATAAATTATAAGGGATCTTAATCTGGTCTGTTTATATAATCTTAAATATTAAAAAAAAAGGATGGGGGAATAATTATATAATTATAAATATTTCTTATATATTTAATTACTTTTTTTATAATTATGACGAACCTATGTTTTAGAAAGGTATAATCGTTGCTGGATTGGCTAATTGTGACGAACCTATCCCTCAGAGAGGTATAGTCGTTACTGGATTGGCTAATCTGGGGTTTTTCTTGATTTGAAAGTAATAGTATTAGTAGTAGGTTAAGTAGTTAAATATATTCTGTTTGTCAGAGAGGCTTAAAGTCCTCCCATTATGTTTAAAAAGATAATCTTAGATTAATAACTAAAGAATTATAAAAGAATGATTAGATATATAGGAGAATTGTGGTAATTATATAGATATTCTTTATTACTATTTTTTTTATAGATAAGATTAGATTTCCTTATCTATATTCATCTCTTATTATATCTATTAGATAAGATTAGATATACTTATCCATATTTATCTATGTCACATTTATTGGATAAAATTAGATACCCTTATCCACATTCATCCATATCACATGTTATACACTCCTACCCCATTTTGGTAAGGAAAAAGGTTTCCTCCAGGGTTTTACACCCCTGTAGGCCTATATGGTTTATGACATTATTTTTCCCTTCTTTAATTCCTTTATCTTTAAAGATCTTTTTTCTTGGTAGGTCCTTTTTAATTTAGTCCTTACCATGTCTACTAATCCATCTATAAAACATAAATATACTAATTAGGGATAGGAGTATATAGAGTTTTTAAAATAGATTAATAGGATTGATTTTAATATGGATATTATATTATGTTTATATTGTCTTAATTATAATCTTAAATATGTAATGATAATTAGGATATTTAAAAAGTATAATGAATATGTTTTATATTATCATTAATATGATAGAATGGATATCCTTATTGATTTCTTTTCTTGGTTTAAGAATGAAAAGGAATGGTTATTTATTTAAAAATATTAGGCCAAAAAAACCTTTAAATATTTTTATACTAAAATAACCAAGGCCTTAGTTTATATTAAATAACTTAGGTAATAAAAGGAATTATTAAAAGAAAAAAACTTAAAAATATTTTAATATGGTTTTTAAAGCCTGGAGGAACTGGAAGAATAAGAATAATCAAAAAAGGAATAATGTCTGGCAAGGGAGCAGTAATATAACATTAAGGTGCAAACTAGTGTAGCTTCCGTGGTTAACCCCTTCTCCAACTTTTCTCTTAAGGATGTAAACTTTGATTTATTATTGTTAGTTGATCTGGGTTCTGGTGGTAAAAATCTTTAATTAATTTTTAGATCTTTTTATTTATAAGATGTTCTTATGATTCTTAGGTATTATTCTCTTCTAAATAATCAAATTATTTGATAAAATATTTGATCTAATCATTAATAATTTTAGAATTATAGATGATTTTAATATTATATTCTTTTAAATCTTCTTTTAATTTAATATTTCTTTTAAATTTAATATCTTTAGATGTTGGTTTAAATATAATAATATAAAATATATTAGTTCTTAATTTCATATTTATTAATAATTATAATTAATAATTTATTCTTGAAAAGATTTCTTTAATTAAGAAGGATCTTAGTTTCTTAAAATCTAACTTCTTATTTAGTCTTTTGATTTAAATCTAAGATATTTTTAATATAAAGTATTATTTATTTTATAAGAGATAAACCTTATTTCTTTTGTATAGAATTAGTCCTTTAATTTTCCTTCTATTATAATATATTATCATTTTATATTATAGAAATTTGAGATGTTGTTTAAGTTTAATTTATAATATTAGAATTCTAATAATAAATATTTTTATTTTAGGTGATATTATTTTTAATTCTGGGGTAATCTTATTTGTTAATGGTTTCTATTCTATATTTATTTATTGTCTATATAATGTTTCTTATGGTAATATCTTGGTAATATTATTAATTAAAATATTATATAAAGATATAATGAATGGTAAGAGTTTTATCTAGTTATCTTGTTTATAGTCAATATAATTCCATAGGTATTGTTCTAGTATCTGATTTAGTTACTTCATTTGGTTATTAATTTGAGGATAAGTTATTATAGAAAGTTTTTATTTAATTCCTAGCTTTTTTATTAGGCTAACCCAAAATTTTAAGATAAAGAATTTGTTGGTAGGTATATATGTAAATGAAATGAAATAATAATAGTAAATAAAGAAAATATGGGGTAAGACTAGTGTTATATTATTGTTTAAAAAAGAAAAATCTATTTACCTGAATAGACAAGAAAGTAACTTATTTAAAGGGAATTATAATGATTAAATAGATCATATATCTTTTATTTATGTAATTATTACTTATTTTATTTTCTTTTTATAATTAATTGATTATAAATTTGTTATTAATTGTATATTTTATTTATCTTTTTAGTTATAAATTAATTTAATTATCTTCTATTAATTTCTTTATAGCCTTATTTGGGGATGTCTTTGTTATAATATCTATGGGGTTATAGCTATTATAAATCCAATAGATATTATCTATTTCTTGGTTTTTATATGATTATCTTAAAATTATTAAGTTAATCATTAATTTCTTTTTGTTAATATTGCCTATTTATACCAAATATTGGTATAGAGAAAAAGAGTTGATATATAGAATAAGGGGAATTTTGGTGAGTGATAGGCATTTCAGAATTGTGTTAATGGTATGATAGATGATGTAGCCAATGTTGAAACCCTAGATTATTCTATATATTTTGTTGGCAAGGATATTATAAATGATCTATTTGTATTTGGTAGATGATTAGTAGATGATATTTTTAATAATCTAAACCTTATTGTTTTAGTTGGTAGGCCTTTTATTACCTAAGATAATAACATAATTAATCTATAAATTTAAGTTTTTATTATTTATAAATAATCTATTAATAAAGATATATAGATATAGATTTTATAGATCTAATTTAATATAGTTAAGTCCTTATATTTAATTATCTATTTATTATTATATCCTGGCATTGAAAATCTTTGTTTCTTTAGGGCCTAGTTTGAGATATTAGGTTGTTATAGAGTAATTAAAAGTAGTTTTAGGTTGATAAATAAAGGTGATATATATGTTTCTTATCCTTTATTTTATGAATTTTTTGATTATGTTAGGATTTTTTATATCTAAGAACTCAAGTTTTTTAGCTTGGTTTTTTTAAATAATGGAAATCCCAAAGTCTTTGTTGTAGATAATGATATATGAATTATTAAAGTCTTTAGATCTTGAATCCATTATTTTTTAAAGGTATATCTTGATTCCTACCTTGGTAAATGCTATGTCTTCAGTGGTAAAAAAATCTATAATATCTATATTAAAAATATTATTTATTTAAAGTCTTGTGATTCTAAAGGGGTCTAAGTTTATTATTAGTAAATAGGGGTTGATGACTGATGGTTTTATATGTAATTCTTATTGGTAATAATATGAATAAATCTTAAATTAATAAATACCTGATTCTACAAGGTTATACAATGGTTTGATAATTTGTAATAATGTTTTTTTAGGATATTTATCTTTTAATTTAGTTGGTAATTATATAAAAATTATTTTTTATATTGATATTTTGGATTAAGTATATGTTATGATTATATCTTATATTATAATCTTTATCTTTTGATAATATAGTATAGGAATAAGAATTAATATTAGTTATTAATTTATCTTTTGGATAATAGGTGTATATATCATAATAAATTCCTTGTCAGGGTTGTTATATCCTTGGATTATGAGTTATGACTTTTTGTAGGGAGAGGGGGTGTTCTTGGCCTTGATTTTGTGAATTATTCTTGATTTAAAGATTGTTGTATCTTGGTGAACTGTTTTATCGTATATTTCAGGTTGTAGGATGTCTTTTTCAAATAATACATTTATTTCTTTTATATCTGATATTTTATATGATTTATCTGAGGTAATTATTTTTCCATTTATTTATAACCTGAATATAAGAGTAAGGTTATTTTGTTCTTTGATAATAAGGTATAGAATAGCAATATGGAAAAGGTTATTAATATATATAAGATCTTCTTTGGAGATAATTCTAAAATTATTAGGATTGAATGAAGATAAAGATAATTAAATCTTTAATTTCTTTGTTGATTCTAGAATTTCCTTAGATTAGATATATAATTTGACATAGGAATTCCTAAATATCAACATGTTACCTAAAATATTAAAAATTATAGTTATATCTTTATTAATAATTATAATAATCTTATATAGGCCTTTTTATCTATCTTTTTTTTGATATATTAAGACCTTATTATTAATAAATAATGATATGGATAATATTTTTTATATATTAAGGCTATTTTATATATTTAAAGAATCTTTAATAGAATGTTAAGCCTTGATTTTTTTGATCTTTATTATGGCTTTTTAAATTGTCTAAACCCTTTAGATCTATAATAGAATAGATAGAAAATCTATATTAATCCTAAGGTAGATATTAAAAATTAATAAAGTTGAGATAAGTCTATTAGGATTGGCTGTGTTATTAATTGTTTTAATAGTTATCTAAAGTTTAGCTATTTTGGAATTGGTATCCTATATTTCTTTTATGATGATTTTATAAGCTTTATGGATGGGATTATAATATTCTTTAACCTTATTAATAAATTAATATATTTTTACTGATACTTGGTGATAAGTGACTTTGGCAAGACGTGTCTTGTTTCGGAATTCAACATTGTTGAAATTGATGCTAACATTATAAATAATGATGTCTAGGGGTCCTAGGTAGGTATTAATCCAATATTGTTTTAATATTTCCCAGGTTTCTTTAGTAAATATATTCTTTAAAAATTATGTTATCTGGAAATTAATGATTATATTAATAATATAAAG